TAATGGCCAGGAGTGGCTAAACTACATCCAGACGTGCATCTTCCCACCAGGGGTGTTGGGTTCCCTGCAGCAGAAACTTGGAGATGATTCTGCCGGTTCATTTCAGCCTTTTGGTGGGGTGCTGGGGTTGCTCAAAAAGCATCAGCCTTCAGCCTTCAGCCTTCCAACACCTTGCCCGTTGCGTTCTTGAGTCATGAACGCACTGCGGCCATTTGGGACCCGTATTGTGATCAGGATCAGAATGTTAAATTCATATTAATCAGCAGCCCGAATCAATCAACACCCATAGTCCAAAAAAAATGCAATACTACTTTGGTTTGCCCCTCTATTAATAAACATGTGCGACCCCCTACACTCTGCTCAGAAATCCACAAATCCTTTTTAATGTTTAATATGTTTTGATTGTTTTTTGTCACGCTTGAACAAGTAATTAATTTGAAGGGATGTCCCATGCCCAATGTCACCATCTCACCCCATTGGGAGGGAGATTGCCACTGAAAAGAGAAATCTCGACCCATTGGCAGGCAGGTTGGTTATTTTTTTGGTATGACAAACCCTAGTTTTTATTATTGGGAGGACTCTTACCTTCTAGGGGGGTTTTAATACGAACTTGGCATTACTATATACAAGAAAACCACAAAAAAAAAGGGGAATCCAACCCTTGACAATTCAGACCAGCATGTAGCATTCTCCCTTGATGATGAAATTTGATGCAAGTTGCATAGCAGATATATATAGTGATTACATTGGTCGTACTTGTAGATGGCAGAACGCAGAATGCCGTCATGCTATTGCCACTCACACCACTGTGGACAACTCAAACTCGCATAGCATTCCCCATCGATGATTTAGATTGATTCACATTATGTGATTTTAGGAACAGTTTTGCCGTATTTAGCCGTATTTCAAGCTGAGTGGAACCAGCCATGGAGGTATGTTTCTTAGCATCCGGCGAGAGAGTCGCGACACTTGATGCAGCTGACTTCGAAGGAAAAACCTGCAAGGCCGTGAAGCAAGCCTTAACAGCTGAGATTGGTGTAACGAGATTCAGACAGAGACTTTTTCTGGAAAATGGTGACGGTGAGATCCCAGATGATGAGGTTTTTGCCTCCGTGCCAGAAAAGGTTCAGCTGGTGGTCATGGAATTTTGCCCGCCCAATGCAGAAGAAGAGGAGGAGATGATGTGGGCAGCAAGTGAGAATGATACAGCTGGCCTTGAAGAGTTGCTGAAGCGCCCGCTAAATCCGATGGCGATATGTGAAGCTCTAGCTGAAGAGGATATTGAAGGTATGACAGCCTTGCACTACGCTGCAGAGTACGGGCGTGTTGAGCCTATGCAGCTTTTGCTCGAGGCACGTGCAGAGATAAATGCAAATGCGTCAGGTATCATGGGACAAGAGATGACGCCCTTGCATTTGGCGGCTTGCTATGGCCACCTAGAGGCTGTTCGTTTTTTGATTGAAAACGGCGCAGAGAAAGATCAGACTGAGCAGCTCGGCGCCTCTGCACTGGAGCTCGCAGTTGAGCATAGCCATTTTGACATTGCCCGCTTTCTCATACAGATGGGGGTAGACAAGGGTCCGCTCTTGACCAACTCGACCCGGGCAATGCTTGTGGCAGCAATCTTTGGCTATGAGGAAATGGCCCGCTTCCTTGTTGAAGTCGGGGTTGACAAAGAGCAGACCGACAAGGACGGTTTCAGGCCGCTGCATTGTGCAGCTCAAGAAGGATATTTGGAGATTGTCCGCTTTCTCGTTGAGTGCGGTGCCAGTCACAACTCAACCACAGAGGCCGGAAAGACTGCATTGGATCTAGCGTCCGAGCGTGGCCATACGGACGTTGTCGGCTTTCTGTCTGAGTTGGACTCACAATCTCCCCGAAAGAAAGTCCAAAGAGTCGACAGTGACAGACTAGATACATGAAACAGGAAACTATGCAGATGTTTGCAGCATTTGCAGCTCTGGACCACTGGGGAACCAGTGCTTCTTCGAAGTGTTTGATTGGAGTTCCTCATTTCGACCAACCTTTTTATTTGGCAGGATTTTGGCCAGCATCAGGAAGAATTTGCGCAAGTAGATACAAGTGGCCTTTACCGGCAGGTTTCTGAAGGAAATCGTCACAAAGCCGTGATGATCAATCCAAAGCTGACCGAGAAAAACGATATGGCAAGGGGATGCAAGGGGTACCATGAGTACCCCCCCATCCATTGTTTCCTGTTTTCCTGTGGATCTTTCCCGAAACCAGCGCATTGATAGCAGTTTTCACACACCGATCAACTAGACGGCTGTTCGGGCTTGGCTTTGGTCATTCTTGTTTTTGATCCAAAAAACACTAGAGTCCGACTCGATAACCAGAAACTTAGCTGGGCTAGCCACAGCAAACTGTGACCCTGGGGGCCTTGTGGAGATCGACCAGCCTGGCTTTGGCTCATATAGGGCATGCACATTGCAGAGCATAGGTCGGACAGGTAGGGTATGTATCGGCAGTGTAGCGACTGTACTGGTGGTAGATGCCAGCATCCATGCCTGCTTTTGCCACCCAAATTTGTTCATGATATTCATGAGTTTTTGCAAGAATCGTAGGTGAAAGCAACCCATGACAATTCACACCAGCATGTAGCTTTCTCCCTTGATGAGGAAGTTTGACGCAAGTTGCATAGCGGAGTATATAGTGATAGCATTGGTCGTACTTGTAGATGGCAGAACGCAGAATGCCGTCATGCTATTGCCACTCACACCACTGTGGACAACTCAAACTCGCATAGCATGCCCCATCAATGATTCAGATTGATTCACATTAATTATATGTATGCCTATGTGATTTTCAGAACAGCTGTGCCGTATTTCAAGCTGAGTGGAACCAGCCATGGAGGTATGTTTCTTGGCATCCTGCGAGAGAGTCGCGACGCTTGATGCAGCTGAATTCGAAGGAAAAACCGGCAAGGCAGTGAAGCAAGCCTTGGCAGCCAAGATTGGCATCACAAGATTCAGACAAAGACTCTTTCTGGAGAATGATGCTAACGAGATCCCGGATGATGAGGTTTTTGCCTTTGTGCCAGAAAAGGTTCAGCTGGTGGTCATGGAATTTTGCCCGCCCAATCCGGAAGAAGAGGAGGAGATGATGTGGGCAGCAAGTGGGAATGATACAGCTTGGCTTGAAGAGTTGCTGAAGCGCCCGCTAAACCCGATGGCTATATATAAAGATGAGGATATGGAAGGTATGACAGCTTTGCACTATGCTGCAGAGGACGGACAGGTTGAGCCCATGCAGCTTTTGCTGGAGGCACGTGCAGAGATAAATGCGAATACATCAAGCGTCATGGGACGAGATTTTGCGCCATTGCATTTGGCGGTTCGCCGTGGCCACCTAGAGGCTGTTCGTTTTCTCGTTGAAAACGGTGCAGAGAAAGAGCAGCCTGACCACACCGGTGCTGCCGCATTGGAGCTCGCAGTTGACTGGCTCCATTTTGACATTGCCCGCTTTCTCGTGCAGGTGGGTGCCGGCCAGGATCCGGTCTTGACCAAAACGAGCCAGTTATGGCCTCTGGCAGCTTACTCTGGCTATGTGGAAATGGTCCGCTTCCTGGTCGAAATCGGTGCTGACAAAGAGCAGACCGACAATTGTGGGCAAAGGCCTCTGCACATTGCAGCCAAAGCAGGTGATTTGAACATTGTCCGCTTTCTCATTGAGCGCGGTGCCAGTCACAACTCAACCACAGAGGCCGGAAAGACTGCATTGGATCTAGCGTCCGAGCGTGGCCATACGGACGTTGTCGGCTTTCTGTCTGAGTTGGACTCACAATCTCCCCGAAAGAAAGTCCAAAGAGTCGGAAGTGACAGACCAGAAGCATGAAGAAAATGTGTGCAGATATTTTGCAGCGTGGAACGCCGGGGAACCAGTAAGTGGTTCAATTTGATTTCCTCATTTCAGGGCATATCCTATCATATGTTACTGGTATAGATTTTCTTGAAACCCGCCAGATGTTCGCTGGGCTTGGCCTTGGTCGCTGCTCGATGCCACATTCATCACTGGTTTTGGTTCATAGGTGTTGGCGCAGTTCCTCATTGTCGTGTGATGTCTTGGGTTGCGAAGTCCCTGAGTCGACTATCTCACATTAAAGATAGATAGGATACGACAGGATCATCAACATGGCATTTCTGGAGCCCTGAGGCGTTGAGTGTCCAAACCCACCACGATGTCATAGGATGTCCATCCCCGACACTGAGGAAACTCCTCAAAGGGCAGCTGCCGGTGTTGCTTCAAATGTGTCAGCTCTGGAGCGTGTTGGCCGCTTTGGCGCATGGTGAGGATTCCAGGGCTGCCTCCTGGCAGTTTCCGGAACTGCCTTACGTGCAGCGCTTCCAGTTGCTGGGAGATGACTGTGGGGATCCATTGGGGGATCTTGGAATATCATAGTAGAATATCCATGAATATCCTAGAGGCGTTGGTGCTGCCAGAGGTGTGGGACTTGTCGGTCAAACATTCAGGATTCGACATGGATGACACAACTGCTGAATATCATCAGTTGCGGTATCAAGTCATTCAGGTTTAAGGTATCTATTTGCAACCAAGCTGGTGGAGACTTGCTTTGCGCCATCCCAGTTAGTTATATCATGTTATATCATGTTATATCCATCAATCCCTCCACAGGAAGATTACTGGTCCACTGCAATCATTTTCCATTCCACAACTTTTCTGATGCTGATGACCTAATTATATATGATAATTACTGTGATGAGCCGCATTCATTGAGAGTTTCACTATTGAGAGTTTCATTACTGAGAGTTTCACCGACCCACTGAAGTGCATGGGGTTGACGACTGGTCAACCCATAGATGCCCAGCCTAAAATCGACCAGTGTTGGCATTATTTGGCATTCACATGCTTCAAGTTAATCCCAAAGTTTGATATTCGGCAAAATTTGAGCTCCAAGATGTGGCCGTGTAACATCGTGTAACGTAGTGAAACCAGTGAAATCCTACCACCAGCCATCCTCAGCTCCGAGGTTTACCTTGGGGAGTTTCAGGGAACTTCTCTACCTACAGTGTTACCTGGGTGGTTTCCAGGTACGCTTTGTGCTGGCTTTGATCACCCCAGTGCCTGGCTGCAACATCAAATCATATCAAATCGCCGGTGTCGGTAGGTTCCGAACCCCAAAGTCAAGTGGTTTAAGATGGTTCAATATTGTTTCAATATCGCTTTCTTATGTTTTCTTGATTTGTTCAGCTCATTGTGGTAGACGTATTTCTGGACAAACCCGGAGAGGCCTTTTGTCGTCCAACTTCCGTGACAACCACCAAGCAGGATCCCTGCCCTCTGGTAATAAAACATGGCAACGAAAAATCCTTCACTTGTAGACTTGTAGATGATTTTCCCATTGAACCCGCCACTTATATATTCCAAAAAAATGAAAAAATGTATGTTCCCTTTCTTGGCCACGTAGTTATCTTCGTTCTGTATTCCATTCAGGGCCCTGCTCATCCCTGGTCATCCCTGGTCCAAGGTGGTTCCTTTGCTCTTACTCCTGTGTTGTGTGATTTTGGAGCTCTTTAGACGCGGGGCAGGTACGATCCAACCAGTCCAGGGAAAATTGAGGGAAAATTGAGATATCTTGGGATCTGATTTGACCATATACTATGCCATATACCCCTGTAAGTAATGCCACAAGGACATATAAGATGTGTGTTTTAATATGTTTTAATAATAGTTTGTCATAATTTGTCAAATCATGTCTAGTATGTTTATTCCATATCATTCGTTTATGACTGACTGATGCTCATTATGGAAAACTGTGTTGTTTCATGTTGTTTCCACAAGCCCACTTTAATCCACTTTATACGTTATGAACAAAGCCAGCACGCAACGGGATAACACCTTGGCACAGCGGCACAGGAGTGCATGCTGGGCTAAAGATCCTTGACCTAATTGAGGGCCGGTTAGTGGGGCACAGTGGTTCCACAGGATCTCACCCCAGAAATCGCAGAGGCCAAGGGGCAAACTGCAACGTATTTGTTGGATCTAGTGGTTAATGCAAAATGCAAGGAAGTTCAATAGGAAGCCAAGTGATGGATAATTTAAGTTTAAATGTAGGAAAACATGCCCAGTGAAATCTTAACCCACCCAAGACGGCTCAATTCGACATGGTGGTGTGGGTGCAAGTCTATAATATGTGTATATATAATCCCCGGCCGGTGATAGCCTATAGAATGGGGATCTTTTACAATTATGAAATGGTTTTCCGGACAGCCATTATATAGGAAGGATGGTTGGGGTGCACTGTGGCCTCCTTTTGCAAGAGTTGGGTTCATCATTTTATAAGGCCCGCACTGCCTACTTGCAAACTCTTCCTTTTTCAAGCATAAACTTTTGCAAAGAAAATCCCTTCACTTTATAGGTGCCAAACGGTTTGGTGAATCAAATTTTGTTATAGACACCCCGCTGACCTTTGCAAAGAAATTGTCCTCATTTTATAGGTATATGGTTGTGCTAAGTAGAGCATGGTGCACCATTTTTTGTGATACTAAATTCTATATATATATGTATTTATATTTATATTTATGTTGAACATTTGTTGGTTTTGATGTTTTCAAAGAATGTTTGATTTATTTTGAGACGTCATAGATTGACAAGAATGGGGGGGCAGGGGGATCACCAAAAAAAATATTAAAACAAATTCAACACATTTTGAAACCCACACTGGCACCTATAAAATGCCTTGCAAAGCTTGTACAGACCGCATTTAGTGTTCAACCAATTTTCCTTTCTTTACCTTTGTCCCAAGACTTTGGACAAATTACATTATTAGAGTATATTAGAATCAATATTCTGACATGTTATCTGACATTTTCTCTGGGACATATTTTGACATTCTATCTGGCATCTTCTGTAGCATAAAAAATGCATATAAAATAAGCATATTGCAGCACATATTCAAATTCACGAAAAAATGAAGTTTTTTTCATTTAATGGTATTGCTAATGGTATATGATCTATAATATTTGAAATATTTATAATATATATTTCTTCACTTTGATTATATTCAACATTGATAATATATATGTTCTACAATATTAATTCTTCAGGTACAACATTTGTCTTAATTTGTTGTATAGATATTTTTAACTCACAATTAAACATATTATAAGAATACACATATCAAAAAGTAAAGAGCCCATAAAATATCATTTTTAATTTTCAAACGTTACAAAAGTACCTTTTCCTGTTTACGCATTTAAATATGACATGTTTCACTTTCTTGTTGCGGCTTTTCCGCTGTGTCTCTCCCCTATAGCCTTCCCCCTTGGGGCCTTTCCGGGTCGAAGCCCTCGAGCCGCTGGGGCTTCCCCCTTCTTGTGTTACCCGACAGAAAAGAGGCAATGACAGGGTTTTGGTAGCCTGCTTTTTTTAAAGTATTTCTTATTAAGCTGCAAAGGCGAGAACTTTTCGATGCCATGAAAGTAAGAAAGCAAAAATTGGCACAAAACTTGTACAGTGTGTTACAGACCGCAGAGTGAATGCTGCACACCCAAGCTACCACCTATAAAATGCCATGCAAAGCTTGTACAGACCGCAGAGTGAATGCTGCACACCCAAGCTACCACCTATAAAATGCTATGCAAAGCTTGTACAGACCGCAGAGTGAATGCTGCACACCCAAGCTACCACCTATAAAATGCCATGCAAAAGCTTGTACAGACCGCAGAGTGAATGCTGCAGACCCAAACTGCCACCTATAAAATGCCATGCAAAAGCTTGTACAGACCGCAGAGTGAATGCTGCAGACCCAAACTGCCACCTATAAAATGCCATGCAAAGCTTGTACAGACCGCAGAGTGAATGCTGCACACCCAAGCTACCACCTATAAAATGCCATGCAAAGCTTGTACAGACCGCAGAGTGAATGCTGCACACCCAAGCTACCACCTATAAAATGCCATGCAAAGCTTGTACAGACCGCATTTAGTGTTCAACCAATTTTCCTTTCTTTACCTTTGTCCCAAGACTTTGGAAAAATTACATTATTAGAGTATATTAGAATCAATATTCTGACATGTTATCTGACATTTTCTCTGAGACATATTTTGACATTCTATCTGGCATCTTCTGTAGCATAAAAAATGCATATAAAATAAGCATATTGCAGCACATATTCAAATTCACGAAAAAATGAAGTTTTTTTCATTTAATGGTATTGCTAATGGTATATGATCTATAATATTTGTAATATTTATAATATATATTTCTTCACTTTGATTATATTCAACATTGATAATATATATGTTCTACAATATTAATTCTTCAGGTACAACATTTGTCTTAATTTGTTGTATAGATATTTTTAACTCACAATTAAACATATTATAAGAATACACATATCAAACAGTAAAGAGCCCATAAAATATCATTTTTAATTTTCAAACGTTACAAAACTACCTTTTCCTGTTTACGCATTTAAATATGACATGTTTCACTTTCTTGTTGCGGCTTTTCCGCTGTGTCTCTCCCCTATAGCCTTCCCCCTTGGGGCCTTTCCGGTCGAAGTCCTCGAGCCGCTGGGGCTTCCCCCTTCTTGTGTTACCCGACAGAAAAGGGGCAATGACAGGGTTTTGGTAGCCTGCTTTTTTTAAAGTATTTCTTATTAAGCTGCAAAGGCGAGACCTTTTCGATGCCATGAAAGTAAGAAAGCAAAAATTGCCGCAAAACTTGTACAGTGTGTTACAGACCGCAGAGTGAATGCTGCACACCCAAGCTACCACCTATAAAATGCCATGCAAAGCTTGTACAGACCGCAGAGTGAATGCTGCACACCCAAGCTACCACCTATAAAATGCCATGCAAAGCTTGTACAGACCGCATTTAGTGTTCAACCAATTTTCCTTTCTTTACCTTTGTCCCAAGACTTTGGAAAAATTACATTATTAGAGTATATTAGAATCAATATTCTGACATGTTATCTGACATTTTCTCTGAGACATATTTTGACATTCTATCTGGCATCTTCTGTAGCATAAAAAATGCATATAAAATAAGCATATTGCAGCACATATTCAAATTCACGAAAAAATGAAGTTTTTTCATTTAATGGTATTGCTAATGGTATATGATCTATAATATTTGAAATATTTATAATATATATTTCTTCACTTTGATTATATTCAACATTGATAATATATATGTTCTACAATATTAATTCTTCAGGTACAACATTTGTCTTAATTTGTTGTATAGATATTTTTTAACTCACAATTAAACATATTATAAGAATACACATATCAAAAAGTAAAGAGCCCATAAAATATCATTTTTAATTTTCAAACGTTACAAAAGTACCTTTTCCTGTTTACGCATTTAAATATGACATGTTTCACTTTCTTGTTGCGGCTTTTCCGCTGTGTCTCTCCCCTATAGCCTTCCCCCTTGGGGCCTTTCCGGGTCGAAGTCCTCGAGCCGCTGGGGCTTCCCCCTTCTTGTGTTACCGACAGAAAAGAGGCAATGACAGGGTTTTGGTAGCCTGCTTTTTTAAAGTATTTCTTATTAAGCTGCAAAGGCGAGACCTTTTCGATGCCATGAAAGTAAGAAAGCAAAAATTGCCGCAAAACTTGTACAGTGTGTTACAGACCGCAGAGTGAATGCTGCACACCCAAGCTACCACCTATAAAATGCCATGCAAAGCTTGTACAGACCGCAGAGTGAATGCTGCACACCCAAGCTACCACCTATAAAATGCCATGCAAAGCTTGTACAGACCTCAGAGTGAATGCTGCACACCCAAGCTACCACCTATAAAATGCCATGCAAAGCTTGTACAGACCGCAGAGTGAATGCTGCACACCCAAGCTACCACCTATAAAATGCCGTGCAAAGCTTGTACAGACCTCAGAGTGAATGCTGCACACCCAAGCTACCACCTATAAAATGCCATGCAAAGCTTGTACAGACCGCAGAGTGAATGCTGCACACCCAAGCTACCACCTATAAAATGCCATGCAAAGCTTGTACAGACCGCAGAGTGAGTGCTGCACACCCAAGCTACCACCTATAGAATGCCATGCAAAGCTTGTACAGACCGCATTTAGTGTTCAACCAATTTTCCTTTCTTTACCTTTGTCCCAAGACTTTGGAAAAATTACATTATTAGAGTATATTAGAATCAATATTCTGACATGTTACCTGACATTTTCTCTGAGACATATTTTGACATTCTATCTGGCATCTTCTGTAGCATAAAAAATGCATATAAAATAAGCATATTGCAGCACATATTCAAATTCACGAAAAAATGATGTTTTTTTCATTTAATGGTATTGCTAATGGTATATGATCTATAATATTTGAAATATTTATAATATATATTTCTTCACTTTGATTATATTCAACACTGATAATATATATGTTCTACAATATTAATTCTTCAGGTACAACATTTGTCTTAATTTGTTGTATAGATATTTTTAACTCACAATTAAACATATTATAAGAATACACATATCAAAAAGTAAAGAGCCCATAAAATATCATTTTTAATTTTCAAACGTTACAAAAGTACCTTTTCCTGTTTATGCAGTTTATGCATTTAAATATGACATGTTTCACTTTCTTGTTGCGGCTTTTCCGCTGTGTCTCTCCCCTATAGCCTTCCCCCTTGGGGCCTTTCCGGGTCGAAGTCCTCGAGCCGCTGGGGCTTCCCCCTTCTTGTGTTACCCGACAGAAAAGAGGCAATGACAGGGTTTTGGTAGCCTGTTTTTTTTATAAGTATTTCTTATTAAGCTGCAAAGGCGAGACCTTTTCGATGCCATGAAAGTAAGAAAGCAAAAATTGCCGCAAAACTTGTACAGTGTGTTACAGACCGCAGAGTGAATGCTGCACACCCAAGCTACCACCTATAAAATGCCATGCAAAGCTTGCACAGACCGCAGAGTGAATGCTGCACACCCAAGCTACCACCTATAAAATGCCATGCAAAGCTTGTACAGACCGCAGAGTGAATGCTGCACACCCAAGCTACCACCTACAAAATGCCATGCAAAGCTTGTACAGACCGCAGAGTGAATGCTGCACACCCAAGCTACCACCTATAAAATGCCATGCAAAGCTTGTACAGACCGCAGAGTGAATGCTGCACGCCCAAGCTACCACCTATAAAATGCCATGCAAAGCTTGTGCAGACCGCAGAGTGAATGCGGCACACCCAAGCTACCACCTATAAAATGCCATGCAAAAGCTTGTACAGACCGCAGAGTGAATGCTGCAGACCCAAACTGCCACCTATAAAATGCCATGCAAAGCTTGTACAGACCGCAGAGTGAATGCTGCACACCCAAGCTACCACCTATAAAATGCCATGCAAAGCTTGTGCAGACCGCAGAGTGAATGCTGCACACCCAAGCTACCCCCTATAAAATGCCATGCAAAAGCTTGTACAGACCGCAGAGTGAATGCTGCAGACCCAAACTGCCACCTATAAAATGCCATGCAAAGCTTGTACAGACCGCAGAGTGAATGCTGCACACCCAAGCTACCACCTATAAAATGCCATGCAAAGCTTGTACAGACCGCAGAGTGAATGCTGCACACCCAAACTGCCACCTATAAAATGCCATGCAAAGCTTGTACAGGACGCAGAGTATTACAGGAGCTATTTCATAATGTTCCTAATTCCATTTTATAGGTGACTTGTTGGGCGTTTGCCTTACATCCCAACTACCCCCTTCAACTTGAGCAGTAACATTTTATAGACTATATTTTTGCTGTGGTCAATATCACTGTTAACCTTTGCAAAAGAAGTTGGGTCATAATATAGGAAGGTATGTGTTCATGATGGTTTTGCTTTGCACCTCATTTCATAGAGAGAATGTATGGGTCTACACCTTAGCTTTTCATTTTATAGAGCTAATTTTCCTATAGAATGAGGGGGGCAAAGGCCCCTAGGCAACACTAAGGGAGGATCAAATATCCATATCAACATCCTATGATTATCCCATTATTATATTATATTATCCCATGTGTTATCCCATGATATTCCCATGGATTTCTATCATCATCCCATGGTCATCCGGTCATCTTCCGTCATCCCCTGCAGGTCATCGTGGTGGGCGGCGGCCTCGCGGGCATGTCCGCGGCCAACACCGTGGTGGAGCACGGTGGCCGCACGCTGCTCCTGGACAAGAGCTCCTTCTGCGGGGGGAACTCCACCAAGGCTCGGCGTTTTGGGCGAAGTTGCGAAGTTTTTTTTTTGGGGATGTTTGGAAGATAAAAATCGGATGATTTTTGGAAGACCTTTGGAGGATTCAAAATCGGAAAAATATGGATAAATACCGGCAAGAGTTTCGATTTTTGCTTGGTTGGGGATTTTGTTGGTGGATTTCTGGGTGACTTTGTTTGGTAGCCAACATATGTGGAACTGTTCCGGCAAAAATTGTAGTTGCAAGATATTTTGAGTATATAACTCAAAGCCACAAGTTGATGAACCAGCAAACAATAACCGCTTCTTTCTTGCTGGTAAAAACAAAGTGGAAGGAAACATGAGGATTTCGGGGCAAAAAGAGCGACAGGGAAGAAGCAAGAAGCAAAAAACGTTTCATTTTGGTTCCCCATAAAAAAGGGATATAATGAGATCATGATCCCCCAATAACACTAACAGCGCATGGAGGTTGTTGCACAAATTCCGGAGGTGGGGGACATTTGATGAACCAACCCAACGGGCCCAACGGTTGGGGTCGGCATTGGTTGGCTACCAAGAAAAGAACGGGGATATTTCTTGGAACGGCAGAAGGAAGGGACTCAAACTTGGGATCAGGGGACGGAATTCCGTGCCAGTCTGGCGGATTCTGGTATTTGACATGGGGGTATAACCAATGAGACTATGTGATCTATGTGTGTCCAAGTTGATGAATCAGGTGCTAGTATGTGCTAGTGGTTTTCCATTGGCCAGTGCCAGTGATTCATCTATTACGCCCCCTATAAATTCAACATGGAACCCCAAACAGGGGTTTGGAAGATAATTTTGCCATTATATATCATTATATCATATTTACCCCCCTCTGGAATTCAACGTGGCAATGGACAATGCCACATTTTTCATCATTTATAGATCTTATAGATGTTTTATATATGGTAATACCGTAGTTATACCATGTTATACCTTTAGAATCCCCTTAAAAAAAAATAAAAAGCTCCATTCCGTTGGGACATTTGCAAGCTAGCCATGCGGTGGCCCAACGGTCAAGGCCACGAGCGGCATCAATGGTGCGGGCACGAAGACACAGCACCTTGGCAGACCAATCGGCCAACATGTGATTCGAAATGCAGAAATCCAACGTAAATTGACGCATGATTGCCATTGATTGCCCACCTATTTCAATGTCCTATGATCATAGTATATCATAGTACAAGTGATTATCACTCTCAAGGTTCATTGAATTTGAACAATCATCACCGTTTTATACAGTAGCTTCCCATGTTTGGTCATGCCGTGCCATGGACCCAGCGATGGCTATAGCTATGGTGATGATGTGAAAGATGTACCTTGAAGGTCCATGGTTCCTCTCTGGGTTGGGAGGTGAACCGGATGGTTTCAGAAAAACTGCCGCCCAAAAAAGGAGCACAACTCGTTCTGCATGGCCGGGATGGAGGGTTAATGCATGTTAATTAATGCTCCAGCAAACTTTGGAAGAACAAGGCATCATTGGCGCCGCAACACTCTCTGGCACTTTTGTTCCAACAGATCTGAAAGCTGCATGGTGTTTTATTGAAGAGCAAGGACAGGAAACAGTCCAGGAGGCAGCGGCAGCGCTAGGCCTTGGTTGACGCAGATTGTAGGTACAAGATCCGTCAAGTATTTGAAGCTTCTTCCGGAGAGTCTTGAACGCTTGACATTTGACAATGAATTCAACGAGAGCATAGCAGGAGTGACCTTGCCAAGCAGCCTTCAGAAATTGACGTTTGGCAATGGCTTCAACCAAAGCCTGTCAGGGGTGACCTTGCCAAGCGGACTCAAGAGTTTGACATTTGGCGATGGGTTCAATCAAACATTGGAGCGCGTAATCCTGGGTAACCGCCTCGCCTGTGCACGTGATTTTGGCTCGCTGGTGCACGTGATGGCCGGACTCGCCTGTGCACGGGATGCACCTTCATTCATGATATTCATCATCATCATCATCATCACCATTACCACCATCATCATGTTCATCAACACTGTCATGGTCGACGTGATCATCATCATAATCATGTAATCATCATCATCTTCATCATCTTCATCATCTTCATCATCATCATCATCATCACCATCATCATGCTCATCAACACTGTCATGGTCGACGTGATCATCAGCATCTTCTTCTTCTTCACCATCATCATCACCGTCATCATGCTCATCAACACCGTCATGGTCGACGTGATCATCCGCATCTTCTTCTTCTTCTTCATCTTCATCATCATCATCACCATCATCATGCTCATCAACACTGTCATGGTCGACGTGATCATCAGCATCTTCTTCTTCTTCTTCTTCACCATCATCATCACCGTCATCATGCTCATCAACACCGTCATGGTCGACGTGATCATCCGCATCTTCTTCTTCTTCTTCATCATCATCATCACCATCACCATCATCATGCTCATCAACACTGTCATGGTCGACGTGGTCGTCAGCATCATCACCATGATCATCATCATCATCATCATCAGAATCATGTAATCATAATCATCTTCGTCATCAGCATCATCATGCACACTGGTGGTACGTGTAAAATGTTGTTTGTGTGATAACTTCTGTGGGTAACAGCTGCTGTGTGTAAAAGCTCGTGTGTGTAACAGCTTCTGTGTGTAAAAGCGTCTGTGTGTTCCCCTGTTCCCCTGTTCCCCCCCTCTTCCCCTGTATGTAAAAGCTTGCCGTGTGTAAAAGCGTCTGTGTGTAGCAGATGATGATGCGTGTAAAAATTTGTGTGTGTATCAGCGTCTGTGTGTAAAAGCGTCCGTGTGTGACAGCTTGTGTGTGTAAGATCTTTTGTGTGTAGAAGCGTGTGTGTGTGTGTCATCTCCCTTGGTGTTCCCCGTTTCCCCTGTTCCCCCCTGTTGCCCTGTTGCCCTGTTCCCCCCCTGTTCCCCTAATTTATAAACCTAAAGGTTGGTTTCTCCCTTGCTACCCCTGTTCCCCTGTTCCCCTGTTCCCCGCCGGTTCCCCTAGTTTATAAACCTAAAGGTTGGTTTCTCCCTTGCTACCCCTGTTCCCCTGTTCCCCCCCCTGTTCCCCTAATTTATAAACCCAAAGGTTGGTTTCTCCCTTGCTACCCCTGTTCCCCTGTTCCCCTGTTCCCCCCCTGTTTCCCCTAATTATAAACCCGTTGGTTTCTCCCTTTGCTACCCCTGTTCCCCTGTTCCCCCCCTGTTCCCCTAATTATGACCCTAAAGGTTGGTTCTCCCTGCTGCTACCCCTTTCCCCTGTTCCCTCCCCCCCCCCCTGTTTCCCTAAGTTATAAACCTAAAGGTTGGCTTCTCCCTTGCTACCCTGGTCCCCTGTTCCCCTGTTCCCCCCCCCTGTTCCCCTAATTTATAAACCTAAAGGTTGGTTTCTCCCTTGCAACCCCTGTTCCCCTGTTCCCCTGTTCCTCCCCCTGTTCCCCTAGTTTATAAACCTAAAGGTTGGTTTCTCCCTTGCTACCCCTGTTCCCCTGTTCCCCCCCTGTTCCCCTAATTTATAAACCTAAAGGTTGGTTTCTCCCTTTCTAAGTGTCTTGTGCGCAGGTGAGTCTGGATCTTGTGCGGGTGAGTCTGGATCCTGTGCGCAGGTGAGTCTGTGATCAAGTGCGCAGGTGAGTCACTTTCAAGTGCGCCGGTGAGTCCTCTACCCTGCCAAGGAGCCTTCAGAATATGAGCTTGGGCCGCAAATTCAATTGCAGCCTGCAACGGGTAAACCTTCCAAGCAGTCTGCAGATCTTGGCTTTTGGTCATGATTTAACCAGAGCCTGGAGGCAGTGACACTGCCAAAGGGTCTCCAGAGCTTGACATTTGGCTTTGATTTCAATCAGAGCTTGCAGGGAGTGAAACTGCCAAGTGGTCTCCAGACCTTGACATTTGATCAGCGTTTCAACCAAAGCCTGGAAGGAGTAACCCTGCCAAACTCTCTGCAGAGTTTGACATTTGGCAATGCCTTCTTGAACTTGTGGCTGGCAGGAGTGATCCTTCCGAGCAGTCTGAAGATTTTGACGTTTGGCGATGGCCATTTCAACCAAAGCCTGGAGACAGTCGCCTTGCCAAACAACCTTCAAAGTTTGACATTAGGCAACATTTTGAAAACAAACCTGGACCGAGTAGTCTTACCAAGCAGTCTACAGCATTTGGTGTTTCGCGGCAGCTTTAACCACAGCCTGGAAAGAGTGAACCTGCCAAGCACCCTTCAGACCTTGACATTTGGCCGCGATTTCAACCAGAGCCTGGAAAGAGTGAACCTGCCAGGCACCCTTCAGACCTTGACATTTGGCCGCGATTTCAACCAGAGCCTGGAAAGAGTGAACCTTCCAAGCAGTCTCAAGTCCCAAGGGTTTGACATTGGGTGAGTTCTTCAATCAGAGCCTGGAAAGGGTGACCCTGCCAAGCACTCTCCAGAGCTTGACATTTGGCTGGAACTTTGACCAGAGCCTGGAAAGAGTGACCCTGCCAAGCGGTCTCACGAGCTTGACGCTGGGTGAGTGTTTCGATCAGAGTCTGGAAAGGGTGACCCTGCCAAGCACTCTCCAGAGCTTGACATTTGGCTGAAACTTTCACCAGAGCCTGGAAAGAGTGACCCTGCCAAGCACTCTCCAGAGCTTGACATTTGGCTGCAACTTTGACCAAAGCCTGGAAAGAGTGATCCTGCCAAGCAGTCTCACGAGCTTGACGCTGGGTGAGTGTTTTGATCAGAGTCTGGAAAGAGTGAGGTTGCCCAGCTCTCTTCAGTGTTTTAGCTGATGGTCCATTTTGGTGACCAGCATGTAGAAGGGGATTATATTTTGAGGAGAAGAGCTGGATTTCCAGAGAACATGCTTTGCAGCGTGGCTGTTACGGCTCTCAAACCGGGATTCGGGACCACCATGAACCCTGACAAGGGCTTTCAAGATCTTTCAAGGTAGATAAACATGTGCCCCAAAAATACAGTGGCTTATCATTACAGTCCCATGAAATTGCCAAAATTGGGGTATACGGTATATATGCTCAATGTTTGGACAACCTGATAAACCATGCTTTAGTATACTGTAGCTAGCAGCTGCTTCATAGTTGGCGAGACCATGCAAAGGGGGATTGGAAGCCTGGTCGCCACGGACGTATTTGTAGGAGACCTAACTCCTAAGTTTCTGTTCCGAAGATGTCAGGAACCACACTAAAATTCAAGAATCAGGTACAATGTCACGAATTTAGATGGCTATCTTTCTGTCGCTGTGGAGATATCAGGCATCGCTGCCAACACATTTCCCTTAAAACCAGATTCCTTGTTTGAAGAGAACTATTCCAGCCAAAAATTTTCAATTTTGCTTCCCCAATTCCTCGAAACCGTGGTAATTAGTTGGCCTTGCACATTCACTTTTTCACAAACGGCAGCCTCAATTTTCAGGAAGAGCAAGTCCATTCCGGACACTGCCGACATCTTCGTGGCACCTGGATCCAACGGCTCTGAGTTTTGGGGGTCATTCAAGGTATTTCAAGGTTCAAGATGTTTTTTTTCCCCTTTCCCCAACTTTCCCCAACTTTCCCCAACTTTCCCCTTTCCTACAACTTTTGAAACCACTGTTTTGCATGTTGATGTTTGTCACTCATGCAGGTGCGCTGAAGCAGCGGAAATCAATTGTCGATGCACCCTATTGCCAATTTGCAACTCATTGTCGCTGCCGTTTGATGCCAAGGTTTGGACCTTCCAAACGCTTTGATTTTCGTTCGTGCTTCGCTCTTTCATTGTTGCGCGCATGAGGGTAGGTCTCAACGCTCAGTTGTGGACATGCGAGTGCAATGCGCAGTTTTGGTGCCAAAATCTGTCCAAGACCTGCTTTCCTTTACTTTAAACGTGGCGTGCGACAGACATCCGACAGTACAGAAAAATCTGTCCAAACTCCAAACTGTCTCTGGGATCAAGGCTGAGTGGATGTGCTCAAACCCGTATATATTTGCAGAAGTAATGTGCAATGTCGGCCCCACAGGTCATTGTAAAGCGCAGGCGAACGCAGGCAAAGGTGTTCCATTTCAACATATTTCAACACAAATCGTGGATCCAAAGCTGCTCCAGGCGGACACTTTGAAGGGCGGGGCCAAGAAACCCGAGTTGGCCAAGGCGGAGGGTGTCAGGATGTGTCAGGGCCTAATGGGCCTAGGAGGAACAGCGATTTTGCCATGGAAATTGCTGTTTTCTGGTGGCTAATATGAGGGACATTTTACCATCAAAGGGATTTATTTGAGATAACTCATGATCATCCCATCTATTTGGATTTCATTGAGACTCTACCGACGTTGATTCAGAATTTGCAGGGTTTAACATAGGTTTGCCATCCTGAAATGGGGATGTCTATAGCCAATGTACTATGAAATGAATCCCAGAAAAGGGACCCCAGAGATAGAGATGGTTGGAGATCCAATGCCAAACCAGGTTTCTGGGGTGGTATTTACGATTCGGGAGAAGGGATTAACATGGGTTAACAATCATTATAATGTATGATAATTCATTATTAAATGTTATTAATATATATATATATATGTGTAAGTTAATTATAAGCCATCGAAATACGGGATAAGCTGACTTATGGACTTGCCAAAGCAGGTTATGAAGCACTTCTCCAATGCGTAAGCAGTGCCCCGGTTGACCCCCTGTGGTTAAGGGCCACCGAAAGAGCGACTTTCAAGATCGGACAGAGCCATACAGCCATGTACAGCCCACTGATGTCGGTAAAGCAATAGAAAACCATCCCCAATTTTACAATACATGGGTGGTATAAACCATCAGAATCTGGGTGGTTTAGTGTTGCTTTACTATGATGTTAGCGGGGTCATCTCTCCAACATCCAGATCATAGAACTGAGCATCGGCTGACAGGTGCTGTGCATCAACAGCGCTGCGGATGTGGATTGGCTCGTGGACAAGTGACTGGCTTGTGAAGTTGTCATTTCCCTGCCCTTTGGATCATAAATCATCTTACTGGTTGCAGTTACACACATACACACACACTTATATATAATACATATAGTGAATAATGGTTAATCCCATCTCCCCAATGTTATAGTATGCTATATTGGTTTAAGATCCGATTAAATCCGACTTCAATGTATGGTAAATCATTATTGTTTTTGAGTTTTGAGTGGTTATATAGTGAAATAATGTTTGTAAACAATGATGGTTATATAAGTTAAGTATGTTATATAGTGAATTATGGTTAATCCATTCATCCATGTTCATCCCCCAATGTCATGATATGGTAACGTTTCTGGATGGCTGCCTTTAGCCGCCTGTACCGGGCTTTCCGGTGCGCCCGGCCTTCAGAAATCCCGAAACTAGTGGGAGATTCAACATTGGGGTGATGGGATTAAGTTATTAGCCATTACTCACTATTAAGCATTCCCAGGGTCTATGTCGGTTTGGGAGATTATAGTATATAGGAAGAATATCATTAGTATTAAGCATGTTATTGATCACCAGTAGCCATTTCTGGTTAACCATATTAAGTCTAATAACTATATAGTGTTTAAGAATCATTACGATTTATTAACGGTATTAACAACTTCTAACTTTCATATTGCCATCGAATCACCATTATTAATATTGACTATGATGGTTATTGCCCACGAATTGCCAGCCACCCAATTTCATTAAAATGTTCATGAAACATCCCCAAGTGATCACCATAAATGGGTGATTTTTCAACCATCCCTTTTGGACCATCTCCAAGTCTCCACCTCTCAGCCAGGTTTGACTTGGACCTGTCACTGGTGGCACGTCTGGGTGGCCATTCGCAGCCGCGCACGCACCGTGGAAAGGAACGATTTCCCGGGATGACCATCACCTATGCGCCTGGGACCGCCTGGGACCTGGGTTGAGGTAAATTATGAAGAAATTACCCACTGGTCGAATGTTGTTTGTGTTACTATCTGGATCACTTGGGCTAGTGTTAACAAATTTTAACCATTCCCATTTAACCAATTTAACCAATCATTATTTAATATTATTTAACATTATTTACTGTAACCAATTTTAACCATTCCCCTTCCCATCGGAATTTACATTCAAGGGTGACAGCATTACAGTACTGGCACCGTTTGGCACCCAGATGAAAAATCGTCCGGTCCCAAGACTCGACCAATGGATTGGGATCCATGCTGTCAAAACATCGACATTTTGAGGCAAAAAATACCTGCAAAATCCATCAAAATCCGCAACAAGAAGTTGGCAAACTTTGCAAAACCAAGGGTCGAAATCCAATGAAATCCATTGATAAGCCCTTCTTTGCACAAAAAAAACCCAAGAAAGATAGAAGAGGAAGTTGCCACAGATGTTTTTTCAGTGGGACTTGTCCTATCTTTTGGGCCCCCCCAAAAAAGAGCCGTCACCGTCCCAGAGGCGTTGATTCAAATGCTGGAGAAGGTGGCTGAAAAGACCAACCGCGCCAGGATTATCACCAAGGTGCGACCCAGTCGTTGGAACCGGTGAGTTGTAATCGGTATGATAAGCCAAACTGAGGTTCAACGAATGAAGATTACAACGTTTAACATAAATTGACCATAGTTGACCTAACCAAACAGTGATAAACATGTGGATCATGTGGAATTCGCATCATTTGACCACTCACTATGTGGATTTGACCAGCCAAAAAGTATGGATTTGATGGGATTTAAACAGTGAATAATCCGCATTGGATAGATTATATAACAAGCTTATCGTGATGTCTTTGCAAATGATGGTTAGGATAGAACCATCCGAAGATGACCGACCGTCTCATGCTGGTGAACTGGTGAATGATGATATCGCCAGATATTGCAACATGGCTTAGCGGTGTATGCCGCATGCCCAGCCGCTAGCCCAAAACACAAAGCTAAATCAATCACTCGAATTTTGTGTACGTATATTGGGGTATAGATGTGAATGGTGGATATTAACCTTAAACTCAAGCAAGAAGAGTTTGGAAGAGTCTGATGGTCACCTAGCTCGGGGAAACCATCAAACGTGCCTCTACTTAGTAATTGTATGGTGGATGCTAACCGCTAACCAAAGTTCACCAACCAACTGGGAGAAAGGTAACATGGTGAACTGTGAATATACCAGAAGCCAACTGTCCAAATATGTGACCCTTTTGAACTACTTTGTGACCTTGTGAAGGCTGCTCGCATTTTGAATCAGGCGGAGGTCTTCAAGCTGCTGCAGAGCGGCCACAATGTGGTCGGCTGCGAGTACCGCAAGGTTTGGGTAGACTGTGGGCTTCGGAACCAGTCAAAAAATCTGGACATATCCACCAAAACCATGGGTTTACTAATTAAACAATGCAGGAGATCCTGCAGAATCATGACTCCCGGCATTGCTTCAAGATGCTTCAAGGCAACATACTGGCATAAAATTACAGTATATAATAATCTATATTAATCTATATAATCCCCTATGCTTATCTATTTATCTCTTTTTTAAAAAATATATGTATGATTATATATGCAACTACCGTATTCACCGTATTCTATAACCTCTAAAACTCATTCAAAACCCCAGTGTTTACATGACAGAAGATCCCCTTTATCGAACCTCTAGCGACTGGCCGAAACCCGGAGGCGGGCAAGGTGGTGAAGGAGTACGGACCCATGATCTTGGCATCCGGAGGCGCCCTTGAGATGGCGCCTCCAAAAATCACCCGTGGCGACAATCCACGGCTGTCGACCCTGTTTAACGGCTGTTGTGTGTTGTTGTTGTTGATGATGATGTTGATGATGATGTTGTTGTTGTTGATGATGATGATGAAGATGATGATGATGTTTCTCAAGCTCTTTTGCAACCTTTAAAAAATGAGTGTTTCTCCCAGAGGTCGAAAAAAGGGTTTCCGATGGTTTTCCCGGCCGGAAGGCTTTGGTGCCGACTTTGGCTCGGACTCCTTGTTGGCGACCTACCGCCCTGCACCGCGGCAAGGTTTGTGGAGATGGACGGGATTTATAGCATGGCAAACCCAACAATAACCCCGGATGCTTGAAGGTTGATACATCCCCTAAGTTATGAAATTGGTTTTAGTGATATAGCATGATATAGAGCGTGGGATTTATACCACTCACTTAGATTGCGGAAGGATGATGGAGCACATAGTGAAATTAGATCCACCAGATTTCAGAGAATCCCGACCTTTCATCATTGGTTGAAGGGTCCATTGGCTGATGGCTTCAAAAATATTCAAACCTTGCGTTCCTAGTACTGGGGTGAAACATACAAGTTGACAAATGTATTTTGGCAGATGAAATTCACAATCAACCAGAACGCCATAGGATTCCGCTGTTTCTTGTCGCTGGATTCCACTTTTCGATTTTCTGTGGGGAATCCAGCTGTCTTTGGGGAATCCAGCTGATTGTCTAGTTTCTACTGGAACTTTTCTATTCGATGAACCCCATCCCCATCAAAAAAGGACTTCCTAAATGGTCCCACAATTTTTTCTTTATCACCAATTAGAGGATGGTTTCTGTGGGGTGTTCCCTACCAAGGGGAAGGACCAGGGAAGGGATTATGTTTAATTAGTTGGACTATGATGACTATGTATACATGCTATAGCTGGGCATGATTGGGCATGCATATTTCCATATGGCTTCGATTTCCATATTATTCCACGTTTGATGGTTAGGTCCGTATTTTTGCTGTAAATTCGGGACGTTCCAGCTCCCCAATCGAAGCAAGGACTTGTTGCACCTGCCGACCACCAACGGTGAACACTGCACAGGCGGAGAATGGAAGATAGGGCAACTTTGGGAAAAGCCATCACATTATTCGCAAGGAAATCATCTGCACAGGGATATTTCAAATATTTCCCATTGCCAAGGACTAATTTAGAGAGTAATCATTGGAACTCACGGCTTGTGAGTTGTGAGTTGGTCCATCATAGTCCATTTTATTTCTTGGAACATGTGCATTGGGACCAGATACATTTAGTACGTGCAGCAAGTTATTGTTCATCATCCCTTTTTGTCGATATTTTGTGCTGTTTTGACAGGCTTTCTCCTAGAAGTTTGGGTTGATTTTTATGATTTTTTATGTTTGCGCACATTCATGATGACCCCCTGATAACAGATGGTTACATTGGTGGTTAAGATACTCTTACGGAGCCATTATGATCTCCATTTTCTAAGTCGAATCCCTAGTGATGATAACACCACTATTTCAAATGGTCATTGCTATACCCAATTTATTGCTAAACCACCATGTCAAAATTCAACGCTGAATCCCTATTGAGTTATACCAATCACTTATGGTTGTTGGATTTGGGTGACTTCGTCGCCCTACGTTCGGTTTCGTAGGTGATGCCATTAAGATGGGTGAAGCGATTGGCGCGGCCACCATCGATTTGGAGTGGGTCCAGGTGGATTTTTTTTTTGGGAGGTTGCACAGATATTTTACCTGGTAAACTAACATAGCTATTGAAAATGGCCATAGAAATAGTGGATTTTCCCATGAAAAATGGTGATGTTCCATAGTTATGTTAGTTTACCAGGCCGGGTATTTTACCTGGTAAACGAGTAGGGAATGGTTGGTCGGAATGGGATGATGATGGATGATTATTACTAGTGATGAAATGGATCATTCCCGAAAATTCCCTGCTAATCACCGGTAAGTATAAACTACCTGGTAAACGTTTACAGTTTGCCATTGAACATGGCCATAGTTGATTTACCTACCCTATGGTTTTTCATAGTTATGTAAAGGTTTACCATTTTTTGTTTTCGGTACTACTTAAACCATCATTTGTTTGGAGGTATATTAGTGATGGTACTCGTATGTTAAAAAAATGCGGGGTCCACACATTTGACAGTTTATCAACATGTTTGCCAGTATGATATGATTGCAATTTTTGGGGCATCTGGTAGTTTCGTGCAAAGCCATGTAACATCATGGAACCAAAGATTCGTGGGGATGCCTGATGCAACAAAGCTCGCCGTGGGATATATCCAACAACTATGGAGATACAACAGGAAAAGGCGAACGGACTCGATGGGTGCAGTCAATGGACCTTCTTAAAGTGGCTGTGATCCACACAAAAAAAGAGGCTTCCATCACCAAACCTGGGAAAGTAATCAACCAAAACTGCAGACACCCTCTGGTAATTTAACATAGCTATAGAAAATCACCATGTTTAATAGATTTAATAGGTAAACCATCTATAAATGGGCCATTTTCCATAGTTATGTTATGTTAGTTTACCAGAGGGTAGCCAATAAGGGGCAAACATTGACTTGTGTATTTGGTTGGTGAAAATTGATGGAAAATCTCCGGCATGAAATGATGGGTCATGGTCGTGGTGTGTAAACTCGGCCACGGGGCCCTCGCGTTGGGCGACTGATGGATGATTGCACCAGTGGACTATGATGGACTATGTATGACTATGTACATGTACTATTCTGATACTATTCTAATATGCAGGGATGTTTTGAACATTTTGTACTATTCTATACTATTCTATGTACATGTACTATTCTATACCATTCTGTACAACCACCAAGCAGGCCACAAGCGCTCCAGGTGCATCCCACTGGTTTGGTGAAGCCGGACGATCCTGATGCCAAGGTGGGAGCTATGGATCTTCGAGGCTGTCAAACATGGAGTTCCATTGCCAGTCCCATTTGAAGCTTAGAGGCCAAAGGGCACCCTGTTAGAATCCATTATAATTCTATATATATATATTAGGCTTGCAATCCATTTAACATAATTCTAGCCTCATCGAAACCTTGCAAACGGGATTCCATGGTCCATGTTTGCACCTCCGTTCGCCATTGAAACCTTCAACATCCAGTAGAACCTCCCCAATGAATCCCAATGTCAAAATCCCCCATTCAAGACCCAAGTCAATTAACACTAGTATCATGATATAATGATATCATATAATATGATATCATATAGTGTATTTTAATTTTATATGATACAATAATATATAATATCTTTTTCAATTCTAGAAGCCCAAAAAAAAAATCCCGTAATTCATCCCCAGTTACACCTCCATCCCCCTCCATCCCCGTTGGCCTCCAAGGTGAAGTTCCTGGCGGCCGAGGCCCTGCGCGGTGTGGGTGGCATCGTGCTGGACGCATTGGGCAACCGCTTCTGCAATGAGCTGGGACGCCGCGACTACGTCACCGGCGCAGCTTGGCGACGGTGGGTGAATGGTGGGTCCCTTGGGTTTGTCCATGGCTATACCCTCTGGTTATGTCAAAATAGCTATTGAAAATGACCATTTATAGTGGATTTTCCGATTTTCCCATTAAAAATGGTGATTTTCCATAGTCATGTTAGTTTACCAGAGGGTAACCAGGGCTATATAGGACTATAACACCAAAACACCAAGAAATTTGGATAAACCATGATATGGGGCCCTTATTTATTGTGGCTAGTTAAACGTGTCACATATGAGAGCCGCAAGTAGGTGCTGGATGGGGTTGCCACTGGGTGCTTGGTTGATCATGGTTGGTTTTATGGGATGGGGAAACCAGTGAGAGTGCCCTTCAAAATATACATTTCTACTATCTTCCCCCAGGGAACCGTTTTACGGGTTTTAGGTGACTTCAAGTCACCATTTTGGATTTTTAATCGAAATGAAAAATCACATCAAGAAAACTTCCTAATCACATTTTTTTCAAGTTTGAGCTTGATATTGGTTCAAATGACGTCAAAGAGAAAGGATATGGTTGTTTTTCTTCATATTTAATGTTGGATGCTGATTAGTGTCGGGCCCCCCCCTCAAACAATTTTTGGATCCACTCTAGGGTGGACATTTTTAAGTGCCGGGTCCTGAATAATATGTGATCAATTGATTTCAATTAATTTTCAATTGATTTCAATTGAATTCAATTGACTTTCAATTGACTTTCAATTGACTTTCAATTGACTTTCAATTGATTTTCAATTGAGTTCAATTTACTTTCAATTGATTTTCAATTTACTTTCAGTTGATTTCAATTTACTTCAATTGATTTCAATTGATTTTCAATTGATTTCAATTTACTTCAATTGATTTCAATTTACTGTCAATTGACTTTCAATTGACTTTCAATTGATTTTCAATTGAGTTCAATTTACTTTCAATTGATTTTCAATTTACTTTCAGTTGATTTCAATTTACTTCAATTGATTTCAATTGATTTTCAATTGATTTCAATTTACTTCAATTGATTTCAATTTACTGTCAATTGACTTTCAATTGATTTCAAGTTACGTTCAATTGATTTTCAATTGTTTTCATATTTTAATTTAGTTTGAATTTATTTTCAAATTGATTTCAACTTACTTACAAGTGACATCCCATAGTAATCCCATAGAAATATCATGGAAATCCCATAGGAATCCCACAGAAATCCCATAGAAAGATCATAGAAATAACATGGAATAGCATAGGAACCACAAAGAAATCCCATAAGAATCCCATAGAATTCCCTCAGACATCCCATAGTAATCCCATAGAAATATCATAAAAACATCATGGAAATACCTTGGAAATCCCACAGGAATCCAATAGAAGCCCCGCAGAAATATCATAGAAACATCATAGAAATACCATAGAAATCCCATAGGAATCCAAGGGAAATCCCATAAGAATACCATAGAATTCCCATAGCATCCCTTCAGAAACCCCATAGAAATCCTCCAGAAATATCATAGAAACATCATGGAAATTCCATAGAAATCCCATAGGACTCCAATCGAAATCTCATGGAAATCCCACAGAAATCCCTTGGTTGGCTGAAGTTCACCCTTTGGAAAAACCTTTTGATTTTTATTCCAAGAAGAATGGAGCTAAGAAAGTAAAAAAAAGAAAAGTATTAGCAAAGAAAAGGAAAAGGAAAGGAGAGAATTATTTTGAACATTTTCACCCCAGACAACAGCTGGACACAATAGTGGGCCCCCCAAAACAAACATACCATTGAGGATCAGGGTTGCTCATGGACTACTGCCTTGAAAAATTGTTTGAATGCTGCTTTTTTTATTGGGTTTTAATAAGGCATCCTATATAATGAATAATTGCTGATGGGTCATAATTAACCTTAAAACATGTTTCTTCAGACAGCAGCTGGACACAATAGTGGAACCCCAAACCAAACATACTATTGAGGATCAGGGTTGCTCATGAACTACCCCCTTGACAAAATTGTTTGAGTGCTGTGTTTTAATTGGGTTTTAATGAGGCATCCTATGTAGTCAATTAATTAATTATTACTGATGGATCATAATTAACCTTAAAAACTTGTTTCTTCAGACAACAGCTGGACACAATAGTGGATCCCCACAACAAACATATTATTTAGGATCAATACGTCTCATGAAAAAGAACTGAAAACATAATTAAAAAAAAACTAAAAATAAAAAACATGAAAAAAACTCCAAACAAACTTTACACAATAGTGGCGCCCCCAATCAATTCCAAAGGGCCAGAATTACTTAGGAAAACTTGACACAATAGTGGATCCTCACACTAATCAGCATGCAACATTAAGACTATTCGTCTAGAACAGAAAACTAGCCACTAGCCACAGCCACGAGCCACTGCCACCAACCATATTTGTATATATATATATTTATCAATTGACTTTGAAAGTTTCGAACATGAAATAGAACTGACACTAAAAAGATTGAAGCTGTCAGAAAAAAACGGTTCCATGACAAAAAACATCCTAGAGTTTTCATTTTCCATTCAATTTTGATGTAAAAGAAACAAAAACAACAAACTGATAAGCATTCAATTGGTTTTAGAAATTCTGGGCACGAAAGATGAATGATACTGCACAGAAACCGTGGCGGTACCATCGCAGAACCAACAATGATTTTTTCATTCAATTTTGATGTTCAGAAATTCAAAAACAGCAAGATACACATTCAATTGATTTCAAAAGTTTTGGTAATCAAACCGCACAGAAGTCTTTGCGAGCTGCATGAGAAAAGAATCATTCAGATTTATGTCCATTCAGTTTTGATGTTGAAAGAATTTACAGCAACAAACTGATACACATTCAATTAATTTTCAAAGTTTTGAAAATGAAAGATGATCGAAATTGTGCAGAAGTCACTGCGAGCTACGTGACAGAAGCAAGCCTCATTAAGTTCAATTGAATTTTGATATGAAAACTGATGCAAAATAGTGCCTATGGGAACCCCTTCGGGGCCAGAAAACCTGCCTTACTACCCATCAAAATGTAACTATAGTTGATATATCGCAAATTCCATCACTCGAATACATTTCAAAAAAATACCAGGAACATCGTTCCTGCATGACAGCAAGATGAGGACATTGTGTTGTCCTTCTGACATGGTCTCCCCTATATGTTTTACATTTTGGCTTTAATTTTCAGGACACTGTCCCCCTAGGTTGGATACATTTAAACCTTCAAAATTCATAGACGCTGTCTACCTTAGGTTGGATATATTTTCATAAATGTATTAGGAGAGGGGAGAGGCATAAAGTAGTTAGGGAGGGTGATGTAATTACATGTTCATCCCAAATTCTTCCTTGAATCCAATGTTTGTTGGCAAGTCCAAATTTTGGTGGGTCAGGGGCCTCTAGATTTTACAAAAGGTGCGACTCCTCCTTCCTCCTTATTCCTCCTTCTTCTTCTTCTTCCTCCTTTGCCAGCTCGTCGGCGCTGTGGGCATTAACGGGCCCGGACCTCACAGCAAGTGCCAGCTCAAGTGGAATAATCTCGCTCCAGAAGTTCATGGCGAGCTTCACGTCAGTCTGGCCACATGCCCAAAGACCCGAGACATGGCAAGCTCGAGCTCCAGATCGGGGTAGGCACACACGGGCCCGAACACATGCCAGAAAGAATGTCAGAATCCTTACCTGCCAGAAAAAAATCCAGACAGAATGTTGAATATAGGCCAGATAGAACGCGAGAAATAATGTCAGAATAGATGCCAGATAGAATGTCAGATAGACAGGCAGAATAGATGCCAGAGAAGATGCCAGATATGATAGAATGACACACAGATTGACGGCTCAGCCTGGGCACGCGCAGCCCGAACCCCGTGGTGAGCTCCAGATCAGTTTGGGCATACACGGTCCCGATCACATTCCAGAAAGAATGTCCGATTTTTTCGGATAGAGTCAGAATATGCCAGAAAGGATGCCAGATAGAATGCTTGAAAAATGCCAGATAAAGTAGAATGTCAGGAATATATGCGAGAAAGAATGTCAGAATATGTGTGTCCCGTATGTGCTTCCAGATGATATGTCAGAAACTATGTCAGAATAATTTGTCAGGACGTGGATCACTCGGAGTAAGGAATTGTTTAAATGAAGCAGGGGAATTTCAAATTCAGGCTGATGAACGCCCCAGCTTGGTTTCCTTTAACATCCTTTAACTAGCACTTTTAATCAGATTTGGCTTAAGCGCACACGTTAATGTGTTTGCTCACATCCCCACATTTCTTGCTTCGTGCGTGTTATCTATCAGCTTTTTACTCAGGAAATGTGGAAAAATAAGCCACCTTTCCGCTTGTGCCTCAACCGCGCTGCTGCGGATGAGATCATCTGGCATGCCACTGGGCAGCAACAGTTTTGCAGGGAACATGCCATCGTAAGAATGATGTTTTTGCGTGCGCATGCCATTGGGATTCCTTTAGTAGACTAGACATTTTTAGCTGGAAGATTCTTCATTAGTTTTATACCTGTATATATATATGGGACATCCATGATGTCCCTCATGGGTAACCACTTAAGCTCCCCAGGTCATCCCAGGTCCCTCCAACGAGCCCTCCTTTAGGCCAAGCACTACACGGGCCGCGGCGTGATGAAGTTCTACCCTTCGGGCGAAGACTTAGCCAAGGACATGGGCGTCCCGCTGCAGACCTTGGTCGATGCGCATCAGAAACACTTCGAGGCGGCCAAGAAGCAGGAGAAGGATCCCGAAGGCACAACGGGTGTGCGTGTGTGTTCATGATGGCTATATATATATGTATTATGTATATATATCTTACAGTATATGTAATGGTTATTTAATGGCTAAGGTATATTTTCAATAATGACTATATGGTGGTTTTCTTAAATGGCCACACTTCATGTTTTCTATTTGGGGACAATTGCTATGTTTGTTTTTCTTTGCTGTAGACTTGGTATACAATGGCTATATACTGGGAGAATGAACGGGGTAAGAAGAGGATAATTACTAATTATGATGGGATAATGATATGATATTGATGGGATCATCATGGACTAATGATAGGATATTCATGGATAGTGATTATGATGGGATAATATTGATAAACATGAGGATGCCGTGCAATAACCGAACGTTTTGCAATGGTATAGATGGCCCATTTAGTTTGATGATTTACCAATGAAAGATGGGATGTTCCATAGAGTTTTACAACAAAGATGGCAGTGTAATGGGATAATGATGGAATATCAATGACATATTATAGAATTAAGAGTGGTTTTAGTGAAAGGCCCAGGGATGATGTGGTTTTGTTGTCCGAAAGATGGGGGTGTAGTATGAGGATTTAATCAATCAATATCTTTGTGCAACACACTGCAGCTCAGATCATTTAGTCATTAGTCGGGGATTAAACCGTTGAATACGATTGAACAGGATCATGGGATCAAAGAACAACATATGACTTAAGATCATGCAACCATGAAACTTTGGAATTTGACCAGCCAATAATGGAGGCCAAAGCTGAAGTGGATCATGGATGATCATGGCATTCAATGTAAAATGCTGGTGATTTGACCATCAAAACGGCGGATTTTGGGATTTGAGCAATGCCGGATATGAACTTGTTTGGGGCAAGAGAGGTGGGAAGGAATGGGGGAACCATACCCAATAAGTTGGTTGATTTCAAGATGGTTTCAGATTTGGGAAGTGTAGCCATGTGCCTGGATGATGTGCCTTTTTCTAATCTGTTGGATAGTCTTGTGAAATGACATGCTACAAATAGCAATACCCTCTGGTTATTTAACATAGCCATGGAAAATCACCATTTTTAATAGGTAAACCATCTATAAATGGGCCATTTTCCATGGCTATGTTAAATAACCATAGGGTAATTCTAACACATCGCCATCATCCCTGGCCTATCTGGGCCTATCCCCATCGTCAGCTTTCAGGTGGCCCCTTCCCTGCCTATCCATCGGGAAAGACCTGGGATGAACCCAGTGGAAAGACTGGCAGCGGAAAGAAGTTCTTCCACAACATCATCGATCCTTGACACATCAAACATATCTGACATATTCTGACATAATTTTGCGATTCCAACAACAGGAGGTGTACTATTTAAATTATTTAAGTGAAGGTTTAGGTCAGAATCTGGGAGTTGAGAGGTTTGATTCAACTCAAAGGGGGATTCAAACATCATCCGCGTTTTTCATATTTTGTCGATGTGTTCTGCTGTCAATTTCCAGCGGTAAACCCTTGGAAGCCCCGGCAGACCTTGGGATGGCCCATGGCCTGAGGATGGCTCGAAGGTTGCCACAGAGCCATTCTATGTTGTCACTGGGCAAAGTCTTGTGGTGTTTTGAAGGCACGAACCAGAATATCATCGTGATACCTAAAGGGAACAGTTCCATATGTCCATATTGTATTATAATATCACAATGCTAATGCATATTTTCATATCATGGTGTAATATTGAAAAAATATATCTCCACGGTGTAATATTAGAAAAACACCACACCTGTTTTATTCATTACCTTGGAACACGCAATACGATGAACTTCCCGAGCCTTTTGCGACGAAGCTTTCTCTTCATCTAAGGGGCTCTGTGGCGCCTCAAGGCCACCATCCCTTTGGTAATCTTCGAGGGGCCCTGTCTAAGGCCATCATTACCCCAGTGATCCACTACTGCATGGGCGGTTTGGAATGCACCGTGGATCCTTGCGTCGCATTACAGTTGTAAGCAGGCCAAGCAGGCCACTGTGTGGGGGACTGACACTTTTTTCGCAGTCTCTCGCATTGCTGCTGTCTAATCTTTTCTATTGGGAGGTAAATCAAGCCCTTGTTGTATCTTGTTGTTTGAGGATGTCTCAGGTGTTCGGGTAAAGGGGGCATTGCGTTGCGTCGCACCCCGGTGGTCTTTCCTTCAACCGAGGATGCGGAATGCATCGACAAGTCAGGCAAGGTCATCCCTGGCCTCTACGTGGCCGGGGAAGCTGCAGGCCCAGCACCTTGCGGGACGATCAGATTTCGCGATGCTGAGAAACCGGCGCTAACCAGCACTAACCAGCCATTGTCGAAGGAAAAAAAAACTACTGAAATAATCCTGAGGCCCTAAGGATTTTCAGTAGTTTCTTTTTTAGTGTTTCTTCATCAGAAATGGTGCGTGGCGACGTGGCGTGCCCAGTTCGTTGTTTTTATTTTTACGGAGAACATGATGATAAGCCATTGCGTTCGGGTACCCCTTTTTTGGGCAAACCAACATGGGCGGATAGGGCTGGGATGGTCCATGACTTTGGAGAATGATGAGACAATATGAGACAGTTGATGGTTGTGGGGAACCTCTTAGTAGATCTAACATGATCTACCCTCTGGTAATTTAACATAGCGAACTGGAAAGACCCACCATTTTTTCATGGGAAAACTCACGATTTCTATGGCCATGTTCAATAGCTTTTTGTATGTTTACCAGGCCGGGTAACGATCTCAAGGGCTTTGGTCCAAGTTTGATCCAAGCACCTTGGAGGTGGCATCCACGGAAACAATCGTGCCTCTGGCTGGATCTGGCAGCTATTTGCCACGAAAAAAATCCAGTTATTTAACAGTTCGCCATGGAAAATCACTATTTTTTATGGGAAAACCATCTATTTCTATGGGCCATCTATACCATGGCAAACTGTTAAATAACCAAAGGGTAAAAAAAACCACATCTGAAACGTGGCAGGTTAAGGGTTCAAGATGTTGATCACCTATGTTCGGTAAAAGAACATGTTGAGATACACAGATACACGTTGTGAATGCGGTTAATGGATGTTCATGGTGCAACAAATCCAGAGGCCTGTTCATTTCATACGGTGGCCTGCCCATTCTCACTCCATCTCACTGCTGCTTTTGGCTGGGCAGCTTCCTTGCAGCAATGTTTTCCTGCCAGATAGTTTCAGAGGGTCATGACTTCGCATGACTACTAGGTTTCCCAGGAAATTATAGTAACAATTCGACATGATCAGGAAATATGGAATACATAATACATAATATTTCACCAATTTTATAACATTATATTGGCATATATTGGCCATTTGGTGGCCATCGAAAGACAAAACCCATGAAAAAAAAACAGGATCAACGGAGAAACCTTCATTTAGATTCATTTAGTTCCATGATTTTCCCCAATGTATAAACCTCAATGGCACGGGCCAAAGAGATTTTCCAGCCACCGAAACGACCAGTTTTTCCCAGGTCTGGGCGGCAACTCTCTGCTGGACTGCGTGGTCTTCGGCCGCGTGGCTGGTAAGGCGGCCTGCAAGTACACCTTCGGAAAGGACGAGCGCCTTGGGAAAAAACCCATGGGGATCTCAACTGAAAAACCCATGGGAAAACCTATGGAAAGCAGAAAAGTATGGAACAACTATGGAAAAAACCACGGAAAACTATGGAAAAATGCTGTCAACATATCATTTTAGCTATGATCTATAGGGGATCATTGAAACATTGTGAAACCATCTGAACCATAAACGTGAAAAAAGCACACGTTCCGAACTAAGATGCTGGAGTTGATGATCCCAATTGGTGGAAGGAACACATTTACATACATTTACCCCATTATTAATACCATTTTTAGTGGGATGAACCTCCATTTACCAGCTATTTTGATGTTCACCTGGGGTACAAGGTTTTGACACACTGCCATGTGATGACTTAGCTATACAGTAGCAATAGATACTCAGTGAACATGGTAAACCTTGACGCCTTGAGCGACGTGCTGAGGAAGTTCAAGCCTTGCCCGATTCCCAGTGAGCTGAAGGAACTTGCCAAGTGAAGTGGTTGAAATTTCTGCCCTCTGCAGCGTTTTTTTTTCAGATGGAAATGATGGATGTGTGGCAATTTGTTAATTAGACTGTTCAATCCATCCTACTCCACGGCTGCTGGAAGCTATTTGTTAATTTAGTTCATTAAATTCTTGAGTCTTTTGGATGCCGCAGGGCCGCAGGGGCAGTGGACATCAATCGCTGACAAAAAAGTGCCACAGCTTTTTGAAGGCAGACAGAAGCTGGCTCACATTCAAAGAAGTTTTAAGTTATGTCCGCTGAATTATTCATCGATATGATAAGACTCACCATGTTTCATTCAATTGCAGTCGAGGAGAGATGAGGAAAGCTAAGTTTCTGCATCTAGATTCGCGCAGCACAGGGCCTTTTGTGCAGGCAAGTCGCCTGCGAATAGCCATGTGCAACCCCGCTATTTCAGAAGTCAGGGGTTCAAACACGTGCGAACTGCCATGGGCTGCCGGATGTTTGTTGGGCCAGAATCTTTCCCAAATCCTTACCCCTCATATCCCCTCATGAGCCTTTGAACTATAGTTCATTTGGATTTCAGATGCACGGGATCAGACTCAGAACTTATCCCTTGTATATGTACCCTCTGGTAATTTAACATAGCTATTGAAAATCACCATTTTTAATTGGAAAATCCACTATAAATGGCCATTTTCAATCGCTATGTTAAATTACCAGAGGGTATATATGCCTTTGTTCATGTGGATGTCGTCCAAAAATCTTTTCACAACATTTCAGAACCGTTTTTCTCTACAATCTTTGGGGATTCCGACGGCCGAACACCCCAACAAAAACCGGCATTTTTCCAATGGCTTGGGGCAGGTTCCGGCGGAAGGTCTTCGCTGCCCGGGCCAAAGATGCCAATGGCAGAGGAGAAGTGGACGTGGTGGTCATAGGCGCCAAATTTTGCTGGTTGGATGCTGAAAGTTAGCAGACCCCTAGTGAACATGCAACCACCAAAGTGGCAATATTCAAAAAAAAGGGAAAATCACGGAAAAACATGTTCCAAGCCCCATGTTCATCCGCATTTGGGGTTCATGTTAAGTTAAATTACAGGAATTAAATAAAGAATAATAAAGATATATGACAAGATAGAATGGCTCAGAACCGGCTCACCAAAGTGGTGACCCCAGAATCCCCCCAGTGGGCCCCATCCATGGCATTTGGGGCTACCCCAAAAAGATAGAAGCCTAAAGTCCCCCAAATTGACAAAGTATACAAGTGATAGTTTTCAACATCTTGCCTGTTCTATTTTGGGGGGGTTGCTATAGCCCCAAAACGATTGGTTGTACTGTCCTCCATCGTTTCAGACATCCCCAGGGCCGCCAGGCTCCGGCTTCGGCGGCCTTGCAGCCGCTGGCCTGCTGGTGGATGCCCCAGCAGCCTCCGGCAGAAGTCGCGTGGATGTGGAACACCTATGGCAGGTTTCCCATTGGGAAAATGATTGAAAATGATCTATGAATAATCTATGAATGGTGGGTTTTCCACATCTAAATGGTGACAACTCACCAATAAGAATGCTGCTATTTTTTGGGGGGTGGGCAGTTAAGCACTGGAAAATCATCGAGCTATGGTGACTTCTCAAGTCATTGGGGGACCACCATGGATGCCATGAACCACCCAATGGTTTACATCATGGGATATGGGTCATGAAGGTGACAGACCCAAATGAAGGGCTTACTATGGCTTACTATTCATCTACTCAGTGTCAATATTCTTGGCTTTCATACTGGTCTTTTGATTGGGGGCTATTGTGCTCCTTTCGGATCCTTCAGATTCAAATATCTATGAATATTCAATATTCATGACGTTTCCCAGCAGACCTTCAAGACGTTCAAATATCTAAGATGGATCCTCCAAAAATGTCACTGATTGTCGGTGATGATTCTGATGATCATATTGATCATGTATATACATATATACATATATATTGATCACATTGATCATATTGAAATATCATGAAATCATGAGATATCCACCCAGTTGCCAGGCCCGAAGCGGCCGGGAGGTGCTGGTCTGCGAATCCCACAGCCAGCCCGGTGGAGTTGGGATGCCCATCCGGCAGGATCTAAGATTCACCGTGCAGGAAAAACATGGATGAATTGACAACTGGCAACATGATTCGGAACTGGCAACGTTATCGATCAAGTATTGGGGTCGAACCCCAAAGATGCCGAGATGGAACCAGAACATCCCAAAACAATAGAGGTAACTGATAGACTTCGAATAGTAAGGTGACTGTTTTCTAATGTCTGGGGACTCGTTTGTTTGTTTTTTTTGAGCCAGGCTTACTAACCATTCCACGATTGCTGGTGCCTCCGGCAAGCTGGGTTACCCTTGGTTACCCTCCGGTAGTCCAACGTGCCTGGGAAATCCCCGATGTTTCATGGGAAAATCAACGTATAAAATGCTGGATTGTCGCCACGTTTCAAAAAATCCGGGCTGGTAGGACATTCCGTGGGATCATCGAAATCCTGAGGCTCAGGTGCCTATCCCCTTGTGGGTTCCTGCATGGGTTGTATCATTGATGTTGAATGAAAGGATGATCCAATGATTCAGTTTCCATATGTTCCATCACATGGAGGATCCAAAATGTATCAAAAATTGTGCTGAGGTTGCGCATTCGCAGGGCAACTCAGCACCTCCCAGAAAAGACTCTCCCATGGATCACATGTTACTGGCACCGCCTCGCACGCCAGAGAAGATGACGCTTAAATCAATGCGCCCATCATTTCGAACAGCGTCAAAAACCACCTGTTATTGCCAACAATCACTGCTCAAATTACCCTCTGGTAATCTAACATAGCTATTGAAAATGGCCCATTTATAGGTGATTTACCTACTATAGATGGTGATTTTCCATAGCTATGTTAAATTACCAGAGGGTATCTCAAATTCACCTAAAAGCCACTTCACCAATTTGACCATCTTTGACCATCCCCGATTTCCATCGATTTCCATCATTTTCGTCCAGGTTCAAACGCCAGGGCTATGAGTTTGACAGCGGTCCCAGTCCGGTGGCCTGAGCTTTCTGGCTTTTCGGGTTAATTCATGTTTATGATGTAATATATGTCTTATATATATATACCGTATATATTATTATATCATATACATATTATAAATTATATATATATTATATTGTATATAACATTGTTTGGAGATGTTTGGTATCTAAGCTTCGCCTAGGGCCTTGCCACCATCAGGCTGCCACCATTCTCCCACATGGAATTCCTTCATCCCAGGCCTATTGTCCGGTTGCTCCTCACCCATCTCAGCCAATCCGGTGAGACATTTGCTGAATGCTCTGGGGGAGGACGTTGGTTAGCGAGCTCGGGCTGGTGGCAGCTTGCAGGTTGGAAATGTGTGGCCCATGGGCTTGGATGATGGGAACATGTTCAGCAAACCACTATCAAAAAAAGCACATGGTAAACAAAATTCAGGTTAACAAAAACATGGTTTGAACATTAAAAAATCCCTCCATTATTTTTTTGGGGCTGAGTTGTGACAGCGGCTTTCACCACCAAGCTAGATACCAGTATCACCATTCGCTGGTGATATCTCGGGATTTCAATGAGTGTTTGTTTTTGCCAAGTCATGAGCCCCAATGCACCTTGCATTTGTTCTAGAAAGCCAAACCAGGTCGGTGTGCACGCTTTCGTTCATCTAATCACGGCAGCCTTTTTTGCAGCTCCAAACCCGGGGTGGGCTTCCCAACCCGGCAGAGACTCCAGATGCTTGGCATTTTGGTGCTCAAACCATCCCAAGTCCTCCAGTAATCCGAATGGATCATGGATGATCATGGGATATCCATGGATATCCTGAAATCCCACAAAAGGCACTAATACATACTAATACTGGGTTTATGTACTTGTTCATAATTGTTCCTAGGTTTTTCATACGTCCATTTTCGGCTCATAGTGGATTCACACAGCATTGCATCATTGGATGGCATTTCAAAAAAAAAGAAACACTGCTTCCAGCTTCCTGGATTTCTTGGGGCTTGCTTTGTTTGTTCATTGGCCCTCCACATTGCCTTTATTCATTTTTCAATCTGCTTTTTCCACAGCTCTCAACAGCCATGATTGTCACTTTGAACCCAGCGAAGAAGAAAATTGTAATGTTGTCCTCGTCCCAGGACTCCTGGTGGGATCATTGGAACTATGGAAAATCATCATCTTGACCGGTAAATCAATTCTAAAGGTGCTATTTTCAATAAGCTATCAATGATGACCTGAAGATAGTTATTGAGAAGGTTAGTTACTTGTAGCTGGCAATAAGTATCTTAATAGGTAAATCAACTATGAACATCTTTAATAGGAGAATATGTCCCTACTTGACATCATAGCATGGCCCAGTTGTCGGCCATCATATGAGGCGAATGAGTTGAGACCTCTCGACGTGAGGCGGTGGCAGCGGCTGGCAATGCGATGGTGGGCAACCCAATACCATAAACCTCCCATTTGGACATGGTTTATATTGATTACCTGATTTTGGGGATGGTTTTTGCTTGGGTATTATTAGAATTTATTGGGTTTACCGGTTTGCAACGTTATTTGGATTGATGGCACCATTGAGGAAGGATGCACGTGTACCTTTTGAACAACTTTTCCATCACAAAGCTGCATAATTTCAATGATATAATATAGGATTTCCTGGGTTTATTTGGAATCTGAGGTCCCATTGCTCCCGAAGCCCTTTTAGCTCCGGCGCAAGCGAGTTTTGGAGGGTTCCACATTCCACGGCGCGTTTAGATGCCAACCACCAGCATAAACCTTTCCAGCCAGCACTCTCGCTACAAAACCACCATGTTTGCAGCCCAAAAATTATCCATCGCAACATTTGCCAACATCAAAAATCAACCCAAAACTCAGTAAACTCCAGAGATTTTCGGATTTTTGCTGATTTTGGGTCATGTCATCCATATCTCCCATGCCGCGCCGCGCCCCGTTGCTGGCCTTCCTGGCCCTGGGCGCCCTAGGCGCCTTCGTGGCACCGAGGCTTCCGTTACCGACGCCAGCGCGGGGACCGCGCCACACGACGCGCTTCGCTGCGCCGGCACCGGCGCCGGTGAAGCCACGCCCCGAGGCGCCACAGATGCCAAGCAGCCCAGATCCCAGGAGAATCTCGGATTTTTTCAGATGGATGTGGTAAACCATGATAAGCTCAGGAATCATGTTAGGGAGAATTATAGTTTATGTTTATATCATATAATATATATAATTACGTATATATATATATATGTGTGTGTGTGTTTGTAGTTATAATAAAGGAAAATATATAGGGATAATGATGGTAAACTATCCCCAATTCAGGTTTATGATATTGGGTATGCCCCTATGACTGGGATGATGGAATCTGGTATAGTTTATGCTGATTATATATTCTAAGCTCCAATTGCCAAGACATATATAGCAACTATAGCAACCCTGAATAGAAAAAATCTAAACCTGGAAATATGAGGGAGCTATCATCGAACTACCATCCTGGAAACACGTTAAACATCTTTTAGGAGGTTGACAATATTTATGTAGAGATATTGTGTTGAGTCAAATTGAATGCTTCATTGATGTTTGTAAATGGGATTCAGATTAATGGGATTTTTGGATGGAACGTGTGTGTGTGTTGTTTATTTGGACAGACTTTCTGGGGACAAGTATATAATCATATAGATTCATATGGTGATTAATGGATATTGATTCTGATGGAATCATTTATTACAATTTCTTTGATTTCTACACCATCCGGAAAATCTATGAAAATCTTATTTGTGTAAATCGACCAAAAATAACCCGGTAACCTATCTGGAGTACGAATATGCCCCTTCAAACCATATTAAGCCATATTAAATTAGGTAACCTATTTTTATATTCAACCCTCACCTCCTGGGGTAACCTATATTTTTGCATATTTTTTCTTCAGTTGCTCCCCCGAATTGCGCGAAAATGCAAGGAATGGGAGAGGCCGTGAGGTGGTTGATGGATGAAGATGTGGAAAAACCGCCGGAATGGTGGCTCTGAGTTGGAAATTCATGGCTGGCTGGGAAGTCTCCGGATTCCTGGAGATGTTTTCATGGGAAAACCATCGAGGATTTTCCAGCCTCGTTGGATTTTTACTGGAGGGCATGTTGGCATGTTTTCTAATGTATGGGTTGAAGATGCGATTCCTATAGTTGAATATAGTTGATCAATAACTAAAACTATCCATGAACTACTACATAACTATAAAAGCGTTATATAGGTACCCGATTTCTCTTGATTTTCCCATGAAATCCTTCATTTCAACATGTTTCCCCCCTTTTTTTGGTTTAAAAGCTCTCCATTTTTTTCACCCAAAAAACATGTCCAGCTTAAATGTCCCAGCCAGGTTGGTCCTGCTGCTGGACAAGACCTTCCAGACCCGGAAGAACACGGTCTACCGGGTCACCTCCTCCTTGATGTCCGAGCTGCCGGAGCTGACGCTGGCGGAGGCCAGGACCAAGGCGGAACATGCCAGAGACCCGGCAGAAGCCGCGAAGCCGAACGGTTTTTTGGGATGAGTCAAGGCATTGAAAGGAACAGAAGGGACCACAGAGTTGAGTTTTCAGCATTGAACCATCTAATTGTCATCTAATTATCTGGATACACAATTTTGATACCCACATGGAGGGATCGACGTCTTGTTTTTGACCAAAGATTGTGAAAGATGGGCCAAACAATTGAAGACATGCCTTTTTCATCCTTTTTCCAGGAACCGAACAGAGATGTAACCACCCCAAAAAATGCATTTTGAAGATATACACGCACACACACACATATATATATATATTATATACTGTGTATATATATATAATCATCCGTAACTTCGGATAATGATTTGAATTTTCCAATCCTGCCTGCCATGTTGATCTCAAATTGACAAGTTCTTGGGGTTGCCACCAAGCAGTTTGGATCCAGTCCACCACCTTCAACGGCCAAGGAGATCACTTCTTCTCCGTCTTGTCCACCACCCCCGAGTGGAACAAGGCCATCCGATTGGCTCAGTCCCTGCAGCGCTTGGGTCTGGCTGTGCGTGTGGTGCCCGGCTTTGATCGAGATGCCTTTCTGAAGGGTCGCCCGGTTGGCAGCAGAAAGTGGGGGAGGGTCCTCTGGACCCATACTGGTTGGTGGTTTGGAACATTTTTTATTTTCCATAATATATGGGATAATCCTTCCTATTGACTAATATTTTTCGGAGGGGTTGAAACCACCAACCAGCATATCTTGGGAACATCTTATTTTTGTTTTTTTTGAAGTATATATATAACTATATATATATATTTATATATATGCAAAAACAATGGAAACATATAGAAACTAGCGATTTAAATTCTAGGTTTGAACATGGGCCCAGGAAGTCCTGAGGTGTTTCTTGGATGTTCCGTTGGGAATCCCCAGGAGTTATCATAGATGCAAGTCTCTTTGTTCCAATACATTTATTTTCAGATGAAGTTTGGCCAATTTTAGCCCTCAAGATTTCCCGGCCGGCAAATTCAAAACAATACCCAATACAAAGGGGAGATGCATTTAATTATCAGCAAAAGGGGGGCAACAATGTCCAAATTTGATGCTGCGAAACAGCGTTTTGACTCGTCCCCTGGATCTGGTGCATTTTCACAACGGTTCCATGCCACGCAGGCAATGTTTGATGACCTGCATGAGAACCTTCGCGCTGAGACTCGCTGTGCTTTCACCGAACTTTCTCACCCATTTCCGATGGCGCCCGTGCCGCCATGGAAGGGGGCGTTCAGTCGAGATTTTGTTCCCGTTTTGGTGTGGAGATCCACTGCGGTCCGGACACCGGTACAGTTCAACATAGACATCATAGACTGTCATAGACCATGTCCAGAGCGTTTCGAAATGGACCCAGCGCAGAGTGCTGTGACCTGGATGGGTCCAGGAAGACTGGTTTGGGGGCCGTTTTTTGATGCTTTTTGGACATTGCTGTATCATTTGTTGGATGAAGCATTCTGACACTGGCTGGATTGATCCCGAGTGGAACCTCATATGGCTGGAAAAAATGGACGTTGCTGTATCATTGACTCATGACATACACCAATGAACGATGTGGACACCGTGCTGCCAGGATGGCGGAGGAAACTCCAGCGGAACAGGCGCAGTGACGCAGTGGGGAATGTCTCCCTGCGACGTTCAAGCACCCCATCCCTCAATCTGAATCAAAAGAGGATGATTCTCTTGGTATAGGCAATCATCATCAATCATCCCTAAGTTGGTTCACTTTGGGTTGTACGTGTTTGTTGCCAGGATCTAGTGCAGCAGGCAACCAATTCGGTGATGCTCACCTTGATGGGTCCCTGGAGGCCATCGTCTTTCACATCGAGGTGCCCGGTGCCGTAGGCCTCCCAAAGCCGGAAGTGACCTACGTGCAGATTGCTGGGCTTGGTCTTGAGGAGGTTGGGGGCAGGGTGGGGTGGTTTCACAAAAGGGAGGAAGCAAATAGTTTTTTTTTTGGCGTGTGTGATTGTGTGTGTGTGTTACGTTTTTTCTCCAACTACTTTGTCAACATGTTACAATGTTACTATTTCTTTGTTTCTTGTCAAGGTTTTTGGCACGGTTTTTGGTTCGATCTGCATATAACCGTTATAACCACCCTGTGCTGGTCAACCCGGGCATACCCGGCATTTGCAGCGGATTTCTGGACCATTTTTTGATATTTTTTGCTGCTCTACCATCAACTGTAGGTCTTAGATTTACCCTTCTGAAGGCTGGAATCCCCCCAAACAGGTTCCGAAAAATAAGCATTTCTGACCATTTTTGTTCAGGTTCCGGTCCATAGTCACAATATACATTCTATATACATTCTATATTGGGTGTGGCCATGATTCCAGCGAATCATAGAATATCACAGGCGCCATGTTGCGGGCGCCTTCTGAAAAACACGCCCTGCCAGGACTACGCCTCAGAGGCGCAAGTGGAGGAGATCAAACTTCCCCGATTTGGGATATAACTTGGGGGTTCTTAAGTCATGGAGGATCCCCAGTCGTCACCATTATTGTTTCAATATGTTTCAATACATTTCAATACTAAGGCATGGTCATCCATGACTTGGATGAGAACTGGGGATACCACCATGACTTAGGACACCTCTTGGGATGAGTTGCCAAGTTCGTGCACAGAATATCCAAAGAGGCAGCCTCGCCACATGGCGGGTGAGATCCTCATAAATTGCTTCGGACAATCCCATTTAAAATCCCATAGATTTTTTGGCTTGGATGGGTTGGAGTCAAACCCATATGTACATATATAACATATAAAAATCCCTTTTATATCATATAATACAGTATAGCAATCCTCCAGGCTCATGTCTTTTCTACCTCCCAACTGGAAAATGATTGGAACAATTTGCAAGTGGTTCCTCTGTATCTGTCCAACAAACTATAGGGTTTCCGCGGGTTTCCTATGGTTGCACACCGATTTTCCCTTATATATAAATATACACATACATACATACATACATACATACATACATACATACATACATATTTATATATATATACATAGCAACCCCAAAATAGATAGAACACTTCGAACCCTGGAAATATGAGCTAAATATATCTAAATTTCCCAACTATATCCAACTACCCCCAGCGGCGGTTCCAGGAGTCCACCGAGCCGGGCCCCTGGCTCTTTCAAAGCCTGGAAGCCATCGCAGAGGCCAAGCGCCTCAAGGCGGAGGTGCGGGGAAGCCGCTCGAAATGGACGAATTTCCCATCTGGTTGGTGGTTGAATGGGGATATTTTCATGATTTAATGGTGATTAACCCTCTGGTAATGGAAGATTTTTATGGCTGGTCATATTTTTTTGGCCATATCTAAAGATTCCAACTAATCCAATATCCAGTAATCCAACTAGTCCATTAATCTTCTCCGGTTGGTGGTTTGGAACATGACTTTTATTTTTCTATAGATTGGGAATAACCATCCCAACTGACGAACTCATATTTTTCAGAGGGGTAGGTAGGGTGCACCAACCAGCCATGGTTTTTTGGTTGCCATCAATGCGGAAAAAAATATGGATACTATTGTTAATGGTAAATATATGGATAGCAAATATGATATTTGGAACATATTTTTTGTTGCCATCAACACATGGATACTTCACCACGAATTAACCATGAACAAATGCCATGAAGAAGGAAAATGTAGCAATATTTGCACATGAATTAACCATAATGAATTTACCATGAACACATGCCATATCAAGAAGTAATATATGTATGAATGTAGAGTTTTTTATGAATTCCCTCGTATTGAATCAACAATATTGGACTATAAGAGGGATTTCGTGGGGACTAGTCTAACGAATCATCTAGTCATCTAGAAATTAACTATTCCGGGAATATTAATAGCGGGGTTTCTTAAGTCATGGGGCATGGTTGTTTCAATATGTTCAAGACTAAGTCATGGTCATCCATGACTTGGATGATGATTTGGGGGTACCCCCATGACTTAGGAAACATGGTCATCCATGACTTGGATGATGATTTGGGGTTACCCCCATGACTTTGGAAACTTCCAAAACCTTTGGGGACATGGAATGAATAGGAACATAGATAGATAAACAAGTTTGGCAATTACCTGAAACAATAAATAAATAAATACATATATATATATATAAGTAAAAAGATCTTTAGATATCTTTGGGACATATCATCCGGCAATCAAACGTGGCTTGCAGGAAAATCTGCCGTTTACATGATTTCCAAGCTATAAAACCTCCATCTATAGGGAAATTGGAGAGAGATAGGGTATTTCCCATGGTATTTCCCATTGAAACTTCCATCTTTGGGGGAATACCCCTCGGGTAACTTAACATAGCCATGGAAAAGCACCATGTTAAACTTGTAAATCATATGAAATCATCCATAAATGAGCCATGTTCAATAGCCGTGTTAAATTGCCTTTTTGGTACATGGAATGAAGAACGGAACATATAGAGAACTAAAGGTTGACATTTGATCAGTTTGGGATACTTCATGATACTTCACATGGACCTAGTTACCCCAAATGTTGGCTTATAACCACCATAAATCCTAGCTATTTAGCCTATAGGTTTATAATGGTTTATGTGAAACCTATCCATTGGATAAACCATATTGGTTTATACATGTTTATACACAATACATATCAATACATCCTAGTTGGGGTATATCTTGGGGGCCCCTTTCTAAACTCTTGTGCAGGCCGAAGCGGCTCAGGGTAAGAAAAAGAAAGATGACAAGGTGGCACTGTCTCGCACTCGATTCACTCGATTCCCGATGAAATCCAGCAGCGAAGCCCCAAAAATGCTTTTGGATGATTTTTTGAGTTGGGAAATTGCATACTTTTGCAGTTTCGTGCTGAATTTTCATGGATTTTCTGGGGACATGGATTCCTTTGTTAAAAAATGGTTCCATATTGGCAATACTGGGGTCCACCTGGCGGTATACGGGATACCCTATGCCCACCAAAAAGTGAGACAAGTACCCTCTGGTAAACAAATATAACTATGGAAAATCAGCTATATATAAATGGGTCATTTTCGATAACTATGTTAAATTACCAGAGGGTAACAGTAAGAGGTACAATTGACATGTCGGATTGGTTGAAGCCAACCAGTGTGATAAGGATTGATAGCGGCAGGGAATTTCACCAAATATGTTTGTGTTATTTGGCTATGTCCCAAATCTTTTTGCTTGCCATACATCGCTTAATGCAAGGTCAGCCATTTTCAGGCACTGGGGACTCTAGAGTTTTGTCGGTATGAAGCCACATCAAACAGATACCCAACGACTTTACCCATCAAAATACCGAAGGGGGCAACATCCCTGCCTCGATTAGGATGATGAGATGGATTTTGCAGGTCAGATTTGCCACCATTTCTCGTTGTGGTCCTAAAACAAGGGGAGTAGAGTACAGGGATAAATCAACCCCCACCTTAGACCATAGATTGCCATAGACGACCATAGTATTTTCATGTATTTTCACAATCTTATCCTTACACGTGTTTTCAAGAACTACAACGAAAGTGTCCTCAAAAAGATCAATCCCCACCCCCAGCAGACCATCGCAGAGCCTTGCGCCGCAGGAGGATTCGCGGCCCCAATCCATCGACCCGCCCACGGCGGTGTGTCGCATCGCCCGACCATGCAAGTTGCCCGCGGAGAGGCATGTCTCCACCGACGGCAGAGGATTTCAGATGGGGACCCATTATAACCCATGGATTTCTGTCTTGGGGATGCTACATATATCTGGGCATTTTTTAATGACCTCCCTACGACCTCAGTGGAATCATGGTTAGTAGGCCACTACCGTAGGATTTTCTTCCCTTATTGCTTAGGTGTGTCTTATTTGAGGAACCCTTTTTTTTGAGGTCCTCAAAGAAATCGATGGGGAATAGCCATAATACCCGCTAAAACTTGACTTTCTTGCAGAGCATCGAAGCTTTGTTCAGCTCATCATCATATGCCATATGCAATCATATTTGTGCTAGTAAACCATCACCTTTGGTAGTTCACTGTCCTGAGATATTTCGATTTTGTAGCCAAAATGTTTCAAATTTATAGGTTATATCAGATATTATATCAGTATTTTATATCCACTGTTTCATCCCAGTCGCCCCTACAACGTGGTGCCCCTCAGTGATCAGTTTATAAACCCCATTAACTAGTTCGATACATGGAGAGGGCGATGGAGAGAGAGAGAGAGAGAGAGAGAGAGAGAGAGAGTTCGATACATCTACGATTTACCCCAATTATTGGAGTTCGCTAGCAATTTAGCAAACTCAAATCAACAAACTGATCAACTCCAAAATCAACTCTCAATTTTCGTGTTCGCCATGTTTTTCATATTTTATCCTTGAAATTACCCAGGGGTTGGTAACTGTCCCATTTTGGGTATATTGGACATCACCCAAAATAGTAGCCGTGGCATTGACCATATACCGATTTTGGTTGGGTGATGTTCAATGGGGACATTTAATGACCCATGGTATGGTAGTGTTACCCTCTGGTTATGACTAACAGTTCGCCATGGAAAATCACCATGCTATTAATAGGTAAACCATCTATTCCTATGGGCCATCTATACCATGGCTATGTTAGTCATAACCAGAGGGTAGATGTCCAGCAGCCACACTCCCATTTTTCCATCGGAGGCAGCGGCTGCTGGACAGCGCCTGCGCCCCGCTGCGCCTGCGGCTCTTTCGGCAGGGCGTCGTTCCGCTGGAGCTGGGCCAGGCGCTGCTGGAGCTGGCACCGTTGATCCACGAGAGCGCCAGCTTGGACGCTGGGTGGAGGGCCTATGGGATGACATGCGACATATATATATATATGTATATGTATATATTTATTTATTTATTTATTTATACATAATATATATATATATATAATATAATTATATTTATATGTATATATATATATATTGATAATATGTGTATATAAATATATATGTATATTTGCATTTATCTAAGATGTTATAACATTGTAATACATTATATATATAGATATAATAGCATATATTTAAAACATTACAATGTTAGAACATAGTTATAAGGCATATATAGTGTATATATATATACATATATATATACAGGGCTTTCCTAAAATGGGAGTACCCTACCCCAATATAGCTGGATGGTTTAGGATTGACAATCTTGTTTTTCAATGGATGATTTAGGGATACCCTAAATTCTAAATTAGGAATCGTCAATATTTGTAATACCATATGTGTAGCATGTTATAACATCGTATATATATACATGCATGCATACATACATACATACATGCATGCATACATACATACATATATATACACATACATATACACACTATAATAATGTATAGTATAAGAATATAGTAAGATAGTTTAGCTATTGGACAACCCCAGATATCAGACAGATTAAGTAATCGAGTACAATCCAAATGAGTTGAAACGGAATTGGGTGGATGATCCATAAGATGGTACTATTCAGCTATGGCGTATATTTTCCCGTGTTTTGATGATTTCCGCATACATGGGTGATCTTGGGCCAGGACGTGCCCCATAGCAGACAAGCCTGGTGGGGGATGGGAACTGCTGAGCCATCCAAAAAATGAGTTGCAACATGATCCCTGAACTAAGCCATGTGTTATATAAATGTTACAATGACTGCTTTTTTCATCCGGCTATCTCCCAGTGTTCTTTAATTTTGTTGTTGCAATTCCGGGGGCCCGAAGCATTGTTCCACAGACCAGTGGGATCCACTATCCCCAAGCCCATCCTGCAGGATGTTGACCTGGAATTGCAGTGGTCAGAGGCCTGAATTTTGGCCTCCCCACTCCAGGACCACAGTATCCGATAGAAATGATGGCTAGATATACTAATTAGTAGAATCTGGTAGGAAAAATCGTCTCCATTTTCTTCCTTTCAAGTTTGAGTTTCGAGTTTCATTTGAAATTGCCCTATGTTTGGACATACCGGAGTAAAAGGTGATGCATCCGCACGGGATGGAATTCGGGGAACATACTGAAAACACATATCTAGACTCATTAAGAAGGTTCCCCTCTGGTAATTTAACATAACTATTGCAAATGGCAATTTATAGTTGATATTTACCCATAAAAAATGGTGATTTTCTACATCTATGGCATCGCTTCACAGTGGGATGCCCTGCCCGTTCCCCAGTGGTGGTTCATCCCAGCAGCTTGTTTCACTCCAGTCAGATTCGCGAATTAACACACATGAACCCTAGAAAAATCCCACTAACACATCCAGCCTGTCTATTTACTTACAACAAAAAAACAACATAAGGGTTATAGATACCTATTATAAATGTTTACTAAAATCATCTAAAATTCATAGAAATCACCTTAGATCTGACCTCAATGGATCTGGGATATTTCGCCCATGGTCTGATCGGTCTGTCCAGGCCTTATTGGAAGAGCTGAAGACCGAGTTCGAGGAACGCGTCGCCGCAGAAGCGGCGGCCAAGGCAGAGGCGGAGGCAGCCAAGGAGGGCGAGGCGACCAAGGGCCCAAGCTGCTTGGGAACGGTGGTGATTTATAGGTACCTTCTGATAATTTAACAGTTTGCTATTGAAATTTGCTATTTATAGTTGATTTATCCACTAAAAATTAGGATTTTCTACAGCCATGTTAGTTTACCAGAGGGTTTCCTAAGTGGGGGTACCCCTCAATCATCCATTGAAAAACAGGATGTTCCAATAAATCACCCAGCTATTCGGGTACATGAAGGGAAACCTCCAATCATGGTAAATCATCATCGGTAAATCATGGTAAACCATGCAACTTGAAGGTTTGGTAGAGGATATTTTGAGATGGTATTGGCACTGGTAACCTGGTAGGTCATTTTTGCGAACGAGTTGCTGCACCTTTCCAATCCTTTCGCATCTTTCGCACATATGGAACCTTCATGAACCTTGAGGCAGATGCGGAGGCGCAAGCGGAAGTTCAAGAAGAACCTCCGCAGTTCGTGCCACCTCCTGTCGGCCGCCTTCTGCTGAAAATCTCCACTGCAGCACCAATGGGTCGCATTTTGTGCCCCGAGGAGTGCTGGTACCAAGGATTTCTCGGAGGTGTTCAATGCTTGGGTGCTTCATTTGCATGACTTCATTCAGAATATATATATATATACACATATTAAATAGTAGGGTGTGAATCTCAAACACTTCAGAACATTTTAAAACCGGGGGGTTCAGTTCACCATCCTTGACAGGACCTGCACGACTGGGCAGTGCTGACCACCAAAATCGAGGGCATCTATCAGCTTCCTGTGAAGCTACAGGAGGCGGGAGGTCCTCTCCCAGAGCTTGGCACTGCACCTGGGACATGTTGAGGGGGCAGGCCGGTGCGGGATGGAGCATGCGTGGGATGAGTCAAAATATCTTGATTTTTTTTTGGGGCTTTGGCTGGCTAAAAGATAGTAGAAGGCCACAACAGCACAAGTAACTCCAAACCAACTTTCACATCCCAAAAAATCGAACCTTCAGTCACCCTCTCATCTAGGCCGAAGGAGTGGTGGAGGCGCATCCCCTGTGCTATGCCGTGCGCCTCCTGGGATGCGACTTCAATGGCGGGCAGCTGGTGCTGCCCCACGTCGAGCTGCCGCCGCCGGACGAGGCCGCGGCGGCCGAGGGCGCCGAAGCACCGGAGGTTGCAGAGGCAGAGCCGGAGGTGCCAGACTCGCCCTCGCAGGCGCTGGGAGGGTGGGGTGAGTGGGGTACCCTCTGGTAATTTAACATAGCTATGGAAAATCACCATGTTTAATGGGAAATTCCACCTATAAATGGCCATTTTCAATAGCTATGTTAGTTTACCAGAGGGTAGATGATTTTTGGATGCTTTTTTGCCGTTGAACAATAAGACAAATCAGAAAACAGTACGGGTGGAAGCAAGAATGTCAAACTATGTCAAGAACTGCATGGGAATTCGGAGGATTGTTTGGCACATTTTGCCGACACAATGATGACGATGGGAGGCAGACATCTCCTTCGACATAGGCACCGAGGAGTTCCAGGCAGGGTGTTTTTTTTGGTCCCATGATCCGCAATCCCATATAGAGGATATTCTATGTCCCCAGTGCAAGTGTTTACTTACAAGTAATTACAAGTACAATCAAGTATATAATATCATTGAATATATTTGATATATGATATATGATGATATATATGGCCTATAGCCCGGGCAAAAAACATGTGGCCTATGATGATATAAACAAATACCAATTGTGTCATTTTGTCCATTGGAATCCATTGAAATCCATTAGTGAACAATCCATTGTTGCTATGTCATGTTATGATATCCATTTAACCTCATTTAAACCAACTAAACTCACTTAAGATTCATTGAAATCCAATCCACTAAACTCCACCTTAAGGCCTCCATTATCCCCATATTAAACCCCCCCAATGTAACGCCTGCACCATCCTTTGGTGCCAGGAGGGCCTTCTGCGCGCCGGCTACCCGGCGGCGCGCACGGATGGTCCGGCGGTCTTCAGCTTTCTGTGTCGCCCGCGCACGGGGCTCGGCGGACGCATCGGCGGCTCAGCGAAAGCGCGTGGAACGTCGGGTGCGGATGGGGTTCAAATGGGGGATTCTTATTTTGGGCTAGCTGGAGCTGAATCCCCGGATATGATGTGGGATCGAGAATAGTTTTTTTTTGCATCGCGGATACCCAATCAACCATTGCAATATGGTTGCTGCTTTGCAAATCGGATAATTAGGATACTCGGGTGATGGGATATGCAGAGCCTTGAACCATACCCAACTATCAAGAACAAACGGATCAAAAGAGGGCTACAACATCAATCATCCCAAGCATGGGGGTATGCACATTGACAGATAGTTTATGGATGGTTTGTTATTGTGTTGTTATTGTGGATCCCACAGTGCCCCACAGTACTGAAAGATGGGGCTGAAACCATCCAACATGGGGTATTTTGTCGGGGCACACGTCAGGCCATAACAAGGTGAATGTTTTATGTTTCGGTGGTTGAGAAACCAGCCAATAAGAAGTATGGGTACCACCTAGGATCCCGGAAATCTACTGCAATAAGATAATGACTATTTCACCAGTATATCTATGATATTCATTATATTTGAAATAGTATACATTACATTGCATTACGTTGCATTACATTCCATTATATCACATTGCATTATACATGGACACGCACACACACACACACGTATATATATATATATATGTACATTCATTACTGTAATCAATGCCGTTCAACTGGGATACCCCCGTTTTTTATCGTTTTTACCAGTTTAATCTCTTCTCCCTATTACTAAACTCCCCCAATTAATAGAACTAGGAGTGGATTGGCTCTTTCGTTTTTTTTTTGGGGGGGGTTGCTTACTTACCCCCTATTATTAATAACGATAGAATCACACCTGGTGTTTTATTATTGGGGTCCCATAATATTAGGGGAACCTTCGAAATCCAATTTTTGGCAATATTTTAATTAGATTTTAAAAAGGAGTTTAATTAATCAGTTTTGAAATAGACAATTTTAGCTTTAAATTCTAAAACAATGTAGGCCTCTAGTACAAAATACACCACTAGATCACCATGTTGAACAATTCAGGGTGGGGAGAGGGGTCTTAGTATGTTTTAGTATTAGAGTGAAAAGATTAAGTAAGTGTAAGTTCTTGTCACGGGCTGCTGCATCGCCAAGGTTTGCATGACTTTTTACGGCTGTTGGAAATCCACCTGCCGGCCAGCCCGGAGAAGCTCCTGGAGTTGCACAGCGCCTGGGCGCCCGAATTAAGGCTTCCCAAAAACCAAGTGGGAGCCATATCAATCAGATGAGAGGATACCCAAGATCAACATACATCAACCATATTTCCAACATTTTCCAACCCACAATTATCACATATATTCTTATTCCTCTCCAAAAAAACATGTCAAAATCCAGAGAGGCTAAAAACTATATTTCATGGCAAAACTCCATCTTTCCACCCCACTAAGCTTGTTGGCCAATCCGGCAATCCCAAGCTTTTTGCTGCTTACCCTCTGGTAATTTAACATAGCTATTGAAAATACCACATTTATAGTTGATTTACCTATTCAAAATGGTGATTTTCCATAGCTATGTTAGTTTACCAGAGGGTAAACCATCTATCTCCCCATATCTCTCCCCATATCTCGACCACTTTGACCGATGTGACGAACCGATAGCTCCAGGTGCCTTGGTGGAGAAGCACGAGAGCCTGGAGATGGCCTTCGGTGCATTGGACTCTGCGGCGGAGGGCGCGCTGACACGGGAGAGCCTGGCCATGGGCATTGAGGCCCGCGGCGAGACAACCCGTGTTTGCTACGTTATTTTATGGATATATATATATGTATAGGAAGTGATCCTTTTGGGGGAACAAGAGATGAAACAGATAAGTTGAACAGAGGTTCCAGGGGGGGTGACCATATATATATAACAAGCATATCAATATCAAGCCATTGATGGGTCATATCCACCTATTGATGGGTATATGTAACCTATGAACATGACTGCTGCGCGTTGCCGCGTTGCCAGGAGCTGGGGCTCTCCAAGAGTCCGGAAGAGGCCCGTTCTGAAAATGCGCCATGGGCCATGAAGTGGTAAACCCAGTATATAGATGGGGATTTTAGGGATGTTAACTACTATTTTAACTACTATTTTAACTACTATTTTAACTACTATTATGTTGGATACATAGGGATTAGGGATGTGAACTACTATTATTTAATGATGGTTATCCATTATTTAAGGATAAACCACTAATGATTATTTGGTTAAAAATTAAACCAAGAATTTAATTGGTGTGTATAAGGACTCATATTTATGATAGAGGATTAAGCCGCTTTTATGGGTTCACCACGTTATTAGGGTTATGTCATATTGGGCCCAGTGAGTCATACCCATGCTACTGCTAATAGAATCTAATGGTATCTTTCATAGAATCTAATGGTAATTAATCACCCCATAATCCACAGTTGACATAATGGGGGTGGGTCAAAACCTATTATTATCAATTCTAATGGGATGAACATCCATTTGCCAGCTATTTTGATCTATTTTGGGGTTCATTAGGTGCTAGGGTTTTGACCAATAGCCGTATGAGTCATTGGCCACTGAACCGGAGATTCCGCTAACCGGCACACTGCCACCGCCAGCACCACGGCCGGTTGATTGAAACCATCATCCTATCCCCGAAGTTGTTGGGTTTCTGATATGAAAGTAATGTTGCAATGAACGCAAAGTTGCAGGACCCCGATTTTTTGTAATGCGAAAGTGTGAAAGATGTGAAGAAAAAATCATTTCCTGGGTAAATAAGGATAAAACAGAACGATTTCACTACGACGTCACTGCAAATGATGGTTATTATGGGGAACCGCACAAAATGACCCTGTTTCAGGTTGGTGGAGTACTAATGATTCAGCAAGTTTTTTAAAAACCCAGTTCTTGATGGCAAAAACCTCATGTTTGATGATTATGTACATTTTCTTGCAGATTGAACGCCAAGCATGCCACGAATCAATATCAATTGTTGATGATACTACTTGTACTTCCATGGTTCATGTCTCATATTTGGTCAAAATCGATTTCCCTACCGGTCACATAGCAGATCCAAGATGATTACATGATCACTACGAAAAGCCCCGTCTGAGCCCACGGGTCAGGTGGAAGCCCTCTTCGTGGCGTTGGACACCAGCCGCAGCGGCTCCATCAGCCGCGAAGATCTACGGGTGCTGAGCATGGCCAAGCGGATGAACGACCTGGAGATGGCCCAACAGGATGGGGAAAAGATGGGGAAATGTCACCCCCCGCGCCCCAAAAAAGACGAAGCGGGCTTATTTAACCTAGAAAACAAGCAGAACAACAATTAGGGGGATTACTAATGACAATTTCAAAACAACAAAATACCTTGCCATCTATGAAGAGATTATGAACCAGAAACACATAGATTTTAGAAATGGTGGCAAAACTCTTGCTGGTAGAAAATCTGACCAGCTGGTTTTGCTAGCCTTACAACACAACAAACTCCCGCCCCAGGCAGTGAAGTGGTTGGTATCAGCCTGCGGCTCATTTTCCAAGCTGCTGGAGACTGGGCGGCCCCCCTCTGGGCTATCTCTGGGCTGGGTGTCCAACAACACCGGGGGGAAATCTATTGGAAATAATATACGGAATTCAACAGATTTAAGATTTAATTTAACTGTTTGAACATGATTTAACATGATTTTAACAGATTTAACTATAAAGAAAGGGATTTATATCCAATCTGGGTGTGTCTGGAAATGGGGGATGCACTAATAAGACGGCGTTTTTCCATGGGGAAAATTATCTGATCCCCTAAGGTGGAGGATCGGAGAAGCCCCTTCCCCAATGTCAAGCCCGCCCGTTGCAATGCTGGTGTTTTGAAAAGATGCCGCATCATTCCCCAAGTTAGGACCGCTTTTATATTTCCAAAACATATGGTCATAGCAATAAACTACCTATAACAAACTACTCCATTTCCAAAGCCTTGCAGCCAGGATCCAAATTTAGGGGTAACCCTTGCAAACTTTCTAGTCATTGAATTCTGGGATTGGTGGTTGTCAACCCCTTACAAAAAGGAAAGGCATTGGGAATTCTGTGGTGGGGAGAACCAAAACACACACAAATCAAGTAAACTATCCAGTACCGTAAACTTCAGGATGCAACCCCATCTTGCATTGCAGAGACCTCAAAGAAGTCGCTATCCTGGTACTATGGTGCTGGCAGATCCAATTGGGTGCTGGGACACTTGGGGTAAGGCCTTTCGGGAAAATGTTCACCACCAACTGTGGGTATTCAAATGGATGTACCCAACAATCATGTTGATATTTCTGCTGGTTAAATCAACATTTTTGCCGGTGAACTCAGATTGTTTGCATCATTTGAAACCCCAAGTGTTGGTTCAATCCATAACCCAGGAGCAGGTGGATGAGCACATGACCGGCAGCATCAGCAAGGAGGCTTTCCTGGCTACAGCACAACGGCTGGGTTTGAGCGATGGCGTGGAGCTGGCTTTCAGTTTCGCTCAGCAGATGGAAGGCGCGGCTTGCTACAGGGGATGGGGTCCTTGGAGGATCACTTCTTTCTCGTCCCTACTTGGCAACTACTTACTCGTCACATATTTTAATAGTCATTGTTTTTTTTAGGATATAATCTTGTGAAAGATTATGACCATTCAGCCAGCTTCCAATTGACCACTGCACCGTTATTACTGTAGTATGGATTCCAGGATGGATGATGCTGGAAGATAGGATGGATATGGAGCATGGATGATTTAGATGGATGGTTGGAAACTGCAGTGTGTCACATTTATACAGTCTCATTAATGTGTCATTTATTGCCTGGTAGTTGCGGTCAGTTCAAAGATCCAAGTTCCACCGTTCCACCCCATTCAAAACAGGAGGATCATCCCAAGTGGCGAGCATGTACCCTCTGCTACACATTCCTTTGTCATCTGACCCGGAAAAAAAAAATCGGGGTCATGGCCAGCAAACAGGTGACAAGAGGATGTATAAATAGCAATCCCAGCAGCAAGGGGTTTGTTACGTTTGTTTTTGCCTATGTGCATCGAAGCTGATGGGTAGTCGAATGGAGAACCGTGACCTACCGTGACCACATGTGACCACTGAGGCGCAGAAACGTTGAGCCATGAGAGTTTCTTCTCCCTCCAAGCCTTGGATTTGTTGGAGCACGTGCCATCCATGTTGGTGAAACTCCAGGAGACCCATGGGGTACATTGGAGGCATGGTAAGGTCTCCCGAAATACTCAGGAAATATGTTTTACCCTCTGGTAATGACTAACAGTTCGCTATTTTGTCAAATGGCCCAGTCGAAATAGTGAGTTTCCCCATCAAAAATGATGGTTTTTATCTTTCCATAGTTATGGTGGATTTACCCATTAAAGATGGTGATTTTCCAGTTCGTTATTGTGGTATCCCATTCCACGTCATTGGATACCTTATATAGATACCTCCAGATCCCGTGGTTTCATCGATCAATCGGTTTAGCTATCATAAATCGGATATGTATATATATATATGTGTGTGTGTATGCAATGTATCAACCAGAAAACAATGGTAAATCAATATAAATCATTATGAAGCAATATAAATCATTGTGAACCATCATAAATCCATATAAATCCATGTATAATCATTATCAATCAACATAAATCTTTGTGAACTATCATAAATCCATGTAAATCAATATAAATCCATATAAACTCATTATGAATCATTATAAATCATTGTGAACCATCACAAATCCATGTAAATCAATATAAATCCCCATTTTCCTTGGTTACCTCAGTTCCATCCCCCATGTCGCAGGAACTGCTGTTGCACGGTGCCTCTGAGCTGCCAGGGGCTGCAGGGCAGGTGGCGCTGCAGCGGCTGAAGGATGAGGAGATGGTGGAGAGTATCACCTGCAGTGAGTCACTTGGGACGGGGAAATGGAAAGCCGATGTGGAAAATGATGGAAAATCCATGGGGAAAGCTGGTCTGTTGAATGGGAAAAGCTTGGGGAATGGGGAACATCTGGGGAAAATCATAGAAAATATATGAGAAATATGATTGGGGAGATAGATATGGGAAACTATCGGGAACAAATGCCTTGAGTAGAAAATCGGAGATTCAATCTTTCACCCTGGTGAGTGTGTCAGAGCATGGCGATAAACCAACTCGATAAATGAGGAGATTCATCTACCATTCCCTCCAGACAAACAGTTTTTTTCTCCTAGCCGAAGCGAGCCAAATCTGGAATCCTGGGATTGGATGGGTACTTTAAGTTATAATTATTCCCCACCTGCCAGGTGAGGGTTGTTAGATTTTATGTCAGTTGCCTCCTCCTCCTCCTGCCTCGTCCTCCTCTCCTCCTCCTCTCCTCCTCCTCCTCCTCTCCTCCTCGTCCTCCTCGTCCTCCTTGTCATCCTTGTCGTCCTCTCGTTGTCCTCGTCGTCCTCGTTGTCCTCCTCGTCCTCCTGCTCAACTGCGACTCGCGATCCACAGTGTTCGCTGCCGGACCTCAACCACGACCATCCACGCCCAGTGTTCCCTGCCGGACCTCAACCACGACCATCCACGCCCAGTGTTCCCTGCCGGACCTCAACCAGTGGTCCCTGCCGGACCTCAACCACGGCCATCCACGCCCAGTGTTCCCTGCCGGACCTCAACCGCGAGTATCCATGCCAAGTGTTCCCTGCCGGACCTCATGTAGGAAGATAAAATGTCAGATAGAGTGCCAGAAGATTTGCCAGGTAGAATGCCAGAAAATATGCCAGAAGATATGCCAGATAGATATGCCAGAAGATATTCCAGAAGATATGCCAGATAGAATGCCAGATAGAATGCCAGATAGAATGCCAGAAGATATGTCAGAATATATGCCAGAAGATATGCCAGATAGAATGCAGATAATATGCCAGAAGATATGCCAGATAGAATGCCAGAAGATTTGCCAGATAGAATGCCAGAAAATATGCCAGAAGATATGCCAGATAGATATGTCAGATAGATATGCCAGAAGATATGCCAGAAGATATGTCAGAATATATGCCAGAAGATATGTCAGATAGAATGCCAGAAGATATGTCAGAATATATGCCAGAAGATATGCCAGATAGAATGCCAGATTGAATGCCAGAAGATATGTCAGATAGAATGCCAGAAGATATGCCAGATAGAATGCCAGAAAATTTGCCAGATAGAATGCCAGAAGATATGCCAGAAGATATGCCAGATCATATGCCAGAAGATATGCCAGATAGAATGCCAAATAGAATGTCAGAAGATATGTCAGATAGAATGCCAGAAGATTTGCCAGCAAGAAAATGTATAAATGTCATGGTGGGGATCACACGAAGTAAAGTAATTATATATGATGCCGTATTTTTTGTTGCCAGAAAGTTTGAGTATTTGACACTGGCCATGAATTGGGGATATCACAAGCCAACTATTAACTAGCAAATATCGGGATTGATGTTTGATTTCTGCAAGGTAAGTGACTGCGGGTTTGAGAAAGGTAGATCCAATAAGAAAATGAAGACCCAATTTACCCAGAAATTTGTAGGTGATACAACTTCAGCACCTGGTTGGGGTGGGACCCTCCCAAGTACGAAGTGGCAGCCTTGCTGAGTGTTTGACTATCATAGGCGTTTACCCGAACAAAGCTGGTTATACGGAAGCAGGGGTCATTTGGCAGGATCCCATTACTAGGGGGCGTACCCAATTCTACAAATCCATAATTGGGTATTGATTGTTTCCTATTGTGTACGCATACCTCACAATACCCCATTAAAACGTATTAAAACGCCGTTGTATATACACCATGAAAACCCCAAGTTGCACAAATTCTGCCAGGTTTATCGCTGGCTTGGGCCAACTGGAAGGGGCGCCCCTGTCGGTGCCCAGTGCGCAGTGTTTGTTCTTTCTCTTGGAAACCTTGGATGTGCTTAGACCAGATGTTTTATTGATGATCATTATTTGATCGTAGAGGACCCCTGAGGACCCCTCCATTTTTTAGGGCCAAAAATAGGTGCCTTTTTCCACCAAAGTGACCTTCCCAAAGGACATCATCTGCTTAGATTTGTTGGTTCATTGAGGTGGTGACCCAGATGCCTAACATTGGTTGGTAAATGTGAAAAATGTAAAAGAAAATGTCGGAAACCCAGCATTTGAAGGGAATTCCCTACGGCGTATGTGAACAAAACGGACTTCAATGTTTTTCATGTCAACTTTTTCACGACGCTCACGCCTCCCAGCTGCCAGCCGATTCTCGCAAAGTTTGTGAAAGTGTCTGAAACTGCAGGGGCCGCCTCCCAACAAGGATAATTACCTCACTTTACCTATATAACTCATTTTTGTTGTCATGAAATGCTAATTTTCCGGGGAACATATTCTTAAAATCATATAAAACCCATAACTTTTGTTTCTAATGCCATCTCCCCAACAAAATACCATGAGGTAAACTCAATGCCATACATCATAAAACCATCATAAAACCCATCGTTTATGGCTTACCATCAATAAAAACATGGCTTTTCTACGGCAAGGATGGCGCGAATGTGGGCACCCTCGACGCCTCGGCCTTTTCCTCGCTGCCCAACCTGAACGCCGCGGCGCAGTGGCGACGCTTGAGCGAATGCCGTCGCTTCATAGAGGCGGGCTTTGGAGAAATCGATCCTTGGAGAAATCACGGGCCCATGGGGAGAGCATGACAGGAAAATGGAGGTTTTAATGGAAAACCATAGGAAAACCATAGGAAAACCATAGGTTTACCCTCTGGTAAACTAACAGTTTGCTATGGAAAATCACCATGCTATTAATGGGTAAATCCACTATTTCTATGGTCATTTTCAATAGCTACGTTAAATTACCAGAGGGTAGATTTAAGGCAAACAACTCCTGAAGAATGGTAATATATGTCTGAGAATGGGTCGTATACCCCCGAAGGGCATTATTTAAATGGGGGAGTTGTGAGTCGTCGAATCTCTGGGTTTGGTTTTGGATTTGGGTCTTGGTGCGCCGTGGTATTAATTGCGTTTGACTACTTGGGAGTAGATGCATATCTTGTGTGCAGTGTTGTGGTTACTGCCACATGGAGAGTGACAAGTCATGAGTAAAATTGCTCGTGGCTAGCTATATAAAGGGTCCAGTTTTGCTTTTACTTTTCTGTACAAGGACCGTGCCCCGTGCATTTATGGCGTCAGAGGAATATATACCAGCCGCCGGAAATCAAGGCAAATGGTGTCCAGTAATAGAGCACACGATCGATTCAGCTGAAGTGTTCGTCCAAACCGTAATGCCAGAGGCTGAAAATGATGAGTAACTGGTACCCATATGCCATGCAACTTTAAGGGGTACCCTATTTGAGACAAAACCATGTGTTGAAGACCATAGAATCTATTGATGATATCAGAAAACATAGGCACTGCGCTGTGTTGAATCAGAAAATTCGGGGGGGGCTGGCCGGAAACAATTGGATTTCTTGTGCGGTTTGCACATGTTTGGCATTATCTTGTTATGTCACTTGGTACCCTACGAACATCTATCCTGACAGGTTTACACAATCATTTTGATGTTGGCAAAGTATGGTAAAGTTTGGACCTGACCATCAATGATGCGGTCAACTCAATCGAAAAACCTCAAGTATCTGTAGCTCATGATTCATTGCGCAAGGGGTCAAATGGACTATGAGTTGGTTTATCCTTGTGCCTGCAGGTTGCACCAGTACTGGATAATGATTGCGAACCCTGGGAATGGCTTCAATTTGATGGCTTGAACGCGGGTTTGGTGTAGGTCAGCCAGATGGGTGATACCTTCCATAAACCTCCCATTACCAGAGGCTTAATGATTTGCGGCTGGATGTGATGCTGCGGGTGCTGCACCAAAATTTCTGTTTCTGCCTGGAAACCTTGAAGTGATTGAAGAAATCTTGGTTTGGCACTGTGTTTTCTACGACTTTCTTGAGGCTTCAATTCAATGCCTCAGGAGATCGTTTAACCACTATCAAACATGATATTTCCGATGCATAAGCCATTGACTAACCATTATTAATCATTGACTAACCATTTTATGGTTGTTTTTTTCGCGGACACCGAGGACCCCAATGCTTTCAGAGCACTCTTCGAAGGCCCTGGCGAAGATGTCTTCCAGGAGGCGGAGGTGCCACGCTTCGAAATGGTTGGTTCGCTGTTTTTGAAACTAGAAAATACCCGGCCTGGTAAACTCACATGACTATGGAAAATCACCATTTAACAGATAACTATGGGAAAATCCACTAACTCAATAATAATCCATATAATGGGTAAATCAATTATTTTTTTCGTTATTTAACAGTTTGCCATTGAAAATCGCCATAGAAATAATTGATTTACCCATTGGTAGCATGGTGATGTTCTCCTTTAAGATGGAAACTATAGAAAATAACACACCGCAATAAATTGAAGATTGGAGAGAGAATAATTTGAAGATTGGAACGGCAGGAGATGAAATTGACAGTTTTGAATCAGTCAACAAGCTTCCCCATTGTCCATACATGTCTAAGCCCCAAAAAAAAAAACAACGAACATGCAGCGTTTAACTTCCTCGGACTACCTTGATAAATTACGGTGACCTCACTGCGACCTCACATTGATGCTTAGTTTAGGGACCCATCCCGACATCACCTCATTTCAGGCCGGTGATTTGTTCCTGCTGACATGCTGATGACATGGGTGGCAGATGATGGCAGTATATACATGATTAATTATACCATATTATACCCTCTGGTAATTTAACATAGCCATGGAAAATGGCCCATTTATAGATGGTTTACCTATTAAAAATGGTGATTTTCCATGGCTATGTTAAATAACCAGATGGTACATGTAATTATGTACTATGTATGGGTCAAGCATGGTCAAACAGTTGGTAAATACCAAAAACTCTGGCTGAATTCAGACTTCTGGGTTTCTCCGTATCTGAGAACCGTTTTTGTTTGTTTACCACCCATGTTCTTCCCACATGTATCACCACATGGATCGGTCCATGTTAAAGATCAACATTTATCATGTAACTTGTTTCTAATTAGTGTCTGAATCCTAGGGCCCTAGGGTTGACATGGAGGCACCATTTCCTGACCGGAGGAGAACCTACCGCACGTTCTCTTTGAGACCAAAGAGCAGGTTGCGTATCGCGGCCGTGAATGGCTGCAACGGCTGCTGAACACCTTGGGCGACGAGCGAGGACGAGATCCAGTGAAGGATTCCCTGAGCAAAACAGGTGGCACTTGGCTCTACATGTTCCCCACCGTGCAGGGCTGCTTGGCATTGCTTGGCTGATGGCAGTTCACAAGTTCACAATGCCGAAAAATCTGGCATCAGTTAGGTAGTATGGCACCGTCATACTTTGTTTTTTTCTTGTCGAGTCTATACCCCTGGAAAGCGCCCATAACCCCTATCAACCGGCACAGCCGACCACAGCAGTGAAACTAAGCTCATCCCGGACTGGAACCCCAACCCCATTCAACTTCCATCAACTTTCACCGATCCTTCCGAACCCTCATCCCCACCAGTACAATGATGAAGATGTATCAACATGTTTGTTCTGTCCATGAGTGATGAGTTAGTATGAACCACTTCCTCTCGATTGTGCCTCAGAGACTTTCAGCCACCCCCGAAATCAACGAAAAGACGGCAACCACCGACAACCGATAAACAAAACACATTCATAAACAAACGTACAAAAGCTACCCGGCTGCTCTGGACACTCAGTTGCTATTTGGAAAGCCCTCGCAATCGGACGCCCCTGCACCAACCGCATTTCAACAACCCAATAGTGGTTCCCCCTCCCAACCCTCCAACCTCAACCCTCAACCATCCCCAACCACCATCCCCAAGTCCCCAAGGCCAAGACTCCTTGGTAGACTACAAGGAGATCAGCGACGCTACGGCCTCCACCCATGGCAAGTTGGCGCGCTGGCACCACGGTCATGGCTTCGTGGACCTACGCCGCCTGGCGGCGCCGGGGAAGAACGGCCAGGGGCCCATGCTGGAGTTCAGGGCTTACCTGACGCAGGCGGGGTCTGGGGATGGATTTGTTTGGACTTTTTTTTGAGTTGAAGATGGGATGAAGTGAGGTTGAAAGGATTTGAATGGCTTATAATTATATAATTATATATATATAACTATATAACTATATATATGTGTGTGACCCGGGAATTGTTTGATTTGACACTTTTGTGATGGTTTGACCAAGGTGAAGCAAGCAAGAATTGGGATCCAACTGATCCAAGTAATGATCAAAATCTCAGGGATATCCGTAGATAGACAGGACCTTGGCGACGGATCTTACTCAGTTTTTTGAGTACCTACAGGGGTTGGTAAATGTCCTAATTGAACATCACCCAGATATTGGGGATATAATCTCCAACAAATCCTTGAAAGTGATGTTCAAAATCCCCAAAATGGGACATTTACCAAAACCCTGACCTAGAAGCAAATTTATGTATGCTGCGCATTGGCCTGCGAAGCAAACCAAGAAACGTAGGAATGGCTCCAAAGAATTCAAAAACGGACTCGACCCTCAAAGAAACACAGACATGATGAAGAGATGCTTGGGGTTGTCCTAGCTAGCTCCAATGTGACTTCTTTTCACCCCAGGAAATCCCAAACAGGACCAACCAGAGATGACACTGGCAGGTGACGCAACTGCCTGGTGCAAATGAGTTCCCAGAGGCAGAGTGGAGCACGGCCTATACGCCCTGCCGGAGTTATGTGAAAGGCAGGGACTCTTGGGGTGCTGCTGATGAGGCTAGCCTTCCGGTTGGCACCGGGGTCAAAGAGGTTTGAGAGTTTGACATGGTTTTGTTTGAAAATGGTGCATATACTTGTATCTATCTATCTATATATATATATATATATATCTGGGTAAATTATAAAGACCTCACTGCGACCTCACTGGAAATCATGGTTAGTAAGGGGGAATCATCCCCAAAATGGCCGAACTATTCAGGTTAGTGAAATATTATATAATTTACCCAGATATATATATACTGTATATATATTTATTTATATGTATATATCCCCCAAGTCCAATGGTTATCCCCTAAATCCAATGGTCAATCATCATCTTCCGAGCTCAGACTGGAATCCACGTCCTTGGACACATTGCTGCTGTCTTTCAGCAGCAAATTTAGAACCCAAAGTGACCCTGAAGTAGGGAAGCTATGGATAGCTATGTAATCTCAATGGAAAAGCCCCAGTGATATCCAGTTATACATGATGAACCTATTGGTGTCTTGAACCATTTTCCTAAATAACTATAACTACAACTGGAGATGTTTCATAATACACACACAGATAGATAGATAGATAGATAGATAGATAGGTAGGTAGGTAGGTAGGTAGGTAGATAGGTAGATAGGTAGATAGGTAGATAGGTAGATAGGTAGATAGGTAGATAGGTAGATAGGTAGATAGGTAGATAGGTAGGCAGGGATTAGATGGATTAGATGGATTAGATGGATTAGATGGATTAGATGGATAGATAGATAGATCGATAGATAGAGACAGACAGACAGACAGACAGACAGACAGATAGATGTGATATATATATAAATACATATCATATCATATACATATACATATACATACATATATATATATATATATATTTATTTATTTATAAAGTGCCGTATTTCATTGGCTTCTGCCCTACATTTGACCAAAGCCTGGGCTGCACCCAGGAGTCATTCGCCTGGACCGGCCCTTGCAACGGCTCTGTCCTCGCGACGTGCGCCCCGCGCAGCAGTCTTCGGGGGAGCCCTACATCCCGGCGCCGCCGCCCAAGAGGCCGCCGGCAACGGTGAACGAGGACCTGGAGAAGGAGGCCATGGTGGGATGCTTTCCACCCTCTGGTAAACTAACATGGGAAAAATGGTGGTTTCATGGGATTTAACCACTATAAATGCTGATTTGATGGTGATTTACCCTCTGGTAATTTAACATAGCTATTGAAAATGGCCATTTATATTGAGTTTTCCCATTAAAAATTATGATTTTCCATAGTTATGGGACAGTTTACCAGAGGGTATGTGGGAAAACCATGCCATAAATGCCATAAACCACCACTGGGAATGGTAAACATACCACTCATTTGTAGTTTTTAAATATTTTCTAAACAAACATAGCTATGGAAAACCTCATTTTTTACAGTAATAGGTAAATCAACTTTAAATGAGCCATTTTCAATAGCTATGTTAAATTACCGGGGTGTGTATATATATATAATGACGTTTTGGATCTTAGGTGACCTTAAGTGATCTGAAATGACACCTGAACATGCCTGAAGCAACACAGGAGATTAGACATTTGAAAGGATGCCTTGGAATGGTGAACTTAGGGTGACCTTAACGACCTTAGGTGATAATATTTAACAGATGGTATCATTAAAGATAAATGATAACTAACATATTTGTTCAACAGCAAACATGTGGGTAAAACGTTGCTTAGTCATGACCGTTACTGGTGATTCTTGGGAGATGGGCAGATCACCGCCGCCATCTCTCGAGGCTGCCACCCTCATCGCCCGGCTCTCTTTCGAGTTTGCACGCTGGTGCTATGACTCTGGCTACATCGAGTCCAAGATCGTTGGACCCGGTGGAGAGTTAAGTCCCAATCCAGTGTGGCTGGGTGGAAAACTTGGTGCCACCGCAGGTCGGGATGATCCCAATAGGTGAAAAAACGTCAGATCCAGTGATTCATTTATGCAACAAGCAGGTGTTGGAAATGCTTAAAATTACGCACGGATACGCACGGTGTTTCCACTATAGTTGAACCCGTCAGCCGGATGTCGCCGGTTGCTGTATGTTCCCTTGGCTAAAGCCCCTTAAAAATGCCGGTTAGTGGTCGCCATTTTCAACCGGGTCTATAGCGACCGACTGTGTCAACTCATGTGACCTCGGCATTGTGAAATCGCCTTGTCATTGTCAAATCACCAGGTTCTTCATGGTAAAATCACCATGTTTGATAGTTAAATCATGTTAAATCAGAATCCTGAATGGTGGAATGAATGGAATCATTTTTGTTGATAGTTACATATCCTGAATGGTGGAATCATTTTATTGATAGTTACATATAGTTACCGTAAATGACCATTCCTATGGTCAGATCAACCATTGATCAAACCATACCTCGAGATGACGGCCCTGCCTAGGCTTGGCAAGAAGGGCGTGGTCCGCAGAGCCTTTCTGCAGTGGTCACTGGGAAGTGCAATGATCTGAGTCACTATCACTACCCTCTGATTTATGTTGGGAAAACTGGTGGTTTCATGGGATTTAACCACTATAAATGGTGATTTGATGGTGATTTACCCTCTGGTAATTTATATAACATATAATATGATGGTATACCCTCTGGTAAACATACAAAAAGCTATTGAAAATGGCCATAGAAATAGTTGATTTACCCATTGATAGCATGGTGATTTTCCATAGTTATGTAAACGTTCACCAGAGGCTATCCCTTCTTGGAAAATTTGGAAAGGCTATTTTTACTCTAAAGGTCATTGACCGGCTGAAACGTCAAATGTTAGTCGCATGCAGTCCTTGACACTGTTGCAGTGAGAGTTAACATATCAGCTAACCCCCTACATCGGATATACTTCTACAGCTTGCACACTGCTGTAGATCCCCAGATTTTGTGCATGTATGATCGTGGACCTTTTGAAGCACCTCATGCTTTGCGCCTATTAGTAAACCATCCCATATTCTACTAGAGATGGTCTCCACATTGAAGGCTGATGGCATTTGGTTTACCTTCCACAGGCTCCACTTAGAGGGGTTATGGGATCGGCCAACTGGGTTATATCCCAGGCGGAATGGCCGGTTGCAAGCCACCAGTCCTAACCGGTAGTCAATCAGTATTGTATTGATGAGTGAACATCAATATTACTCAGCGATAATACTGTTGTCTATCATCATGTATATATATATAATTATAATATTATATAATTATATATATTTATGAATATTACTACTATTAGATTGCTATTAGATTACTATTAGATTATTAGGGACTCCGGCAGCGTCCCGTCCTTCTTCGAGGATGGAACAGGATCCTGAGGGCGGAACCAGCTTGAAGGATTTGGGCAATGCCCTCCGGCCTGCCGTGGTGCGCCTCATGCGAGCCGAGAACAAGATGCTTGACATGGAAAGAAGCATCTCAGATCAATGGCCATTTCAGGAACCTAAATTGGAGGTACCTACCATATATAAGGCCTATGTAAGGGCTATGTAAGGGCCTTATATGGTACAGTACCTCCAATTTAGGATCCTGGAATTCCCATTGATCAGATCAGGGGTTATGATGCAGGTTAAAATGGGGATGTAATGGGGCTATGATCTTATCATGGGCTTAGAATGGTGTTATTCTTGGCTTAGAATGAAGTTTCACAATGGTGTTATAGTGACAATCGGCTTTTGGTGAGGTTATGACAGGATAGAATTGATGGGGTTATAGCGGAGTGATGATTTTATAACGGGATTGTCATGGTATTATAACAAGGATTTTATAGGGGCATAATGGAGGTTTAATGATTGAGCAATGATGGTAATATTTGTGGTTCTAGGGGGTATAATGGTTTCAACCAACAGAATATATAATATAAGGAATTAAGCGGCAAAAGGTGTTAATCTTCCAATAACATAAAACAACTATGCGAGCGCCCTATGGGGTTTCTCCAGGTTTTTTTCATATCTATGTTGACTTACTGTACTGGAGGGCGTCCCTAATTTGCTCAGGGATGATTCATCATGTGTTTGCACTGGTTTTATTATGCATTTCCCCTGCAATATCTTAATTGTGGAGTATGCCCCCATGGTTGTATCCATTGTGTCCGTGAAGAACGAGAAGCATTGGCAAATTTGGGGAGCAACGAAAAGGTTCCCAACCACATAAAACCATGGTATTCCATGGTTGTCTCTTGGCGAAAATGGCTCACCATTCTACCTTGGCATCCCAGGAATGGCCCGGCATGCGGTCTCAGTGGGAACGAGAACGATGCCAAGTACACCTACCTCAGGCGTGTCAAGGGGTGATAGTTCCCTTAACCTGCAAAGTGCCAACCATTCGTCAGGTTCGGTTGGGATATGACGGGACGTTTTGAGACTTGCATAACAATTAATATCAATTAATTAAAAATATCTACATTCATTTGGTAACAGACATCTACGCAAAAAAAAAGTATATCATTGTATATCTATACGTTCTTTTTGAGGGTAACACGCCATGATATGAGATGATATGGCGTGACAGAATTGCGGGATTTGCCAGGCTTGGCAATATGTCACCATTACTCACTATGCACTTTTCAATCCCGGACTTATTTTCAACAATTCTTTCGCATTTCCTGCTGGAAAGGATTAATGGTTATCCGTGGATCCCCTTCTTTCCAACCAAACCACCACAATTTACCATCCTGTTATTTAACAGTTCACCATGGAAAATCACCGTTTTTAATAGGTAAACCATGGTAAACCATCTATTTCTATGATTTCTATGGGCCATCTATACCATGGCAAACTGTTAGTCACAATCAGAGGGTACCATCCTTCACTTCGATCGGCTCAGGGACTATATCTCCCGACACCTCTTCCGCGCGCTGAACAGCGAAGTGGAGAAGCACCGGCGCCTCCGCGACGAGCGAATTTGGCGCAGTCCATGTTCTGACAACGCGCAGGATGCCGATGCGGTGGAGCCTCGGTTTTACCATGGTGGTTGAAGATGTGTTTACCATGTTTAACCATCAAAAACATGGAGGGGTTTGGTGCCGAAAATATCCAAAACTATGAAGGATTTAACTGATCCAAAGCATGAAGCATCGTGGTTCAATGGACTGGTTTTGTTGGGAAAATCTACGCTTCAAATCATGGTTCTGACCCCAACATTTATAAGGCGTTCCTACAGGTTTTCGCTTTAACATCCTTATCGTAAAACGTAAAAAGATGGAACCATTTTTTGGGGGTTGCTATGAAGTAAGTCTGGGAATGGGTGACTCTTGAGCTTCAAGATGCTGCAAGATTTGAAAGCCACTTGAGATAGTGGAGTATTGTAAGTACTTGAGTGTTGTGGTTGGCTTTGCTGGTACATCCAAACCACCAGCAGAAACATTGGTGGCTTGAAGCTTTCAGGCGGTACTATGAGTGGGCCACTTCACTCATCTCCTCTCACTCGAAAGTATTTCATATGTTATGTTGACATGTATATTATGTGATCATAATAATAAATACATTAAATATAAGAAAAAAACATATATATATATATATATACAATTATATACATGTATCACGCGTTGTATCCATAGATGTTTGGATGATTTTCCCGGCCCTTTTCCCGCTAATCCCCATGCTGCCAAGCGCCACGCCCAAGGATAGCTGGCAGAAACAGGACGCCACGCTGAAACGCCTCACCGTGGAATACGAACTGCTCGGAGATTGGCAGCGCAGCATGGCTTTTTGAAGCGGAGAACTGGATGGAGGGATGGAATCCATGGTGAGTTAAGCCAGTTAAGCATGGTAAATGGGATATTTTTCTGGGTATATCATGGTGTAAAACAGTATGTTACCAATAGAATATCTCCTGCAGCAGGTGGTTTTGCACCAGTTCTTATGGTCAACAGACGTCACGCTTTCAATCCGCGGCACGTGCAGCTAAATTTTTCAGGTTTGGTGATTCGACGTGGCAAGTATTGGCCTTTAATATCCCTAAATAATCCTACCCTCTGGTAAACTAACATAACTATGGAAAATCACAATTTTCAATTGGTCAATCCACTATAAATGACAATTTTCAATAGCTATCTAGCAAATTCCCAGAGGGTAAATGATATGTCATGAAAATTCCAAGAATAAATCATATTTGTTCATAAATGAATCACGATTTTTGATGGTTAATCAGTTAATCCGTGATGGGAATAAATCATGAGCAACAAAAAAACCCATGGGATTCATTCTGAGGTGCCCGTGAAGTCTATGAGGATTGGCTGGCGCTCGAAGCCAACGTGGAGAATGGGCAGGCGGGCTCAGATCGGGGCCCCACACGCAAATTTCATATGGAACCACGGAACCACAGAACCACCCAAAAATTGCAATTTTCAATAGGAACATATTGGACAATCATGGATCATCTTGTTCCAAGCCCAAGTTTTTGGAGTTACAAATGTTACCCTCTGGTTATGACATTCACAGTTTGCCATGGGATTTCGATGGCCCTTAGAAATATATGGTTTATCTATTAATAGCATGGTGGATCTTTCCATGGCAAACTGTGAATGTCATAACCATACCGGGTAACATGTTGGAGCAAAATTCTTCCGAGCCATGAGCATCCATTGTTGGAAACCCTATGCACGTTGCGTGGAGTCAAAGAGCTATACCTTAAGAGTTTCCAACTACATGATTGATGCTTATAGATTAGATTAGATTAGTAATAGTTTGTTTATTCCATTAGAACCATGGAATGTTTATTCCAGCTTGAAGTATCCCAATTATTTAACAACCAAAACATAGTTCTAATTATATAGTTATAGTTATCCTTTTAAACCCCCCATGTTAAGATATATTATGATAGATTAACCATGTTATATCACCATTATTCTTGCTGTTTGCCCCCAAACTCCCAAACAAAACAACGAACAGTTATTATATGGGTAATAATATGATTAATGTATCATAATATATGGTTTATAATACTATTACATGAAGTGATGGGTTTTAACCACCAAAAAGAAATCCGTTCCACTTTTGGGTCCAGGCCTGGTTCAGCTTCTTGGCCTGCACATGGACCGGTTGAGCCCTGGATTTCGACATATTTCCGGTTCAGGGAGGCTTTGACGATGACATGACGATGACTAAACCATAATCAAAAGGACAGGGGGATTTGAACATCGAAATCGCTTTTCCGTTTTGTTGATTTTGGGGGTTTCAGTGATGAACTCAGACATGGCAGTTCGAAAAAAAAAAAGCATGATTCATCAAGGAGGAAGGATGGCAAATTACATCAAGTGACTAAGTGACTAGGTTTGTTGGTGTCCCGTTTTGGGTCGCCATATCGACAGGTTTTGATGATGTATGATGTGTGTGTGTGCAGAAGCCAGCGGCCTTTCCAACCCCACGAAAATGTTACACTGTAGAATTTGATGATGTTGAATCCCCTGAGAGAAATAGACTTTAAAGCATTGACAATGGATGATCTCAGAATGTTTCAGATGGCATGACCAGCCATCAGCCATGGTTCCCCCCAAACAGCCATGGAGTCTTTAACTGCAGGTTTCGCCCGCTTCCTGATGCGTGCGGGAGCACAGGAAGAGGGGGAAGGCGATGATCAGAACTTGATGCGTACATGGCGCATGGATACACATGGTACTTGGTACATTGTGCGTTATACGTTATACATAGAGTATACTGTACATGATGATGATGATGATGATGATGAGGATGATGACGACGATGACGACGGTGATGACGACGGTGATGACAACAGAGATGACGACGATGACGATGCTGACAATGATGATCGACTATGATCGCTGCAATATTACTGTGTTGTATTAGTTCCATCGAAAGACATATGTGTCAACTATGGCATGATGATCTTGATGATACGGTGACATTACTATCTCCATGTTCAAGCCTTTTTCCCCAACCGCTTTGGGACAAAGGTTCTGGACAGAACCAGCTCGATGCGGAGCGCGTGCTGCGGTATGCCATTTCACTCAGGACAGTGGTTTTTTCATGGCCTCATATGGCCTCCAAAGCTGTTGCAGGTGGTAAACAGTGGAAGGATTACCCTCTGGTAAACGTTTACATAGCTATGGAAAATATCCATTTTGAATGGGAAAATCAACTATAAATGATCATTTTCAATAGCTATGTTAAATTACCAGAGGGTAGACAAAACCACCTTCATTCCGAACAGATCATGACACTTTCAGAACTCCCGCGTTCGAACGCGGGTCAGCGTCCCGGCTGTTCCCCAGACTCGGCCCAGGACAGAGGATGAAGGCCCAGACTTTCAGGAGGCGACCTTCAGGAGACCCCATGGTACCTCCTAAGTAATCAACCACCAGTAAATTAACAGTTCGACCCTGGCAGTCATCGGGGTTGGAAGATTAGTTTCCACTTGTTTCCACTAAACAAAAAAGTTATTTTCTGGGTCTATGTCAACCAGAGGGTACACCAGCTGAAACTGCTTGGAGGTGGCCTTCTTAGCGAGTTTGTTGCAGACTCACCGATTGCCTTCCTCTCTGGACGAGGGTGGCAGGCAGGGGGCAGGACTGACCTGTGACCTGTGATGCTTCAAGATGAATTTGTGTGTATGAAATATGTATAATTGTTTGGTGGTTTGGAACATTTTTTCCCATATATTGGGAATAATTATCCCAACTGACTAATATTTTTCAGAGGGGTTGAAACTGCGAATTGCATATTCCCTATTTAGCATTCACGTCATGACTTTGCAATTGTCATTTCAATCAATGGGCATTTCACCATAGCCCTTTTTCCAAGCTCAAAGATCGGTCGGAAAAGACCGGTGAGTCCAACGTGAAGGACTTTGGAAAGAGAGTTAAAAGCGCAGGACCACTTGTCTGACCGTGGAGGACTTTGTGTGTCTAACGCAAGGAGTTTGAGGTGTGGACTAGTACCTGGCTTTTCTGGCCGAAGACGTGTCAGGACTGTCAGTGCTAGTACCCCCGATAATATTACCCGGGTGAACCTGTCGCGAACAGGTTATGAGCCCAACGCATGGGGACTCTGCTGAAATGATGCTCAGAAGAAGAAGGTCTGAGCCTGATGATGAAGAGTCAAAGAAAGACCAAACAGCGTCAAGCACCCGGGCAAGCGCGAGGAACCAAGGGGCAGAGATGGCTCTAGTGGCAGTGGATAGGGAAAGGGTTGGAAAGCCTTCACCAAATGGTCCTGTTGGGGAAGATATGAAAACCCCCTTGCCAATAGAAGACTTTCCAGCAGAACCTGTAGGATCCCCTAAGGCCCTAGGACCTAGGAACCTCCAGCCACTGTTCAATGAAGCTCAGCTAAAGAAGGCTGAGGAGCTCAGGTTGAGTGCACCACTTTTGCAGGGCCCAAGCCCCACCGCAGTAAGCCAGTCCACCGGCGGATGGGATGGGGGTTTGGCGGCAGGGAAGGTGGGAATGGGGAAGGAAGCTGACATGTCAGAGGGACCATCAAGGAAGGGCCCGGAAGTCTTGATGATGTCACCAATGGGATATCCCTTAGCACCTCAACATGGTTATGGATACGTGCCACACCACACACAACAAGGAATGTTTGATGAGATGATGTGGCAGTTTCGACAAGAAATGGGACAAATGTCAAAGTCTCTCACCCAGCTTCAAGAAGAAAATTTGAGGTTGAGGATTCAGCTTATGGAAGAACGAGAGACTAGATACACAACACCTCCCGATGTCACTCCTGCTGAAGGTCTCCGTGACAGCGTCCGCCGTCAGAAGGTTTCAGGAAAGAAGCCCAAGTCCAAAGGTGTAGAAACCAAGCAGGAAGACTTTGAAGCTTCGAAGCCAAAGGAGGATGCAAGTCGAGGAGAACAGGAGGCTGAGACCCCCAAAGCAGAGGAGGAAGTGATTGGAAGGAAGCTTGAAGAAGTTTCTAAGGAGGATGGTCCAGCTGGACAGCAAGAGTCCAGTGAGGAGAGTCAATCGATTCAAGAAGAGGAGTCGGAAGATTCAGTGAATGTGAAAGATCACAAAGGAAGATCAAAAAAGGAGGACACCACAGTGGACGTGATGCTCAAGTTGATGCAAGGGATGCAATCGCTGCAACAACAGCTCTTGGATCGAGAGACGATCAGGGGCCGACGGCTAACAGAGGACGATGAAGAGGAGCATGTGAGGAGCAGTGTAGAGCTGCACAAACTGCCGGAGTGGACAGCTGAGAATGCTCCGGTGGACTTACAGGACTGGTTGCTTCTCATCCATGCACAGATGTCGGATCTCACTACCAGCAGTTCAGAATGGTGGGATCTAGTGGTTGAGACTGCGAAGGACTGGTACCACAAACACCAAGCCATGAAGCCCATCGACAAGCTGAAGCATGAAGTCAGGGCACCACCGCAACTACAGCAGAAGAAATGGAGAAGGTTGGAGAAGAGAGGAAGCAGTTTGCTTCTTCAGGCCTTGCCCAGTAGTCAGCGTGATGACATTGTGGCAGGGAAAGACCTTTCAGTGTTGGCGATTTTGGCAAAACTCCTCAACAACTACCAGCCTGGTGGTTCCCATGAAAAAGCAGCAGTGCTGGCCGCTTTGGAGCTGCCGGCAGAAGCGGTGGGGATCGGCGAGGGCATCCTGGGACTACGTCGTTGGTTGAGATGGAAGAAAAGGGCAGAAGACATGGGCCTTCAGTTGCCCGATCCATCGGTCCTTTTGAGGGGCCTGGACCGGCTGGTCTCCAAGATTTTGGCTGGCAATCCAACCTTGCAGTTTCGCATTAACCTGACGAGGACAACACTGATGGTGGATTCTGTGCCCACTATGTCTTCCATTGACCAGTTGGCCGAATGCTTACTGGCTGAGATGGACCAGGTCTCCTATGCCAAAAAGAAGGAAAAGGCAGCCATCGCAGGAGTTCCTAAAGCTCGGAAGATGGAGGAGGCAGGAAAAAGAAGCGAAGTGCCTCAAGCCAAGAAGGGCGATGAGGGTAAGAAGGAGATGCCAAAGTGTAAGTACTTCCTGACGGAGAATGGATGCCGTCGAGGAAAAGCTTGCAGATGGGATCACAACCAGAAGGATGACCAGCGTCGCTGCTGGAATTGCGGGTCCACAAAGCACTTCTCCAACAAATGTCCAGTGAGTGAGGGCCAAGGAGAAGTCAAAGTGGCCAAAGCCGAAAAAGATGGCGAAGCCAGAAAGAAGAAGAATGATGAGGAGGACAATCAGTCCGACCGAGCAGTTGCTGGAGCGGACGATATGAAGAGTCTACTGGAAGAAGCTGGAAAGATGCTGAAGGTGATTCCAGGAGCTTCGCAGGAAAGCTCATCGGTTGAGGAGACCGGTGATGCCAAAATCAGGAGACTTCAAAGACAGCTGGATGAGCTTCGAGCTTCTTCGGTGAGAGTGCTGCGATTGGCCAGGGTCCAAGCAGCTGTGGAAGATTTGGGACTCCTTGACAGCGGAGCTACCCATCCTCTTCGACCTCCAAAGAAAGATGAGGATCTGTCCAAATGTCAAAAGGTGAGGATCAATCTGGCCGGAGGAAAACAAACAATGATGATGCTTTCAGAAGGTGGTGCCATCATAGGCTCTGAGGATGTGGAGCCCATCGTGCCACTGGGAGCGTTGGTGGAGAACTTGGGTTGCTCTTTGCAATGGACCGAAGGCCATATGGTCCTGTATCACCCCTTCAAGGGGCAGATTAGCACCCAGCTCAAAGAAGGTTGCCCGATGATCAACAAGTCTGATGCTTTGGAGTTGATCGAGGAGTTGGAAAAGAAGGCACCCGAGCTGAGGAGTGTAGAAGGATCCGCAGCTGAAGCCTACATGCACTGGATGAAGCGCTTGGTAGAAGAACACCCAGCACTTCAAGGAGTTCCAAAAAGAATCACAGAAAGGTTGGTGATCAGCCCTAAGGAAGGACATATCACCGGAAACCGAAGCCGAAGAAAGCTATGGAAGAAAGAAGGAGGTATGACGTTGTACCTCTACTCAGGACCCAATGAAGGGTACACTATGGCCAAGGCCATTCAGCTTCTCGGAGGAGAAAAAAGAAAGGTCATAGCGGTGGACATCAAGAACGGAGCCAAATGGGATATGATGGAGGATGACCTCTATGCTGAGCTCATGGACATGGTCATCAAGGGCCAAGTGGAGTCCCTGGTGATGTCTCCAAATTGTCGCACTCGCTCAAAGCTCCGACACTGTGAAGTTGAAGGAGTTGATCTCCCCGGACCGGTCCGAGAGTGGAACGGTGGAGAATGGGGAAAGAAGGGCATCGGAGAAAGAGAGGAGAAGAAGTGCCATGAAGATGATGTGATGCTCTTCAGAGGACTCATGCTCTACATGGTTGCCCAGGAGATCAGGAAAGCATCCCGCCACACCAAAGACATCGACCTTGTCTTTGAGCACCCCAGCACCCCGGCAAACATGCCACAGGTGGTATCGTTCTGGTCCACCCCCCAATGGCAAGCACTCAAGCAAGCATACGGCCTGTGGGAGATCCACTTAGACCAAGGGAAGCTTGGAGGAGGAGGGGTCAAACCCACAACGTTGGGCGGCAACTTGCGCATGCAAGTACCCAGCGTGGTCGTACCAGCACCACAACCTCGATGCACACATGGCAAAACAAAAGAGCAGATAGTGCAGGAATCCCAAAGCCTTTCCAGATGGGTCCCTCTGCTTACCGACATGGTAGCATGCGCCCTGCTGGAGTCCCAAGGGATCACCCCGAAGTTGAGATCCTGGAGGACACATGTCCAACGATGCCACCAGCCTTTCAGAAAAGACTGCAAGGTATGTCAAGAGGCTGCAGCAAGAGCGAGACCTCACCGGCGTCAAAAACTTCCTCCAAGAGCTGGCGTTCTTTCGGTCGACATCGCCGGACCACTCACCAAAGCTCCAGACCTGGGCAAAGACCATGCTCGTTTTGTCCTGGTCGCGGCGTTCACCTGGCCTACAGGCCTGAAGGGTGACGACTTAGAAGAGTTGCCCGAGGAGGATGATGAGGATGATTTCCCAGGCTGGGAAGAAAATGAGGAGAAACCAAAAGAAGAGATAGGGTCCCAAAAGCCAGGAGCCAAGAAGCGAGGCAGGCCAAGGAAGAAAGACCCTGAAGAGGAGTTTGAGGAGCTGCTGAGGAGAGAGCAGGAAGAACAGAAGCAGAAACGGCAGAAGGAAAAGGAGGCTCCAGAACCCCCAGGAACTGAGGAGCCCTTAAAGGAGGCCGCAGAACCCCCAGGAGTTGAGGAGCCCTTGAAGGAGGCTGCAGACCCCCAGAAGAAAGATGATGATGAAAAGGAAGGGGACTATATGACCCGGGTGGCGCCCGATGAACCGGGCGAAGACCCTTTCCCACAGGTGCCAGCACCAGATGTCCCTGAAGAGCAACAGGCACAAATACAAGTGCACCGTTTGGCATTCCCCTTGCCAGACAAGAGAGGCATCACGATCTTGAATGCCCTGATCGATGCCTACCTCACCTTGAGGAGTGAAGGCATGTTTGTCAATCAGCTCCACTCCGATTTAGGAGGTGAGTTCACTGGAGCGTACATCGAAAAGTGGTGCAAGGAAAGATGCATCCTCACAACAACAACCCCAGGGGTATCCCCTCAAACCAACGGCCGAGCAGAAAGGGCCGTACAAGCAATGAAGACAGAGACGAAGAAAATCCTGCGTGGCGCGCAGGTGGGTATCGAATGGTGGCCGATTGCTGTTCGATATCTCAATGAAGTATGGAAGAGAAACAGAACAGAGGCCATTGGGGCCATCCCACCGTTCATGTCCAAAGTGCTGATCAGAAGAAGGTATTGGCGCACAAAGGACATGGAACCCAACAACGAAGAGGTTCACTACCTCGCCCCATCCTGGCGGAACTATGGGCATTGGGTACTTCGCTCAGACAACACACAAACCTTGACCAGGGCTGTCATCACCAACACCGTGGAGCCAGTCACTGAGGACACGTGGATTGCCTTAGAAGACAATCTGACTCCCTTGGATCTTCGAAGGAGAATTCGAGGAAAAGCCATGATCAGAAAGGTACAAGAGGAGAAAGATGAAGAAAGCAGGCAAGACAGGCTGAAGCGGGAAAAGGTGATACAGGAAGAGGCAGAACATGCCTTCTATGATGATGAAGAGGTTGTTGAGGCCGTACTCAGGGGGGTGAAAGCCATGCAAGAGATGGATCAAGAGGATGAAGGAGAAGTGCTCCAAACGAAAATTGTGGGCACTGCCGAGGTGGTCAAAAAGAAAGACCTTTGGCATCAGGCCATTTCCAATGAGATCAATTCACTCTTCTCAGAAAAGAAAGCGTTGAAGCTTTTGACGAAAGAGGAGAGCGACAAGTATCTCAAAGAAAGAGGAGCGATTCCACTACCTTCCAAGACCGTATTTACGGTGAAGCCAGACCCGGCTGAGCGTCGGGGAAAGCGAAAATGCCGCATAGTCGCATGTGGCAACTATGAGACTGTGGGTGGAGATGAAAACTGTTTTGCGGCAGGGGCAGATGCTGCTGCCCTTAGGCTGGCGCTTGCTCTGGCCACAGTTCGCAAATGGTGCGGAATCAATGTGGACATTCGCACCGCCTTTTTGAACGCTCCCTGGAAACATGAAAAGGGGGGTGAAGATTGGTTTTTTGAAGAAGAAGGCGAAGAAGCTCCGCTGCCAATGCTTCTTAAGCCACCACCAATTTTGGTCAAACTTGGCTACTTTCCTCCCTATCAGCTCTGGGAGGTTTTGCGGGCTCTTTATGGCTTCCGGAGGTCTCCGAAACTCTGGAAGGATTACAGAGATGAGGAGATGGAAAAGATGAGAGTTGGAAAGATGAGGTTGCATCAGCTTGAATCAGAGCCGAGCACATGGGCCATCCGCCAAGAAGAGACTGGCGAATTGCAAGGGCTCATGCTCACCTATGTCGATGACATTTTGGTCCTTGCCTCAGAGGAGACTGCAGAAGCTTGGATCAGCTGCATCCAATCCAAGTGGGAAACCTCCGTCCCTGAGAAGGTGGGCTGTCAGCAAACCACCCGGTTTTTGGGTATGGAGTTGTCTCGAGATCAAAATGGAGTGTGGTGCGCCACTCAACACTCCTACACTTTGGATCTCTTGCAGAAGAACATGGGGATGGACAGAGAGAAGTGGGGATTGAAGAAGATTCCCATGTCAAAGGAGGATGGAAGTTTGGATAGTGATGGTGAGGAGGATGCAGAAAAGACAGTGGAAAAGGTTCGAGAAGCACAGAGAATCGTAGGTGAGCTGACCTGGCTGGTGACCAGGTGTCGCCCCGACATCATGTACGTCATGTCCAGAATTTCCAGATGGACCACCAGACGACCTTCCAAGGTCATTGCTGCAGCGCCTCAGATCTGGAAATACCTTGCGAATTCCATCCAAGAAGGGATTCGCTTTGAAGGAAACGAAGATGGTTGCCTAGACCTCCTGGTCTACACTGACGCGGCCTATGGAAATGAAGGCCACGGATGTTCAGTGGTGATGTGGCTGGGAGCTCCAATTTTGTGGCGAAGCTCGCGCCAACAACTTCAAACCGCCTCTACGGCAGAGTCGGAGCTGTTGGAGATTTTGGAAGGAGGAGTTTTGGCAGAGGCAGTCCGAGTAGTGGTGGAAGAAATTTTGGAAAAGGCAGTGCGATGTTGGCAGTACTCGGATTCTGCCTCGGCCATCGTAATAGTTGGAGGCGACAGTGCGTCCTGGAGGACGCGCCACTTGAGGAAGAGGGCTCGCTACATGAGATGGCGGGTGCTGAGTGGAGATGTCATCCTCCGACACACTCCAGGCAACGGCGTTATCGCCGACCTGGGCACCAAAGCTTTGGCGGCATTGAAGTTGGAGGAGCTGAAGAAAGCCATGGGCATGACAGATAGAAAGATCAAAACAGAAAAAGAAAAGGAAGATCTCGGTGTGGTGAGAGGGCCTACCGAAGAAAAAGAAGAGAATGGCGTGGTGAGAGAGCCGGCCATAGAGACGAAAGAAGCGAAAGGAGGGATAAAGTCCCCAAAAGATATGGTCAGGATGTCGATGATCATGGCCATGCTCAGCCGAGCGAGGGCCGAAGATGAAGATGGAGATGCAGGAGAGGAATCATCCATCTTCTTTGACATGATGATGGTATATACAATAGTGGTGGTGTTGGTCACGTTGGCCATTCAAAGCGGCTGGCAGCGACGACTGCTCAGGGCTGAGACGGCTGTGGGATCAGATCGATCCCGCGGCGAACTCGCTCAACGGAGTGCCAGGACATCGGGTCTGATGACCGATGGTCCAACCTCCGTCCCGGGTGAGACGGTTCTGGGATTCGGTGAAGGAGACCAATCTCGGGACGAACTCCCCAGGGGAAGCAGTCAGTTGCTCGGGAGTGCCAGGACATCAGGTCTGACGTCACAGACTGGTGGTCCAACCTCCCTGCCGGGTGAGACGGTTCTGGGATTTGGTAGAGGAGACCAATCTCGGGACGAACTCCCCAGGCGAAGCGGCCAACCATCTGGGAGTGCCAGGACGTCGGGTCTAGCGTCACAGACCGATTGTCCAACCTCCCCGCCGGGTGAGACGGTTCTGGGATTTGGTGGAGGAGACCAATCTCGGGACGAACTCCCCAGGCGAAGTGGCCCACCACTAAAAGAAGAAAAGGAAGAAACACCAAAGGCTGTAAAAAGAGCCAAAAGTATGGGCCAGTCTTCTGCGTCCAAACAGGACGGACAGAAGAACACTTATGGCCAACCAGCTTCAAAACTGGAAGCTCCGCTACCAGAAGATCAAACAGCCTCTGCAGGAATCCAAGAACCAGTGATTCCCAAGGCGGCAGCAGAAAAGAAAGAAGTTGCTCCGCCACCAAAAGCTTTGCAATCAAAGTCAAAAGGAAAGAAAAGTGATGAAAGGAAGCCAAATGAAACGACATCAACAGGGATGACGCAGATCAGAACCGATCATGCTGCAGCCGAGCCAAAAGCTGCAGCTTCCTCATCCACTGGCACTGGTGCTCAGATCCCTACGGATCCATCTTCCAGTGCTGACCCATCGATTGACCTGTACTTTACAGGCCTTGGAAAGAAATATCACTTCCGAAAGGATTGCTATGGGTTGAGAAATTCACAGATGGTGCGACACACCGATATCTGTGAGCAGTGTGTTCCTCAACTTCGCGGATGGCATCCTCGAGGGAGAGACATGTATGGAGCTGGATTGAATGGACCCCAGCACACCGATGTGACTCACTGCGAAAAAATGCATGGATATTCCATTGCGTATCAGCCGTGTAATTGGTGTGCGAGGCCAAATGAAAGCGAAAAGTGAAAAAGGTGCGATGACATGCAAAGTGAAAAATTTTGGAAAAGAAGAGCGGAAAAAGAACATCTGAGAGAGGGCTTGAGCTTTGAATGTAACACTGTCGTGCAGATGGTGTGAGATATATTTTGCTTTTTTCGTGTGACTGTGCCTCTAGCGAAACACAGTCAGGGGGTGTGCGAATTGCATATTCCCTATTTAGCATTCACGTCATGACTTTGCAATTGTCATTTCAATCAATGGGCATTTCACCATAGCCCTTTTTCCAAGCTCAAAGATCGGTCGGAAAAGACCGGTGAGTCCAACGTGAAGGACTTTGGAAAGAGAGTTAAAAGCGCAGGACCACTTGTCTGACCGTGGAGGACTTTGTGTGTCTAACGCAAGGAGTTTGAGGTGTGGACTAGTACCTGGCTTTTCTGGCCGAAGACGTGTCAGGACTGTCAGTGCTAGTACCCCCGATAATATTACCCGGGTGAACCTGTCGCGAACAGAAACCACCAACCAGAATATTTATAAAACATATTATATAAAAATGGTGAACTGAACAAAAGACGAGGATTTCATTGAAGGAAAGCATCTCAAGCATTCAAATCAGTTTGGCTTGCCAAGTCCGGCTTGAAGATGCCTTATTGGCTGCAAAATCGGCCCCCATACATTTCACAACTGGCAATAATTATATAGTAAAATGTTCAAGAGAAAAATTAATCACAATAAATCGACATATTTCACGTTTATCTTAAAATATGTCACATACTCCCGCTCCCCTAATATTAAACACCCCCCAGAAACCATGGTTTAGTAATGGAGGTGTTTAACCTTCGGGGGATTGGATTAATGCTCTTAGCTATTATCATATTGCATCCACAATGAAATACCACCATTGAATTATATCATATAATTATATCACCATAATTATGATTATATATTCTCATGATATCCCGAATTGACTTGGATATATATGATATATATATATATATACATATACACTTAAATGGTTGATGGGACAGTCGGACAGTGGGAATATCTAACCCCATCAAAGCATTGCAAAAAGAAATTCATTGCCGAGTCGTCGCCAGGTCGGCGCGGTTCCAGGCGGCCATGGCCATGATGGAATCCTACGCCGACAGGTCGCGGTTTCGGGTTTGGCATCCAGCGGTGGTGACCACCGGTTGATCCCCCCAAAAGGATGCCGAAACAGGTGAAACCTGGAAGTTGTGTGGAAAACATCCAAGTGATGAAACATGATGAAACCAGATTCTAGAAGGCATTTGAGCTGATTTGACGTTTTTCGGCGCGATGTAGCATGTTCATGCATGTTGAACTTGGCCTGATTCAAGTTCATCACGATGGTAAAACCCATTAAAACCCGAAGTAAAACATGGTAAAGCAATATTTGAATAACCAAACGGCTTGCTGTGTAAACCAATATGTTAATAACCAAATAATTCTGTTTAGGATTTGGCTCGCACTCGCAGGCCCAGAGACAATTAAACAAATGGCTCATCGGTGCCAGGAACGCGTTCGAGCCGATGCCCATGCACATCATTTTCCTCCTTTTGGCGGTGGAGGTGCAGGGTGCACCTGGTCGGAAGTCCAGATTGCCATGTTGAATAAATGTTGATATAATATGATAATATACTACTGTGCCAGTTTATATAATTATATACATAACATATACTATAGGGATATAAGGTTAGTTAATTATAACACAAATATAAATATACACATATATACATAACATACTATATATATCAGGTTGATTATACACGAATCACGGTCACATAATATGTTACAAGCCATTATACACTTCCCAAATGACTTTGGATGGTCCAAATGATGCAACGTGGCTATGATCTCCGATCGCAGGCGGAAGCTCTCCGGCAAATGGCTGCAGCAGGGCACTCAGAGTGAACAGCGGGGTACCCCTAAATTCATTTCTTACTTATTATTAGTTGTTATATATCTCATTACATCCCCATTTTTAGATGATTTTTCCCATGATATCCCAATATATCAACCATTATAAACCATTATAAACCACTATAAACCATTATAAACCATTAGAAACCATTATAAACCATTATAGACTCACATGATCCCCATTTGTTTCATTCCTTTGTCCGGTGTCAGTCGAAACCTTGGCCCTTCTGCTTCCGCTTCACCAGGGCGACGCGTCGGAGCAGGCGCTACAACTGGCGGAGGACAGCGATCGGATGACGGCCGAGGCGATGCAGGGGATGGGGGGGACTACCCACTGGTTACTTAACATAGCCATGGCAAAACTTGGAACATGTTCGATTTATAAATATGTGTTTTTTGATGATTTACCTCTTTAAAATGGATATATCCATGGTGAACCAGAGGGTATAGTTATTTTGGGATGAACATCATTGAACATGCGATTTGTTGCTGTGACCAGGGGAAATCTGGGTGAACTGACCGTGGGTGCCACAGATCTTTCCGTATTTTGGACCCTGCAATGCAACCTGGCATGGATTGCCATGGATTGCCATGATTGGCTGGTGATCAACTGGTGGTTCAGTGATGAAGAATTCACGAATTTTCTTCGGCAAGTCTATGTAAGTGGCACCTTAAAGTAGATGAGTTAAGATCAGCTCACACGTTTAACTCGTTCTTCTATGATGTTGAATGATTTTGAAATACTTCGGCTTCTGAAAGTGCTTTTTAGTTTGTTTTGCTGAAAACTGCTCATTTTATGGTTCTAGCTGTAGCTTGCATTTCACTGATGTGCGCAAGCATTGTGCAAGCCCCTAAGATGCCACTACATATCAATTATAACAGACAAAAATTGGTCCAGTCCAATATCAAATTTAGTGTTGGCATTCTATGTACAACATTGTACAACTATTCCAGATAGAAGTGGGAGAAACATGGGTCAGACGGGCGCACCAAGTGACCGACTACCAGTGCCAGAGATCCCTGTTGCATCTATCAGCTATCTCTACCACGAAATTTAGGACATCCTCAGATTTCCTCAGGGATGAAGAAGTTTTTGAGAGGTAGTTGCAACTTTCTAGACTTGGATAGGATCTCATGACTTTTTTTCCAACATTGACCACTTTCTGATTTCTGGGACAATATGGTTTCCCGTAAGCAAATCAACCCAATGATCCTGCGACAGGCTGCCAAGTACTTAGAACTGGCCCGTGCATCTCCCAAGAAATGGCAAGGCGGGGGCCGGCGGGGAAATTCACACGTTGCCAAGGTTTGAACCCAATGACTTGGCTGTCATTGTCTTTTGTTTTTCTATGTTTTTTCTATGTTTATTTCCTCTCCCCCTAAGGTGCAGTATATTGATATACTGTGATTACTACTTAATAGTCGTTCTTTTCTTGATATCTTTGGGTATGGCTTGCTGGGATGTTCATCATGGCCATTTTTCCAATCCTTCGTTGCTGCTTGCCCTATTCGTTTCTGCCGGGTCACGGTGAGTTCGGAGACCTATAACAAACAGGAACATGCCAAGGGACCTTGGTGATGGGTAGAAGATGAATTACAAGGCCTGACATCAACTGATTCTTGCTGGCAAAGGTTTAAAAATTTACGCAACTAATATCCCAAGCAAGGGTTTCACAAACAGAAGAAATATAGAAGCAACATGAAACACCGATTTTCCAATATTTTCCCAGGATATCTAAGGTTTAAACCACACATTTTCCATTATGTTCCCAAGTAATTACCCTCCAGTAAATTAACATAGACCCTGAAAATCACCAATTTTCAATGGAAACTAGTCTTCCAACCCCTATCTGCCAGGGTCTATGTTAATTTACCAGATGGTATATTTTTCCATATTTTCCATAGATTCTTGAAACCGCAGCCTTTGTTGCCGCCCAGGTACCCTTGAGGTGACGCCCAGCTTCCCGGAGTTGACCATGTTGGTGGCCAAAGAGTCGCTGAATCGCGGTCGCCCTGAGGTGGGCTGATGGATATTCCAATGAAATTCCAATGGGTGAAGAAATGTGAAGCTTGTGGTTTGGAACATTTGGATTATTTTCCCCAATAGTTGGGATGATGATCCAATCTGACTAATATTTTTCAGGGGGCTTGAAACCACCATCCAGAAAGACAATCAATAGGAAGTCAATCGAAAATCAATAGAAAGTACAACAAAAGTCATACGATCGAGAATATGTGAGAACCGAGCCTGTCACGAGTCACGACTATAATTACCTCAATTTGCGAGGTGTCAACAGAGAATCTATTTTCATACTCCAATGCTAGGTGAACCATCAATAGAAACATCAATAGAAAAAAACAATAGAAAAATCAATAGAACATCAATAAAAAATAAGTAGAAAATCAGTAGAACATCACTAAAAAATAAATAGAAAATCAGTAGAACATCATAGAACATAATTCTATTGTTGATGTTCCAATCCTTTCAGGTGCCCGAAGCTCCAGAGACACCTGCTGCCTGGCTTCCCTCCAGCGAGCCGACTCCTTTCGTGGATGCACAGAGCCTGCGGACCGCGCCGGAGCCGGACGACGCGGCATGACCCGAGTGAACCCTGGGGGGACGTTCTGGGTCGATAAATCCATGAAAACCTTGGTGAAGTGAAGTGGTGGAGAAAAAAATGGATTCATCAACAAACATGAGGATTTAACTGTATTTAACCAACAAGAATGGTAGGTTTTTCATGGTGAAAGACTATGATATTATGAATGATTATGAAAGTAGATCATCGAGTGACCATCCTCGACTTTGTGCGAAATGTGGTTGTTTTAGCCTAATGTTGGGAAACAAATGAAGATAGATTTTGAAAAAATTGTAAAAGACATCAATTCTGGCAGTTCTGGCAAAGAAAAGAAGTAGACATTTGAAAATGGGGTGGGATGTTTCTGAACCTACTTGTGGTTGGTAGTCCTTTTGCCAACAAACATGGAGATTTGGTGAGAGCGTTAATCCTGGACAACGTGCATGCGAGTCCTAGTGTCCTAGTGTTGTGTTATGGCTACTTAAGATATTCGCATCAGTGGTTGACGACCATCCAATTGCTCTTGTTTAATCCCCAATAACATGTTTGGTTCACATCCCACAAGACAAGTAAATTGTACTGTATAAGATATTCGGTACTCTAATCCGTATATCCCAAATGATATCAGACGGTCAGATCACTCCTATGATGTAGATAGATATTTTCTCGACATACCTGAAGTATTTTGACAGAAACTCTACAATAACTTTATATATTGTTAAATGTCTATTGTAGATGTACCAATTGCATCCAATTGCAGTGAACATTGCCACATCTACATCTAAACAAACATCATCATATTGTTTATAATGTGGGTAAAACAATAATAAACCATTCTCCACATCACCATTTTTATAGGTGGTATGCTTACCATTCCCAAATCAAATGCGTGCTTTATGATTGTTTATCCACATTACCTATGATATTCATTGCTATTCCCCATTTGGGTTTGTCTGAAAATAGTGTACCCCATTTTCCCAATGGTTTTGCTGATCATTATCCCTACTAAATGGCTATTTCATTGGGGCTATACCCCATTTTCAGAGTTTCCCCATTTGGCAAACCGGTGACAGCTCGGCTGTCACCAAGGCTATGATGGCCCTGAAAGTCATCGACCTGCTTCTGCACTTCGGCCTCTCTGACCTCCCAGGTTTCCTGTTGGAGGAGGCCGTGCAGGCGCGCGGAGGTGGGTTGTTGGTGGCGCACTTTTTTTCAGAAATGACCCCCAAGGATGAAACATGATGAAACTCCAGAATTTTTCTAAAAAGTCCAGAATTTGGGTTAGAGATTGAAGTCCTTTCCGGATCATCAACAAAAACATCTAGGACATAACGTGACATGACCCATCCACAGCTCGAGGCGTATGGCTACCTGTCCCCGGTGACGGTGAACTCTGAGCGCTGTCAGCTGCAGAGAGTCAGGGTGGCCATGCTGGCCAAGGCTCCAGTGGCACCAGTGGCACCAGTGGCACCAGTGGCACCAGTGGCACCAGTGGCACCAGTGGCATGAGGTAAACCCAACCCATTATTGGTTACCCTCTGGTAAACGTTTACATAACTATGGAAAATCACCATTTTTTTATGGGAAAATCCACTATTTCTATGGCCATTTTCAATAGTTATGTAAACGTTTACCTTAACGTAACTATGGAAAATCACCATTTTTTATGGGAAATCCACTATAAATTGTCATTTTCAATAGCTATGTTAAATTACCAGAGGGTACCTCATCATTACAAGTTAGGGATGTGGTTAAAACCACTAACGGGAGGCATAGAACTACTAATGGTAGGTAGTTTGGGAGGTGGTTAAAATCCCCAAAATGACAATTTTGATGGGTGGTATGCATGTTTACCATCAAAAATGGGGCGGTTTATGACATTGGTTTAACCACATTATTGGGATGATATGGGATAATGATTGGAACAACTAGGATATCAATGGGATAACAGTGGATCAGTACAGTATGGCAAAACTATAATAAACCATCCCCACTAGAGCATTATTATTGGGCATACCTCTACTTTGGATGATTGATAATAGCCTCCAAATGGTCGCTTCATCAGATGGATGATCTTTATTTACCGCATGAGTGACGATAAAAAGTCCCCGCACAACTAGCCTAAGTGGGGAGCAAGTTCCAGAGGTTCCAAGGGTGACTGTGGTATAATGGGGGCATCATACAGCTATATGGTGCCCATACACCATATGCTGGGCCTCTACCAGATGTATACATACTATGTAATATATGTTAAAAAGGGATGTTCACCACCATTGACTATGTTTATCTACCATTCACGTCCATTTTCTAATGCAGCTCAATAAAAATTGGCTTGCTATGGCTTACTACGGTTTACCAGCTACATCGGTCCCAACATTTGATGGAGGTGGTACCCCAAAGATCCCTAAAGCCTAAACCAATGGAGGATATACTTTAAGATCTATACCCTTTGGAAATCAAATGTTGCTGGGAAATCCACTATAGATGACCGTTTCTAGCTGCGAAAATCATCGAACTAATTTGTGGGTGGATTTTCCAGCCAGCCATGTTTGATTGCCGGAGGGTAATTCAATGAAGTTTGCGGGCTGGAAGCAGTTACGAATCATGAATGCATTTGCCATGCTTGTTTGGACACTACTAGGATTATTTCATATTGACCACTTTTTTAAAGTTGAACCCCAGCCTTTTTGGTCAGGATTGGAATAAAGCTGAGCAGTTATTTAGCGACCTCTTCCAGCGACGAGGTTTCCGTTGGGGGGGGGACGTTGTCGTCATTTTGGCCGAATTTCATTGGGTGTTTTACATTGTTTTACCAACAGACTTCCAGTAGGTATGGTTCATTTGTTTCATCCTTTGTTCAATGGTATAGTAGTGACATGTAGTCACTCTGTGCAAGGGGATTCCATAGAGATAGTGTGGCCGCGGCAACTTAAGTTGAGGCTTCCAGTCGTCCAGTTTCCGAATCTCATGGATCGACGGATGAAAGAGGATACAACCCCCCAAAACAAATATGTGCAAAAACCATGGTTTTCTGTAGATTTTCCCTTAAACCAATCAGTTTTTTCGACATTTTTACCAAAGGGTATTTCCCTATCATATCCGCATTATAGCCATGGTGATATGCCCATTGATCCAACTTGCCATTGCAGATGATATCATCCAGCAGGTGGGGATCGATTACCCGAAGCTCACGCCTTGCTGGGTGAGTGTCGCTACCGCGCCGCGCGCGATGCGAACTCGAGCAGTGCCTTGGGTGACAGGATCGATGGCGTGGTAAGACCCCAGCAGTGGTGGCATTAACCACTTAAGATGGATATTTTTTTTATTGGGACATGCCTTCCGGGCGGTGCTAACATAGCTACAGAAAATGGCCCTACCAGAGGGTAGAACATTTGATACGGGATATTTGATATAATTGGAGGACCTACTTGGCTCAGCCATGAGGTAAGTGGCTTTAAGGGGTCATATACTGTAGTCAGCTATGAGCCAGCTACTAAGAACTTTAAGTTATTAGATGTTATTAGTTATTAGCCAATCCCATGAACCATCTAAGCATGATCAGTAATATCATACGCCCAATCCTGAGCTATCCCCATTGAACCCAAAAATGGCTGTATCCAATGAGAGATCTACTCTATCTCCAAACCTTTTTTAGGGTTTCGATGTTAGAATTACGTAGGAATATATGGTGCATATAGCTTTACAGCGGGCCGAGAAAAGCAGTTTAGCAGGCAAACATATGCAACAATTAGAATTCGTCCTTTCCTCCCAGAAACCCTGGTACAGTTTAGTTTAGTGGTGATTTTTTTTGTAGATACATGTGGGGATTACTGTACACCGTACGCACTGTAAGATACAGTACTGAGTCTGCAGAACGACACTATTCACCAACAACGGCAGTTAAACAAACGAAATAGGAACTGACTGGGATGATGTTAGTGAATCCGATCATGTTCAAAGCTAACCTCCTCGAAAAGTTGTTCTTTACTGTACATGTTACGGAAATTCTGCATTCCTTGAAGCAGATAGGAATTTTAGCACTTTAGCAATGTCTGGGGCAGGTGTTACAATTGTTAATTACAAACACGGTTGCCTGGTATTAGGGCTCTCAGTTTCTTTCCTTGGATAAAGTCGTGTGATGTTTCGCAGCTTGTGGCTTCAGTAGGGTCAAATCTTAATGTTCACCTGTGAAGTGCCAATTTTGCTTGGTCAAGTCCCTGAATATCTGTTTCTTTGCAAGGCTCTACAGGATGAACTCCCCATTTTGTTGGTCCTGAAATCACATGACATCACTATGTTTCTGGGACTATCTGGGACTTGACCATATCTTAACCATCATGTTCCACTCAATTTCCCTTGGTTTACCGCCATTTCTGGCGCCTTTCCCTTGGTTCACTCAGCCCCCAGAGCCCTGGCGGTGCCTTCGTTCATGGCGCGTGGCTCCCATAGCAACGCCCGCGCGCGGCTGGCTGCGAAGTGTGAGGAACTGGATCTACAGAGGTGGGAGCTGGGCCACGGCCATGGGGTTTCTGCAGATTTTGCAGGTTTATAATGGTTGATATGATTTTATATGGATTTTATATGGATTTTATATGGATGACATGATTTTATATGATTTATCTCCCCATTCTCAGTGTCCCAGAATGATCTGAATGGAACTTTTGAGGGAAGAGGGACCCCCATGGTATTTGAATGTATTTGATGGTATATTACCATGTTCAAAAGCCATAGTTTTTGACAGCCTCCGTAGATTTTCCCACCGCAGGTGGTGCGCTGGCAGTGACTGGATGGCCACGCTGATCCATCGGGAAGGGAACTTTGAGATGTGGACCCCGGGCGGCAAAAGCGCCAAGGGATGGCCCTATCAGAGACGAATGTTGGCTGTAAAGATAGAATCATGTCATATAGATGACTGATGTATATGTATATCCTCAGAGAGAAGGTGAAACTTGAGTTGCCGCACAGCACATGCACAAAAGTATAAACACATAAACAAAACACCTCAAAGCAACCAACAAGTCACTCTCACCACACCTGCATCAATGAGCCAAAGCCCCGGATTGCATTTTTTCTTCATACAGTAGCATTGACCAAATGCACTTAGTTGGCTTTCAAGTTTTTGCCAACTTTTTTTTCAGGGCAGAAACCTTCAGGCGAGGGACACTTTTCAGAAAATCCCGATTCTTTGGATATCTTTGGATGGAACATGAACAATGTTTTCCAGGGTTTAGTTATAATAATTCTTGAAATCCTCAATCCCAACATTTCTTCGTTAAGATTCGTTTAAGTTTCATTGACATTCCTTTTGATTATTAAACTAATCATCCACCACTACCGACCAGTTATAGGTGATTCTCTTACGGTTTATCGCCCATATGTTTATTGTAAATCCCAATTTTCGATGCTTATCATGTTTTTTCTCCCATGGTGTTAGTTAAAATCCCTCAACAGTATTAATAGATTGTTTTCAGGGAAAACTTACAGGAAAGCCCCATATATCATAGGAAAATCGATGGTTTCCGATTAAGATATTCCCCTAAACCAATCCATTGAAACAGCCATTCCTAGATGGCTGATGTCCAGGCTTGGCAGTGTCGAGGACGCCTTATGCGTCAGCGCGTTGCGTCAGCACTCCGTGGACGCAGTGCTCAACGCGGCGTACAGCGGATGTAGCCAGGACGAAGCCGAACGCACCAGAAAGGATGGTGAAAAGGTTGGGGTTAGCCTATAAATTGATATATATATGGGATAATCCTCCCATTGACTACTATTTTTCAAGATGGTTAAAACCACCAACCAGATAAGAACCCGCAAAACTATGCCAAAAGCCACGTTGGACACCGAGAAATATGGGGAATACATCATCTAATTACACGTTTTTTTTAAACAATCCTGGCCAGACTTTCCGACATCTTTGTTTATTAGGGGACTACAGTAATGTAAATCGTTCACCTGAATTACGATCCTTTGGGAAGATTTGGGGATAATCATCTCAGCTCTTTGTGATGCTCACAAATAGCCACACCCACACACAAATTCTTCACCAACCTAGAATCTAGAATCTAGCACTTAGGATATTTTTTTTGCCTTGGTGAACGGTTTTGATTTCTCCAGATGGTTTCTAAAATGGCTATGGGGTATCTGGCAGGGTCAACATTGATGGTGAATCTGGTGGTAATGTAACGCTTTGCGATTCAAGATGGCCATAGTGAAATCGTTGATTTAGCCATTAGAAATGGTGATTTTCCATCGTTTTTTGGTAGGTTTACCAGAGGGTAAATGATTGGCTGCTTCAGCCAGATGGCACCTCAAATTCCGATGGATTTCCCAGCGTCCTTCATAAGTTACATTTCGGAAAAAGCTGCTAGGGGATGTGTGGCAGCACGTGCTGACGATGAACATGATGGTTACCCTCCAGTAATTTAGCATGTCTAGATGAGAAAAAACACAATAGCGTTTAATGACTTTAATGGAACTTTTGGGCTCATCAGTGATGAAGTGATTTTATGCTATAATAATTATTATATTATATAGGGTAGGAAGAGGAATTTTGCAAAAATAATTCCTTTTAGTACAATTTATATATTTTGGGTAAGTGTAGTCATGGGTAGTCCAAACATGGGTTGTAAATGATGGGACGTTGACCTCTCCCCGCTGATGCCAGCCGAACTCTTTTTGTTGAGAACAACGGTACACCGCGGTATTTCATACGAAATTGGGGCAGCCTATTTTCCAGACCAATTCTCAAAAAACTGTTAAACATATTTAAACATCACTTAACATCTCTATTCGATATAGTAAAACCATGTAAAACCACCATGGTATGGTGGCACCCACCATCCTGATTGAGCCGAGGTATGTATTCCCTGCTCTGCCACGGCCGGTGGCACGACGAGGCGCCCTTCACAGCGGCCTGGTACCAGGACAAGCTCTGCCGGGCTGTGGAGATGTTGGCGCTTGATGCGGAAGACAGCCCGAAGTATCCCATTTCAGGTCGGCGGATCCCTCTGTCATCAAACATGGCTTGGACACCCCCCAGAAAAATGATATCAATGGAGCTTTCTAGCGAACATCATAGAACATATAGAGGAAACTATATGAAACGTATGGGATAAAACGCTGATTTATAAAGGCCGTTTTTTGGGAACATCATCGGACTGGTGGACTATGTGGTTATGATGGGGGATTATCTGATAACCCATCATGAAGGACATACCCATCATGAACCAACCTAACGTCTTCCATGGGATTGGATTGGGCCCCCCTATTTTTAACACTGGTTATGAGGAAGCTGCTAGGGTGCTATGGGTGCATCCATATTCCAACAAGAAATGTGGAGCCAAGAATCTACGACTTGAGTTTCCCAACCATTTGATACTTTGAAAGGAACATCTCGGGGGGGACTTACTGTATCTAGACAGGCTGGAAGGTCAGTAATTGGATACAGCAAGTCAATTCACAGAGTAATTAACATGCAGAATCTCAAACATGATTAGCAGGTGGCTCGATGTAAAGGGATACCCACATTGAGAACGATGTTGACAGATGTGAAAGGGGCGATGCTTCGCTTGTAACTCCAAATGGTGAAAAATCCTATCTTTGGTATTCTTTGGTTCCAGTTTCCTACGTGTGTTCGTTTCAACATGTTCAACGTGTGTGCCATTCTTGGGCAAGTGCCAATGTCAAAACCTCCCCCAACCCGAAAGCTTGGGATCGAAAAGGTGGTCGAGTCGAGGGTTTTCCCAAAAATGTGGGTACCCCAATAGCTGGATGGTTTATTTCATGGAAAATCCGAAACTAAAATGGATGATAACTGGGGAAAAAATGTATTTTAGGAAACCACCATATGTAGAAAAGTCAACTCGTCTTTAAACAAATGTGACTATATATATAGGGTTTGATCTGGAGCCCACATCGAAATTAATCTATCCAAATCCTTGTCAATCTTGTTACCTGCCAAAACTATCCCTCAAATTATGATTAGAAATTGTAGTACTACACCCAGATTGTCCCAAATCTGTGCGTTAAAGATGGGCATTACGACTGCCCCTGGCAGATGACCATGCCATGCTTTCACTAGGCCATTTCGCCGAGAGCAACGAGTTTCTGTTCCGCTGCCGCAAGGAAGGCCGTAAGGTCTTGGTTCACTGCGTGGCTGGGCAGAATCGACGCTTGTCTCTGAGATTTTTTTGGGGGATGGCAAGAGCTAAGTAGCCATCATTGGAATCGAGATTGGTTTCATATAGTTCTATTGAATAATAGACATAAAATGACTGGCTGGCGGTTTGAGATATGTTTTGGCATTTGGTGTTCTATCCTTCCTGGGGTGATGTGTGAAGGATGGTTTGCACACCAGGCTGTGCATGACCCGCGTTTGCCACTGGGTGACCATGAAAATTGGTATCTCAGACTCTACCTCCCCAAGATACCTTGTGGATCCTTGTGGTAAGTGCAGAATCCCTCTAGATATATCAGAATTAGGCTCTAAATAACATGAACTAACCAGGAAAAAGTCAGTAGCCAGGGAAACCGCCATTTGATCGGTATAAACATAAACTTCATAAACCCAGTAAAACACCATTGTTTGACTAACTCGACTCCAGTGTTCAACTTCAGCAACTTCTTCAGGTTGCTCCCTTAATTTAATCATTTCATCCATCTTCACCTGGGGGGTTTCCTAAAATGGGCCCCAGATCATCCATTTTTATATAGGATTGTCCAAAATTTTGCACTATTTAAACCATCCAGCTATTGGGGTACCCCCTTTGATCCATCTCCTGCAATCCTTAGGTTCCGCGACCCTTTGCTGCGCCTTTCTGATGCACCGGGACGTCTTGGATCTCCCACTGCGCCAGGCGGTGGCGCTGCTCGTGACGCGACGGCCCGGGGTGCTGCAGAACCGCGGCTTCCTGAAGCAGCTGATGGCCCTGGAGCCACGGTGAGGGGAAGATGGGGGGTGGGGAGGTGGGATTTTTTAGGGGGATCCCAGTCAAAATGGCGATCTCATGGGATTTCATGGGGAGGTCATGAAATAGTTTAGGATTTAGGGGAATCTTGTTGATGTCATACTTTTTATGGTTTGAAGTGATTTTACTGGATTTTTCGATGACTTGATGACACGGGGATCCTGACCCAAAAGAAACGCACAAACTCAAGAGAGAAAAGGATGTGAGTCATGAGTTGGTAATTATATTCATAGTCAGCAACAAATCCAGAGGGACTATATACTGCATTTTAATGTATGAATCGTTGCCTTGTTGACATATTTCCTACTCAACAACAGCCTAGGGTTGCCTCCCGGCATGAAGACAGTAAACCACGCCATACAAAGCCCACATATGCCTTGGCAGATCTTGACCAGCGGGGATTTCTCACCACCAGGCAACCCATTGCACAAAAGTTGGCTCCACTACCCATGCATGTTCACACCACTTCAACAGATTCGCAACTGTGAGTGTACAACTTAAGCAACTTCAAAGATTTGAAGCCCAGCTGCAAGCAGGAGAAGCATAGCCTGCCATATGCCATAGACGATCACAGTTGGAACACTTCCTCAACCCTTCCGCAAAACGAAACCACTGGATGTTCATCCAAATCCACGTGCCAGGTGCCAAGTGGAACCACAGCCACTTCCGTCACTTCCCCCGCCTGCGGTTGTCGCACAGCCACAGCTGCTGCTCGCTGACGTGCAGGAGCATCAGGAGCGCAAAGACGTCGAGCCTGTCGAGCCAGTCGAGCCTTCGCCGCCGCGAAAGGTGTCACGTTTCAAGGCGATGAGAAACGAAGAGAAAGATGAAAAAAGGGCAGCTGGGGGCTGGAGATGGGGTGGGTTATGATCTGCATTTTTTGAGCAGATTATATGATATTATGTGGTTTTTGCAGATTTGTGTTTAAGTGTCAATCCCGGATGAATCACGTGTAGTTGGGTTTATTATTGGGTTCAGAAATTTAATATTCAATATGTTTTCTCTGCGCAACAGAACCGTCCAGTTTAATCAATCTGGAGTTCATGAATCAATCCATGCTTTATTTGTTCATCTTATTTGAAATAAGTTTTTTAAAGCATATGAGTCATATGAGCATATATGAGCCACATATTTTAAATCAAGACAAGGAATCAGTATCCGGGTGACATTTACTTCTATCCGAAATATACTATGCATCTATTAATAAACTTTCTATACTTGTAGCATCTATAGGCTCCCAGTAGCACTTGCAACCCAGGTGCTGGCTATGACTCAGCCCTGGCAGAATTCGAGGCGGCCCTTTGCTTCATGACAGAGGCACTGGGCAGCTTTCTTTCGGGATGGGCATGGGATGATGCTGTGACCAGGAGCCACTGGAGTTAATGTGTTGGCTGGCAGTCTTGAAGTCACGAGCTTAAAAGATCTCTAAGTCAGGGAGCAAGACTGCTAAAACATGTCCGAGAGTTTTTCATGTTTTTTTTCCTCTTTAGACTTGAGGTGTCATTCAATGATGTTGTATACCGCATACCCAATAATGAACCTGTTTATTGTATTTCATTATTGGGCTTACAGCATTGCGGCGGCCATGGCATGCCATGGGCCCCGCAGTGCCATGGCACAGGAAACCTCTGGATTTAAAGAAGATCCAGTGCTGCAACTCCGAGCTGCACGGCAAAGAGGTTTTGATGACGGAACACTTGCGCGGAGACTAGATGAAAATAGATGAAAATAGAACATGACTGAACAGGTAGTTTTCAAGATGACCATTTTAACCTATAAATTCAAGGCCATGGCCTTGGGTTCAACGATGGTATGCCCTGATCCTCATTGGCGCGGAGATTCTGGCGCCCAGGTCGGAAGCATTCTGCACCTGAAATCTGAGGAGCCAAGGGCAGCCAGTGGCATCCGCTGATGACCCTAGCAATCGGAAAACCCAAAATATTGGAAGGCAAAGATGGGACTTTCGGTTACAAGATGACTTTCTGCGTTGGTTTGTTTTCCATGCCATTTTTTCCAGAGAGATGTTAAGGTGTTGATTAATTTGGATGAATCTGATGAACAGGACCCTAGAAGACATTCGAAGTGAACGAGATGGCTCTGATCAACTGATGGCCCAACAGATGGGGCCATGGATGGCGTGTTCAAACTGGTTGGCGTTTTTGCACTTGAATACCTTCAGCTAGTAGATCTTATGAATTTAGCTGGATAATATTAATCATTATAAGTTATATATATAATATTATATAATTAATATGATAGCTGGTGTTTTTTCTCATCAAACCAATGTTAAACCCATAAGATGGGCGGCTCCAATGTGTTTTTTCCCACAACGGCAATCCGCAATCGCCAGAAACCTCCACGGGCTCCTGAAAGGTGGGCAAATAGGGATGAGAACTAGGGGGTACCCCCATGACTCAGGAAACCTCCATAGAACCTCCATATAGTTATTGTTAAAAACCATCATAAACTAGGGTAACTATATGGGTACCTATGGTCTATGTTTTTCTGTGGTTACCCATATGTTTACCCTAGTTATACACTGACTTAGCTATATCTATGGGGGCACATTTTTTCGGGTTGCCTTGAACATCCTTGAGCCATCTTGAACCTCGAACTCCAGGAGCAGAACTTCAGCGACCGCATGCTGGCTGAGCGTTTCTTGGACGTCAACAAGAGTTGGCTGAAGGCATCCGATGTCCTACCCAAGTATCTAAAACACCTGAAGGGTAACACATATATGAATACATGCGTTTGTACTTTCTGGGTCCGTCATGTCCTTTGTTTGACAATTTTTTCGCACCATTATATGGTGTGGCCATACTCATCTTGACACCCCCCGAACCCAACAAACACCTGCTGAGGTGCAGTGAAACACTACAAGAAATCTGCCATGGCAGCGCCCACTGCGGAAGCCTGGAAGAATATCGGTCCCTTGGCGTGCTGCTACGATCTCATCACAATCATTGTTGTTGCGGGGATGACAGGAAAATCTGTTAATGTGGGTAAAACAATAGTATACAATAATATACTGTATCAACTTTATAAACCATCCCCAATTTCACCATTATGCAAAAACCATTCCCAGTCATGGGTGGTTTATGACATTGTTTCACCCACATTGGAGATTCTTCCAAGACCAGCTCCAATGATCAGCAGGAAACCAACTTGTGAGGCCTTTGCCGCTATCGCAGGGTGAAGTATGAGACCACAGCGCGAAAGGAGAAGAAGTTACGGGAGGTGCTGGAAGAGCATGTGCTGGGTCAAATGAGTGGCTGCTCAACCCTTAAAGAAAAATACCAGCCAGAGAGTTTCACTATCAAGATGTCAAGATTGTCAAAATATAAGACTAAAAGATCATATAAGTGGATATGTAATGATATATACATATATAATCATATAATATATATATACAGTTATATACATGCATATGAGAGCCGATAAATGATGGCTTGGTTGATGATTGTAGAGGATTGTTCTATCCAATATTAATTGATAATTGGGGACTGTCATGATCCATGAGCTGGAAAATCCTTTTAACCAACCAGTCTAAAACGAGAGAAGGATGATGAATTATGCATTATTTATACGACCAAATTGTGGACACTTTGCATTATCTACGATTTCTATTGAAGAGGATTCGATCATCACAAGAATTTGGGCAAATTCTAAGTCCAAAGATGCGTTTGGGATCAATATCTAAGATTATCTAAGACATGCGTTTGGGAAATGCGTTTGGACAGGCCCATGGTGAGGGAGGCAATGGTGAACTCTGGGGTTCGGTGCCTTGCCCTTTTAAAACATGCCCAAAATACTTCCCATATGGAGGTTTCCTAAAATGGGGCTACCTTTCAAATTTTGTTTTTTATTTCATAGAAAATCCATCTATATAAATGGATGATTTTTCGTGGTACCCCCATGACTCAGGAAACATAGTTATAAATCATGAATCACCATAAACTAGGGTAACTATATGGGTACCTATGGTCTATATTTTTCTGTGGTTACCCATATAGTTACCCATGTCTGAAAATCCAATTCTATGACCATTGAATGGGGTTTTCATAGGATGTTTTGATGGGGATTCGCCATGATTCACCAACAACAACTGGGAAAATGATGGGAACTCCATGGATATGAAATGGATATTAAAATTATTAACTGGCTTTTAAATCCTATTAAATTCCCATTTCAGGAAACCACCGGACGCCATGGCAGGCCATGAAGTACTTCTACGAGGCCAATGCCCTGGACCGCGAGCGGCCGGACACCTTGGCGTGGCTCACCATCTGCGCGGTGGAGCTGGGAGAGGTGCAACGTGCCAAGCAAGGCGCCCAACGGGGGAGGAAACGGGAGAATCTCAAGGAAAAAGGGAGATCAATTGATACATGATATATATATATAATTATATATATATATATGTTTATTTATATACATATATATATATATAAATAGACTATATATATATATATTATATTTATTTTTTATACATATATATATATATGACATGGACAACGCAACACTTAGGCATGCAACATAGCCCCTCCGGTTCGATGTTTTACCTCACCATGAGGTCACTCGAATGATGGGGAATGTAAGGGAATGTAAGGGGAATCATCCCCAGATTGCCTTATGTTCATCTTATTTCAGCAATTTTCAGGTTGGTGAATTATTCAACTTCAGCTATATAATATATACGCAATATATATATATATATATATATATACATATGACTACACACACACATATATATACATAACATCATATAACATTATATATATACATATCTATCTATATATATATATATACATATATATATATATGATACGCTATGATTTAATATGCAACACTTGCAGAATGGCCAAGCTGCTCCCAGCTGCTCCCAGCTTTCGTTCGTGTCAGGCTTCAGACAACTCATGCAGTTCGAGGAGCGCCTTGCACCTTGGTCCATAGATATTTGCTACCATTTGTTGCACTTCCCAACTACTGTAGTGGTAATAAGTGGTATATATCTGTTAATTAAGATGGTTCCTATCTGTTAAGATGGTTCCTATTTGTTAAGATTGTTAAGTTGTAGCATGTTCTAGCTGTTGCCCGATACGATTCCCATACTCATTGGAAGAACCAAAAAAAAACAAGCATTTCCCATCAATCAAGGGCCCCAGGGGTGCTTTCAAGCAACTGCAGCATCGATGGTCGCTACTGCTACAATGTACGAAACCTATGGAGTATAGGGCGCCAACAGCTCCTCTAAATATTTGAATTTCTGACTTTTCTGATTTCAAACGAAGTGTTGTCAAACTGTTGTCAAATCTGTCAATCATGGGAGTTTCCAAAAATCGCTACTAACAAGTGTATTCCATGTTAGATGGTGAAAAGATGTCAACCATGGACCATTCCCAAAAGTTGGAGAAACATATTTAGTGTGGGATGGTTAAAATATACCCAAAACCTTGGGATGGTTGAAGTGTTGTCAACCATGGAGGTTCCTTTACCTCTGGTAATTTCACAGTTTGCTATTGAACATGGCCTATAGAAATAGTTGATCTACCTATTAAAGATGGTGATTTTCCATAGTTTTTGGTAGATTTACCAGAGGGTAACCATCTCTAAAATCTCTAGTTTACTAACAGAGCTATGGAAACTCACCATTTATATATGATATCCCCATCAAACATGGTGATTTTCAATGTTTGAACCATCCCTTTGGATCAGGCGAGCCCCGTAGCCTTGGAGCTGGCGGAGGTGCTGCTTCGTTTCAGCAACGAGCAACGCGCCGCGGAGTGGCACGGCGAACGCGGGCGCTTAGTTCAGGATGGACGCTATGCCAAGGAGGCGGCGATGCTGAGCAAGGCCCAGGGGGATTGCGGGGATCACACGATGTGGACAGGGCAATAGATTATATCATAGTGACTGTTGCAATATGGTATGATTATACAATATTATATATATGTATATACTTGTATGTATAGAGCATGAATGACTTCATATGAAACATAGAAAAACATAGATTTACATCAGCCTACACATAGGTATATTATATTGTGGTTGCTATATGCTTCTACCGCTACACATAGATAGAAAACCCTTTCTAAACATCCGATGACAATACTGGCAATATGGACGCACATCTCACTGCTGGCATATGCTGATATACTGGGGCATGGAATCTCTGATGGTCAAAAGAAAACATTCATGATTTTCCCTCCAAAATCATCATATCATCATGTCACAGCAATCACGGCCAACATCCTCCTACTCACCATCATCACCATCATCACCATCATCACCATCATTACCATCATCACCATCATCATCACCATCATCACCATCATCACCAACATCACCATCATCATCACCACCACCATCATCATCATCATCACCACCATCATCACCATCATCACCAACACCACCAACACCACCAACATCACCAACATCACCATCATCATGATCATAATCACGATGATAATGATCATCATGTGTGATAACAAGAAGTATCAAACATATCAATAATCATCCACAACAAACAGCTCACCTCATCCACCCAAGCCATCCCAAGCCCCACTGGGAGGATCATCCACTTGGAGGATCATCTCAAGAAAGTGGTTAGGAACCATAGTTATAACTATGCTATAACCCATTTCAGCTATAACCCACGAATGACTATATGGTTACTATCCTCCAAGCACTCCAAGCACTCCATGCACCTTCCCATCTTATTAAATCACTATCACTATCAAATCTTGCAAGAAATCACACTAAAAAACCCTATTCAACCCCTCTTAAATCTGATTAAAATCTGACTTAAATCCCTCGCTGGCTCACCTCCCCAGGTGCTCTTAGGCCGCAGCGAGAGCGGTCCGGCCCGCTGCATCCTGGCCTGGTCCAAGTTCCTCCAGGGCGAGCACGGCGCGGCGGCCGGCGAGTTTTGCGCGTCGCTGACGGGGCTGGTGACGGAGAAGCCGCAGATGCTGGAGGAGGCCATGACGGAGAAGCCACGGTTTTCAGCAACCTCCGGTGAAAAACAAAAATTGGGATGGAACTTATTGAACATGATTGAACTAAGATATAACTAAGATAATTATTAGGGTTAAAACATGCTAAAACGTATCTATGGAATCCAGATATATCCAGATCATCAATATCATGAATCACCGCAAACAGCTAGGCAAAAATTCACTGGTGAAGGCTTGGGTCAATGTTTTTTGGTTGCGATGGTTGCCATGATCCTTCGAGCGATCGGATTTCAGGCTGCTTACATGGCGCGGCACTGTGCAGCCTTAATCCCGGGGGAGCCGCATTTGTCGGCGCTGGTGGAAGAGGTGAGGTGGTACACAGGGTGATGCGGCTGGGTAAAGATAGGATACTAAGATGGGTCAATCAATATGTATACATATACATATATATATATAATTATATTCTAATAGGGTCAAATATAACTATTCAAATACAGTATCCAACTGGCTATAGCTGCAATTGGCAGATAAATACTGTATAGATTAGTGTAGATATACGGAATCCAGCTGTAATTAGTGTTGCTATCCAGTTGGTTGGGGAGCTAAGGACAACGAGACTTTGGAAATTTAGTTGCAACCCCCCGCCCTCCAGCAATCAAACAGGGCTGGAATTTCCCCCACTGAGTTCAATGATTTTACCAGTGAGGTCTCCATTAGTAGGGGATTTCCCATTGCCATGTTTGATTGCTGAAGTGTATCTACGTTAGTATTTCGTTATATTTTGCATAGGGCCGAGGGGTTTCTCGGCGAAGCTGTTGGCAGGGTATTCTTCGATTCCCGTCCCATTCCGAATCCTCCAATGTTTCACCTGTGAAAAAATAAGTTGGAATCGGCCTCGAAACTGGGCCATGTGGCCATATTCCCAATCATCTCCATGTCTTTAGTGTTTAAGCGGAACGGTACGTATGAGCCATGCCCAAAAGCAATGCTCAAAGGCTTTCTTGGAGTTTCTTGGTTGCTTATAACATTACTGGTTGGTGGTTTGGAACATTTGGATTATTTTCCATATATTGGGAATAGTAACCCCAACTGACGAACTCATATTTTTCAGAGGGGTAGGTATACCACCAACCAGGTTATAACATGTTATAACCAAACTTTCCCATAGCATTTCATGAGAGTTTCATCATGTTCGTGGCCGACACGGGCTTCAGCGAACCCCCAGGCCATAGCGATTGCCTCTGAGCCGCAGCCCGATGAGTCCAGCGGCTTTGGTGACGAGGCGCTCATGGTGCACCGCCATGGTAAGTGCTTCAGCATCCATCATACCCTTTGGATCCCTCTGGTTATTTAGCAAATTTAGCAGTTTGCCATTGAACATGGCCATAGAAATAGTTGATTTGCATAGTTAAAATGGTGATTTCCCATAATGTTAGTTTACCAGAGGGTGAAAATCGTTAGTTCACCCAGATATATCCTGTATATCTCCAGTTATTCTCCAGCTACTGGGATGCCATGTTTTCTACCCACCAAGTTAGGGTTCAAAACCCCTTCTTCTACATTTTCCTATAACACTTGCCATGAATTGGGGTTGAACTTGAACCTTCAATTTTTGCGCGAAGCCGCTGTTATACAGTGTATGGCATATATTGCACACGATTCTTTCGAAAGGCGCTCGAAAAGTCGACGTTTTGAGGACGTCATTTTCTGCATCATGCTATCCATAGCTTTGACAATTTCGCCGAAGATGCCGCATTTTTTCAACTTCCCCACTTGCATCTTACGCTTTGTCCCGGTTTATGTTGCCTTCATTGTTTGACATTTTGTTTTTCTTGATTCTTCTTGGGTATTCATCCTCGCCACCACCATCATCATCATCATCATAAAATTTCATGTTTGTTCATTATCTTAATAGTTTTTGTCCAAAGGTAAATCCCCCTGGACTTGTTTTTACTGCATCCACATCCTGACTTTTAGTTTTGTCTCCTTCATATTTGTTTCAGTCATGGACCAGTAGCTTTCCTCCATGTTCGAGAGCTAGACCAAGCAAAGTCTGAGTAAAATTGAAAAAATGCAGCTTATCATAGTTTATCACTATAGTCAAAATCCAGCTGCAAAAGAGACCTGAAAAAACAGCGCATGCCTTGTGTATCGAATATGTTCATTTGCTGGTATGTTTTTTTTGTGTTTCTTTATTTCATGAATTCATTGCAAGCGTAGCGGTCTTTCAAGATCCTCCATGTAAAAGAAAAGGATCCAAGGACATGCATACATGCAAAGATCGTGGGAACCCACTATGCAAGTACTCCGGGCTGATTACCTGTGGCCATCGTTGTGGTTCAAAATGCACATGTTTATTGACCTTACGGACCGTGTGTCCAAATTTTTTCCTAGCCTCCATCAACTCACATTGGAACACCTGCATCTAAATTTTGAAAAAAGGATGCGCTGAGAAAAACTTGAATATTTCTCAACCAAGTTCTCACAAACTCTATCTCTATCAAACCAAACGCTCCAAACAATGGAAAACGTATCCAAAAGTTCGAAATTCCGATTGGACACATGTTCGTTTGCGACACGTTTCAAGTTTTCGGCTCACCACCAAGCTGATCGTCCAAGAGTTCTGGAATCCAGGTATTTCATTGAATGCTGAGACAGGAAGTTGACCAGGTCTATTTGTGATTTAAACTATTTAGTTTGGTCAAAAATAAAGTCAGTTTAAACTAGCGAATAAAGGCTAAATCTGTAGGACTAAATCTAGTCCGTGATGGTAGATGATGTCCCCGAAGTACGTTTCTGATTTAGTCTGAGCTGTACTTCGTTTAACCTGCGTTTTTTAAATCTGCCTTCATCATGTTGTTTTCTCAGCTCCTCAAGCTTCAAGGGAAGCAGAGCATTGAAGACCGAGTACGGTCTTCAATGCTCTGCTTCCCTTGAAGCTTGCATAGGACATGTCGCAGCAAGAGCTGGACTGTTTGTTGACGATCTTGAAGGAGCCAAACAAGCCCTTCGAGCAGATTGCGCAGACATTCTACACGAGTTTCACCAAGCCTGACCAGTTCAAAGCTGGCTGTGTCATTAGCATGCTCATCCAGGACAATCTTTTGACACAGACACAGCGCTTGGTTGGATTCTACCTTCTCTACGACATCCACCGGCAGGAAACTGAGGCAACTACGCCTTTCGTGAACCATTTGTCCTGGAGATGGTGGAGAAAACAAAAGACAAGGCGGAAAGAAAGTTCCTGCTGCAGTTCCTGTCGTCCTTACCCAAGGAACTGCCAGAGCAAAGTGTGGAGGGCTTTCTCCAAAGCTGTGATCCGGCAGAGGATCCTGTCATCCCAGACTTGGATGCTCTACTGCGGATTCATCAGGTGAGTGCTCCGGTGGTGAATTCAGCTCAAGCTTTGGGCATCAGGCCAGTGATAAATGACAAGTCCGATGAAGGCTACTGGGTCCCGTCAGATCCTTCAAGAGAAGACTTTGATGGTATTCAGCTCAAGCCTGAGGAGTTGACTCTGCTTTCACTGGGACCAGCTTGGGCAAGACCTGTCCCTCCGCTTTTGGAGGCAACCATGGATGAGGTGTTTTGGTTGTCACCTTCGCAGCTGCTCTCGGAGCCTTTGTGGGATTACACGATGTGTGCTGAATCTGAAGTACCAAAGCTATTTGAAGTACGAAAGCTGGTTGCCTAAGCCGTGAAGACACCTTTGCCCATGGAACAGGCTCAGGTGATCATTGATGGCCTAGGGCAAGATGTGAAACTTGTCCACCACTGCGGGTTGACTCCAGAAAAGCTCCCTGGATTGGTCGAGCACAACCCGCAGATAGCCATTGAAGTCTTGAAGTTGATGGGTAGCTCACAGATCCCCGACTACTTCCAGGCTCTTGTGGACATGGACGTGAGCCAACACTCCTTGGAGGTTGTGAACAAACTGACCACAGCTGTCGACTTGCTTCATGATTTCATTCACCTCTACATCTCGAAGATCACGAAAAAGATCAATGACAACATGCAGAATGACCTGGTGCCGTCAGTGTGCATATGCTTGACTTCGCTGACCAAGGACAAAATCATCAATTGGAGGGAATTGGACATTGAAGTGCTGCGGGTTTTCTGTATCGAGGTCGGCGAAATTAAAGAAGCTGCGTCGTTGTTGGTTTTGCTCAACAATCTGGCCAATGAAGAGGAGAAAAGGGCTGAAGAGGACCCCTTCCAATTAAAATTCACTGGTCAAATCATTGTTTTTCATGGTCAAATCCACGACTTTCGGTCACTTAAATGCCACTGTTTGCTGCTTAAATATCGATAATTCATATCGTCAACCACACGTATATGTGCCATTCTGTCACATGGTTGGTTTCATCCAAAAGTCTGTCCAGCAAAAACTCCAACATCAGTGCTTAAATCCTTGTAGTTGATGCTTAAATCCACCATTTTGGCTGCTTTGACTACTTTGATTCTTTGATCCCCCCTAAATCCCAAACTGTTGATGGTTTTCGGTTGCTTTAGCCATCATTCGCCTGGCGAAATCCCACTTCCGCCAGGCTGAGCAAGATGCCGCGACGGAGACGCCCCGGCCGGAGGACCTTCCGGGCGCCTAGGAGGAGGCGCGAGGGTTTTCCGAGGAGGTCATTGGTGCAGTCTGGCAGTTGCTATGTGCAGATCTTGGGAATGTCAAACAACTGGGGAATGCCATGGAAAAATCATGAAAAGTTTCATGCTTTGCACGGATGTTAACGCACCATCAACACATGTTTGAAGTCAACCAAGAAGACTTGTGATTTAGCGACATAAATTTGGGTGTGAACCCTTAATAGCATGGGGATCAATTAACAATCAACGTGTACCATCAAACATCGGGATTAATTCACAATCGAAATTACTGTAGCGGTAACCAGCAAAAAGTGGGTAGATTCAATGCACACCTTCAAAACCTACAGACAATGATGCTTGGTAGAGGGAGCCTCGCCAAATTTATGGCCTCAGATCAAGTCGGTGATTTATAATTGATTGGAAAAGAGCAATGGGCATGGCGGCAAATACATGAGATACGAAGCAACAACGGCAACCAGTGCAAATCAAGGTTCAGATAGCTGACTTATGCCCATGGAACCAAACCACATGAACATTTTATTGACCTCTTGGACTCTTGGGTTTTCATACTTTGTGAAACCCATCAGATCATCTCAGGTTGTTTCGTGTTCGGTGTGATTACGACTGCCGGTCGTTGCTCTGTGAGGCAGTGAAGATCAGTGAAGCACCAGCAACGTGCCACCTGTAGCGTGCCACCTGTGGCACAAGCAATGCTTAAAAAAAGGAGTGCTAAATCGAGCCTCCAATACATTTGATGTCTCACAGGGTTTCACGGCTCGGAGGTGACTGGATTGGACTGGATTGGATATGACTCACATGACCAAGAATACCCTTTGGTAATTTAACATTGAACATAGCTATGGAAAATCACCATTTTTAATGGGAAAATCCACTATAAATGGCCATTTTCAATAGCTATGTTAGTTTACCAGAGGGTACCACAAATCATCGGCAGAGTTTTCGGTGATTTTTCCAGTGCGAAATCTCCAGACATCTCCAGAATTTGAGGCGTCTCACCAAGTCTCATCTTGACGATGTGAGCACTGCGAAAATGCAGGTGGTCAGACCGCTGGTCGGGCCCGCTTCCTTCCACATTGATCATTGGTTCTAATAGAGGTACACCCCCTAAATTTAATGGAATCCAAGAGTGCCAACATTAGGAAAACAAACTTTGGAATTGGAATCTCAATTTTCAGGCTCCATGTATCTCCATGTTAGATTTAGGGGTTGTAATTGATGGGTCGTCAACACTCAACCCGTTCTGGAAGCAGATCCTGGGTCGCAGCCAAGGCTCATGGAAAACCCACAGATACTGTTCATCATCTCGGCGAGCTCATCCACGCCAACAACCAACCACAAAGAACAAAGCAGAAACCATGAAGAGCATCAAAACCAGCAAACCCATCATAGAATTAATAGAATATCATAGAATAATCACAACCATCACAACCATCATGACCAAAAAAAACCGTCATTAGATGTCATTAGTGAAGCATGCGCTCATCGAAAAGATCTTCCAAACTCAAAACCACCCAAGATCAGTGACATGAGCATGACGCGAGTATATCACAGTATGTCCTTTCACCAACTTCAACCACCTAACAGCCCAAGCCCTTGACGCCCTCGACTTGCCCCAGCAGCAGCTGGTCATGTTGCCGCGCTATGGGCGACGACAGCACTCCGCCCCCCGATGCCGACTCCGTGGACGCCACAGGCCTGGAGGCTGCTGTGGACGCCGGCGCCGAGCGCCGCGCGCTGATGCGGAAGGTGGCACAGCTGACGAAGGTCGTGATGCATTTGAACAGCAAAAATGATGAAAGCGAACAGCAGTACCTTGGGTGATATGGTGATTCTCCTTATGATACCAATGTTTCACAGTTCGAACACTTTTTTGGAAGAAGCATCGAATTATTCAGGGGTGATTTTTTTGTAGGGAATCTACATGAATCTACAGCTTCTATGTTTGAGATGTCTAGGCATTTTGATTTTCATGCTGGGACTCCAAGGTACCAACTGCTGTCGGAGGAATTGGAGGAGGAAGTGACCCTCGACATCTCGACCGTCGGCGCGACCGTCGTCGACCGTTGTCGTTGTCGTTGTCGTTGTCGCAGGTCGTCTTCACCGTTCGGTTGGGGACTGTTAATGGATTGGTTTAAGGGAAAATCTGCGGAAAACCCACATTTGATTGGATTGTTGTCAGGGAGTATCTACAGACAGAAAAATGATGAGAAAAAACATGGTTTCCTACAACCCATTGAGTGAAATCGGCCATGTTGAGTGCCCCAAGTGACCAAGATTTCGTTGAATGGTTTGAAGCCAATCACTTCATATCACTTCTACATATCGTATGTTAGCTTTGTTTTTCAATCCCTATGCGATGCATTCATTTTTTCTCACCCAGAACAGCTTATCACTGCTTATTTATCTCTATATATGCATCATCCATCCATCTAGCTGTGCATATTTATATACATATATGTTATATATAATACACATGAGTTTCACATGTGAATATGTCAAGCCCAATACTTTGAGAAAGGGTTTCCCTATGTCTTGACCTGACCTCCGTTATAACCGTACAGTAGCGTGCCAAGGACGGCCATCGTGGAGGGAGCCGCCATGGAAATCCAGGCGGAAACTCTGAAGGTCAAAGACTTGGCTGAAAAGAGCAGTTGCTGGGACCAAAAAAACATCCAGCACCCAGCACAGCTCTGGATGAATTGCAATATATGGTGTAATATATATACATATGATAATGTATATATGATATGTAATGTAATGGAATGGAATGATGTGGTATGGTATGTAAATGTGCATATATATATATATGTATTTGTATTGTATATGATCGGGGTATCATGGGGAGGAAATTTATATTTGTATAATGGGGATTTGCCCTCCGGTAAACTAACAAGAACCAACATCACTAGGGAAAATCACTACTTGATTATAGGTAAATTGAGCACACAGAGGGAATTATATACCGCCTGGGCCACATGATTTACCAGCATGGTAAATTTTGATCACGACCTCACTGTTCTCCCTCACTGGAATGATGGTGAATGTATAGGGAAATTATCCCAATATAGTCTTATGATGTCTTATGTCAGCTTAGCGAATTATTATGATGATGTGATGGGATTATCACGGGGATGTAATGGGGACATCATGGGATTAATATATATATATACCCTCTGGTAATTTAACATAGCTATTGAAAATGACCATAGAAATAGTGGATTTTCCCATTGAAAATGGTGATTTTCCATAGCTATGTTAGTTTACCAGAGGGTATATTTATTTATTTATTTATGTACAAAGATGTACAAAGATGGGATGTAACCATCCACAATAGGGATTATAACATAAATGGAGACGTGTGACCTATGAAATCTACTTTATCTGGATGAATTGGATCATGACCTCGCTGTTTTATGTCCAATGATGGGAATTGGATTCGGGAAATCACCACCAAATGGCATGATAACAATTGAGAACAGCTCTTTTTAGGTTACACTCTGGTGAACTAACATAGCAATGGAAAATCACAATTTTTAATGGGAAAATCCACTATAAATGGCCATTTTCAATTGCTATGTTAGTTCACCAGAGGGTAGTGGATTAGAATTCAGCCATCTGCAGGTTTGTGTGATGAAATCATGCCTAACTATGGGGGACTTGACCAATCAAACGTTGGGATTCTCTTAGGAAAAATCCCTTTAATCCCTGGGGGCCAAGCATCAAAAATTGCTGGCTTTCTGTTGGGAGGTCATCAGCTTGACTTTGAGATGTTTCACTTGTTGGACCACATGTTTAAGGACCAATCCATGGTTTTTGGGATTTCTGATCTGATTGTTGAGCCAGTGAGTTTCAAATGTTCATGGCTGAACGAGCGGAACTCAGATCAAATCCACAGAATTCTGGTTTAGCATATATCACACACTGTGAAATACCAGTTTGGGTGGAATGGGGCTGGAATTCCAACTTTTGGTGGTCTCCAAGAGGCTTGGGTGAAGGGATTTCGCTGCTTGTAACAAGCGTGATCCACGTAATTTTGGTTTTTAAATGCATCTTCTCGGCAGTTATATGTATTATATATAGGTTCACATTGGCTAAATAGCTACAGAATTTGGGTGGCAGCAATTTCATGGAATTCCCTTAGTTTGCCGTCATTCATTTAATAATTTGATATCCCCGTATTTGTTCATCCATCAGTATTATATGGTCTTTCCTCCTAATTAGTTTCTCGTAAAAAGGATAAAGCCTCCCACATTCAAATTACATGACCCCATCTGACAATTGTCACATGCTTTCCTATCCTTCATCCATTTGGGCAAATTATAACAACCTCACTACTGACTGACGGCACTGCGGATGATTGTGAATCTAAGGGGAACTAGCCCAGAAAAAGATTGGATTGGTATGAAGTTCAGCAAAAAAATATATCATATGCCCGATTCTGATCGTTAAGTTAAATCCTATAGCGTTCCCACATTTTTAGATGGAAAGAAGATGTAAGAAGTAGGGTTTCCTGCAAGGTTGTGCCCTCTGTTCTACGTTTTATACCCCCAATCAAAACATATCTATACAGTATATATATATATATATGTATATATATATATGTATATATATATCTATCTATCTATAATATGACATATAATGATATATACACCCATGATTGAACCTCCCAGTGATTGAAGTCCCCCCAACCGGCCCCAAGTCTTAGCAAGCGCTTCCCCCAGCCTGGCGGCCTGTCCCAGGTCTCTTGGCCAACGCGTCGCGCTTGGATCAGCTCTTCGGGCAGCAGAAGCTGCAGCTGGCTGCGGAACTGCAGCAGCTCCGCGCGGAGGCGCAGGAGCTGAGGCAACGGCAGAGAGAGATGGCGGAGCTGGAGCTGGAGGACGGCCATGGGGGGGCCATGGGGGCCATGGGGGCCATGGTTTGATGGGAAGAATCTGGGAATGTAAGGGGGATGGTTGGATGCTGGGGATGTGCAAATATCACTGGAGTTGATGGTTTCTGAACGGAGTTACATAGATCTGTATATTTATTGACTAGTTTATGACGGGCATGGATGTACAAGGACTTAATCACCCAAGATGGGGGTAAGCGCCAAACGATTGGGAATTCAGCATCAAAATTGGGATCCAAGCGGCAAAAGACTTGAATTTCCAAACAACAACTGAGCCCCTCAACAGTCATGAAGAGACTCCAGGAGAAATGGAGAGTTCATGGAAAGATCTGGGCCTAACTCATAGATCATCCACCTGGCTGCTTGTCAGGTGACCATCCAAAAGGTGCGCGAAGTCTCTCAGAAGTTGCGAGAGAGCTTGGAGAACTACCGCCGCACCTTGGAACGCCACTTGGTATCACTTGGTCCAATGATAAAACCTGCCATTTGGGTGTGTCTGAAAATAGTGTACCCCTAAACCCAATGGTTAATGATCATTATCCCTATTAAATGGCTATAATTGGGAATATACCCTATTTTCAGACAAACCCATTTGGGGATGATTTCTAACAGTCCTTTATGGTTTATTCCGTCTACCACCACATTACCAAAGTTTGGAGACTTCGATCGATTTCATTGCTGGGGCGTTTTTTCCAACCCTACCCAACTCCCCCAAAAACTTTTCGAAAAAAACACCATCATTACATCATATTACATCTATATTTTACATCATGGGACCATGAACTCCCAACATCTTCATCCCGCCCCAGGCCGTGCCCTGGAGATGGCGCAACGTCACGAGGAGCTGCGCTCGGATCGCCAGGCTGAGCTGCAGCTGGCGCAGGAGGACTTCGATCGGCGCCTGGAAGAGTTGAAGACGTCGCTGCGGAGGGAGGCGGAGCACGCGCGTGGCGTGGCGTGCTTGGGGGGTTGGGGGGTTGGAGGGTGGAATTTTCACATGTTCACATAATTTAAGCATCCAAAATTGGGATATAATCATTTTAACCATCCAAAATAGGGATATCATGGGGATATAGTGGGATTATATTACAAATTTATATAACATAAATTTTAGGTGTATTTGGTTAGTAGCTCGTTTTAAGAGGTCATATGGCCAGTTCTGAGCCAGTTACTGTGCTTAGCTAATCCCATGACCCATCTAAGTAAGGGGTGGTGGGGGTGAACAACTGATGAAAAAACTGGGATTTCATGGCGATGCCAAGGCTTTTTTGATGATTTTTAGGGGTGGGGTGGGTGGTTAGGCTTGGGTTTTACCGTGAACAATTGGGATTTGATGGGGATGGATTTTGGTTTTTGAATTGGAAGTTGATTATATATGATTATAGAGTATATGTCTTGGTTTTCTTGGAGGATGTTGGACGGTTTAAGTAACAAGTAGCAATGATTGGGCATCCAAACAGTAAATGTCAGCAAATATTATTAGATTTATTAGATGGCCGAAACCTAGAAAGGACAAACATCAGAAGTGTAGGAAAGCCTCAGGATGTCTGCCATTCAGCGTTTCATGGGGATCTAAACCAAGGTCAGTCCACAGAGCATGCGATGCTTCACATGCGGCGTTTACACGAGGTGCCGCGGTCGAGGAGTTTTGGAGGAAGAATTGGTTGCCATTTGGCGCTGAAACATCAACCATTTGGGTGTGGTATAAACTCCTAAAGATTCTGTTCTCAGCTTAAGGGTTTACCACTATGCAGCTAATTTATGCTAATTTCGCATAAATTGCGTAGTTTTTTAAAAATATTATTTGCATATTTTTGTATGCTGAGATATGCTGAGGTAGCATGAGGTAGCCGCCCCATGTTCTACATCACTCCACTCGCATTCTCACAAACATCCTGGTGTTAATTTCACCCTTCCCTATCCCCAATTCTCCCCACAATCCCCATCCATCACCCAACTCCCAAACATGATAGTCATGATAGCCCAAAAACAGATCAGATGTTCATCCTAACTTCAATATACTCAAATCATAAAATCATATATCTCGAGTTCAGTTTCATCCGCGAGCAACCCGCATCCCCCAATCCCCCATTCCTAGCCATCCCCCATCCCCCATGTTGAAGTATAGCAACCATTAGCAACCTCCAAAAAGATCATAAGATCAAAAAGTTATATTTAAATTTCTTACTAGATGGATGAATAATAAATCATAATAGATCACAGTTCTATCCATTCTATTTTGGGGGCTTTCCTTCCATGTTTTTTCCACCGCGAGCCTCCGAGATCCCAACGGGTCCCAACGGGTCCCTGGCCGCCAGGCCGAGACCAGCTCGCAGCAGCTGGCGCTGCTGCAACGCCGCCAGGAACGCATGCAACGCCTGGAGCACGACTTCGCGGAGGAGCGCCGGGTGCGCGAGGCCATGCGCAGTGGGATGGAGCTGGAGATGATGCAGCAGAGGTGGGGTGGGAAGGAATTGCTGGGAAAACAAGCTGAAATCCCCATGGAAATGTCAGGTGTTTTTTTGTTCTTTTGGGGAGGGGAGAGGGGAGAATCCCATAGGAAAATCCATGGACATGATATGATTTTCATTGATTTGGATGATTAGTGGGAATTAGGTGTGGATTTAGTGTTTTTTTTGCTGCCTGATTTAGATGATTTAACTAATGATTTAACCCATTAGTATATTGGATATGGATGGTGCAGCAATGTGGGCCCCCCAAACAATCTGGGTTTGCATTGGGGTTGCGGTGAACGGGATGATATTTGAAGAAACTGGTTAGTCTCCAGTAGGCCTCAGCAGGTACAAGCCATAGGGAACCATGAAACATGAGATCGTTCCCCTGGATCCAGTGAACCGGAAGAACATGTTGGGGCATGTTGCTTGGATCCCCCAGGTCTGTACCCATAGGAAAAATCCCATAGGAAAACCACTGTTGTGGTACCGAGAGCCCATCAATGGTGTCGAAATATGGGGCCTTGTATCCATCAACATCATGATCCATAGGAACTAATTATAAGGTTTCATGGGGCTTGTATCCTACATTTGGGATCATTATATGTGTTTGTTCATGTTTTTTCCATATGTTTTCATGTTTTTCCAATGGTGTTGCTGAACAATTCCCATAGGAAAAAAAAATCATCGGAGAGTCGGCAGGAAAGACCTGGAGGATTTCAAGGCCTCGCTGTTTTCCGTTGATCAACAGGTGGAGGCCATGCGAGGCGCCGTGCCAGGGAATGCCAAATGTTGGGCTTGGATTTGGAAGGTGAAATCTGACTTACCATCTGGTTATGACTAACAGTTTGCCATGGAAAATTGCCCATTTATAGATGGTTTACCTGGGTTTACCTATTAAAAATGGGTGGATCTTTCCATGGCGAACTGTTAGTCATAACCAGATGGTATTGTTTTTTTTCAGATTGCTGATTTGTTCCTTTTCTTTTGCCAATCTTTCCAATGATTTGGGTGGTACTTTTCCTGATTGCTGATATGTGCTTTCTTGTTTTTCGTCTTTTTCCCCATGATTTGGTTGTAAAAAGGTGAACTGTTTCGTTTTCTATTCCGATGCGATCCGATGCCTAGAACCGTTAATTTTGCATGCCGGGTTTGAACATCAAAAAACATATCCGACCTAAACCCAAACGGTAGTGAAGGTGCTGGTGCCATATCCGTACATAGCATTCCAAGTATTTTATTGGTGTTGTGTTATTTTTGTTAGTTTGTTAGTATTATTCCCCACCTGCCAGGTGAGGGTTGTTAGATTTTATGTCAGTTGCCTCCTCCTCGTCCTCCTCCTCCTCCTCCTGCTCCTCCTCCTCCGCCTCCTCCTGCCTCGTCCTCCTCTCCTCCTCCTCCTCGTCCTCCTTGTCATCCTTGTCGTCCTTGTCGTCCTCGTCGTCCTCGTCGTCCTCGTCGTCCTCGTCGTCCTTGCTCAACTGCGACCCGCGATCCACAGTGTTCTCTGCCGGACCTCAACCACGACCACCCACGCCCAGTGTTCCCTGCCGGACCTCAACCACGACCATCCACGCCCAGTGTTCCCTGCCGGACCTCAACCACGACCATCCACGCCCAGTGTTCCCTGCCGGACCTCAACCACGACCATCCACGCCCAGTGTTCCCTGCCGGACCTCAACCACGACCATCCACGCCCAGTGTTCCCTGCCGGACCTCAACCACGACCATCCACGCCCAGTGTTCCCTGCCGGACCTCAACACGACCATCCGCCAGTGTTCCCTGCCGGACCTCAACCACGACCATCCCCGCCCAGTGTTCCCTGCCGGACCTCAACCACGACCATCCACGCCCAGTGTTCCCTGCCGGACCTCAACCGCGAGTATCCACGCCAAAAGATATGCCACATAGAGTGCCAGAAGATATGCCAGATAGAATGTTAGAAGATATGCCAGATAGAATGCCAGAAGGTATGCCAGATAGGATGCCAGATAGAATGTCAGATAGAATGCCAGAAGATATGCCAGATAAAGTGCCAGAATGTTTGCCAGATAGAATGCCAGCAGATTTGCCAGATAATATGCCAGAAGATATGCTAGATAGAATGCCAGATGGAATGCCAGAAGATTTGCCAGATAATATGCCAGAAGATATGCCAGATAGAATGCCAGATGGAATGCCAGAAGATATGCCAGAACATTTGCCAGAAGATATGCCAGAAGATATGCCAGAACATCTGCCAGAAGATATGCCAGAACATCTGCCAGAAGATATGCCAGGTAGAATGCCAGAAGATATGCCAGATAGAATGCCAGATCGAATGCCAGAAAATATGTCAGATAGAATGCCAGAAGATTTGTCAGTAACAAAATGTATAAAATGTCATGGTGGGGATCACACGAAGTAAAGTAATTATTTATTAACACTGAGCCGTTAATATCTATTTAATCTTTGTTTGCAATTGACTATATATATAATACATTACATTGGGGTTCTATATCCATATTTATCCCAATATTTACTCAATTATATATATATGTATAATATTATTTCTTTATTTACCCTATATATATATTATAAATTTACATACTAGTATTATATCTTTCTTCATCTCTGGGGTTAACAAAGGTTTCTATGGATTTCATCTATGAATATGAATATCTACCTATCCATGGTTTCCATTCCTATAGGTCATAACAGTTATAGACATAGTCACTCAAATTTACCATATATATAATTACATGTATGTATATATATATATATATAAATTATGTTTTATTATATCCATGAATGTTATATCGGGATCCCTAGCGCCAGGCACCTTGGAGGAGATGCGCTGCCGCGCGGAGCGCGCCTCGGCCGACGCGGACGTGGCCCGCAGCGAGGCGGCGCAGGCGGAGGCGGAGACGGCCGCGCTGGCGCGGGAGATCGCTCTGTTGGAGGCCTGGGATGTCATGATTCATGGTGTCATAGCCACCAGTAAACTAACAGTTTGCGAACTGGAAAATCACCATAAAAATCACCATGTTTCATGGGATTCGATGTGATTTGATATATGGATTCTATATGGCTTTCATGGAAATTCATGGATTGACCGAGCTAAAAATTTATGGAAAACGAGATTCTATGGGTGAACATGTGTCAGGATGTCTGGATTCTTAATTTGATTTTAATGTTTACTTGAATTACAGGTACCAGGTACCAGGTACCATATTTTCAGACAAACCTGGAATTATGATGGAGGATTACTCTCCAGTAAACTAACATGGCAAACTGGAAAATCACCATGAAAATGGGTACATGAACTATTTCTATTGCGATGTTCAATAGCTATGTTAAATTTTCAGAGGGTATATGATTTAGGTGATGTTGATTGGAATAAGATACTGTAGTTGTTGTAAAAAACCGCAAAACATGAGTATATGTAGATGAATTTAGCATCAAAAATTGGGATTTCATGGGAATCTAATGTCTTTTTTTGGGACAATTGTGACAATTTTGCATGGAATAGCATGGATTTACCGGAAGGTGCATTTTGTTAATCCGAAGATATCCGAAGTTTGGATTTAATATAATATATAATATATATATAATATTTATTATATATATAATATTTAATATATATATATATATTGTTTTTAATAATACCGGATTTTCACATAATCTCAGCCCCTCAAGATGAAATGCCCACAATCTTGTGGACCCCAGCAGATCCAGGACTACAAAAAGGGGTTGAGTCATGTTTCATCAACTATATATGAAATGACGAAGCGGTAACCCACATGCATATGTTTTTTTAGTGTTCGCCAATGTTCTAGTTTCGTTTTAAGGAACATGTTGGGCAATTTGTGAATCTGTGTTTTGTATATAGGGATGATCTTCCTTCTGATATCTTGCTGAATGTTCTTGTATAATGTCAACCCTGGATTAATAAACCCTGGTTTATTAATTAGGGGGGTACTCCTCCAATAGTCATAATCCAATACTTGAATGGTACCACCCCAATTAACCAGCCTAGGGGTTTATTAATCCAGGGTTGACATTAATCCCAACCTCTGACCCCGATTTGCCGATTTGTTTCCAATCAACTCCCAGGGGTCCCAAGCAAAGTCCCACTTAGCAACTCAGCGTCCCGAATGGGGGTTTATCACATCCAGCTTGGATGCACACTGTGGAGTGCATCCCACTTAGCAAGTCGTTGGTATCAACTGGTTCCAGGCATCATAAACCATAGAAATCACCTAGTTAAGAACTAACTCAATTAACTTAAATCAACTACTTGTTGACTATGAATGCCCATTTTTGTTGGTTAACTCAGTTAACTTCCCATAATCATTGTGCCTCTATTTTCGGCAGCCGGTGCCTCCTACCGTCCCAGGTCCGCCAACGCGGTACCGCCGTGCCGGCGCCGCCGGCCGCGGTACCGCGGCCAAAGCCGGCGGCACCGCGAAATGGCTTGACGGAGGAGTTGAGGGAGGTCATCAGTAACACCAAACAGGTGGAGAATGACACTTGGCCTGGGATCAATGATGGGAGTGAGTTCAATGGCAGTTTATAGTACTGTATGGTTTTGATATGGTTGTTTATGTTTTTTTTTTTAATATATATATATATATGGATAATGGTATCAAAATGGGACAATCAGGGGATTCTAGTACATAGGCTATTAATGTTATTAATGGATATGCAGATATAGCATCTTAAAGGGATAGTGGGAAAACAATGGGACAATCAGGGAATTACAATGGGCTAATCGGAGGATATGTGACTTTACAACCTCAATAATGGGGCATATGTCATTGTGACCCTCCGGTGCCCTCAACTCCGCCATGTTTGATTACCAGGATGTAGAAGCTTTCATGCAGCAGGCAACCACCACCATGTTTGTGATCAATGGTTTTCAATCTTCTTCCTTGTGTGATTATGGTTTTAATGCACCCCCAAAATGGTCAATTTCAGTGGAGTATGGTTGTTTTTTGATTTGACATGATGAGTGTACCATTCCACATCAATTGCTATGGGTTTGCAAGATGGACCCCGCAAGAGAACATGAACTGGGTTGACACAGTTGGAGTTTGGGATCATGCCGGTGGGGTTCGGATGATGCTGCTGTGGCAAGTTCTGATTCCCACTTGAGAAAACCAAAGCGACAATAGGGACAGTTCAAGATAGCAATATATAGCAATAAAGATTAATCAATTACAATAATTTCAGTTATTCCATGTTCTTCCATGTTTTTCCTGGTTTCTTGTTACATCTCACAGTTCTTTGCTTCCAAAACGGTCTATGGTTTAAAATGGCGCCTAGGAGATGGCCATGGTGGAAGCTCGACTGGGGGACCTCGAAGACGAGTTGGCAGAGCAAGACAAGACCGTGGCCGAGACGATGGGGTATGGGTATCATTGGGTATCCATATTCCCTATATTCCCTATATTTCCCTATTCAATGGGGATAACCCTGACCTTCTCAGAATCAGTTTTTGGATGTTTTTCGATGTTTTTTCTGTTTTTTTCCGGTTTTTGGAAGACAATATACAGACATGACATGAAAGATCAGTGGATTTTTGGTGGGTTTAATGTTTTTCTTGGTGTGGGAATGTTTTTGGAGACCCTTTGGTATATAGTTCTTTGTGGTTTGAATCGGACAATCATCGAGCTGCATGGGGTTCCAGCTGGTAATTTGACACTTTGCGATTAAAAATCACATTTGTTTATAGGTAAGTCATTAATCATCCAACTAAGTGGGCGATTTCCCATAGCCATGTTGAATTACCGGAGTGACATGTTTTTCTGGGTAAACCTGAAGGTTTGTATCCAGTTTTTAAAATCCCAACCAGTTCTGGCAGGTCATCAAGGGTCCAGAAAGCTCTTGGGTTTACCACATGTATATTATATAATTAAATTATATAAGTATATAAGTATATATATATGTATATATATGTATATATGCATATTTATCCACTTTGAATAGACTTACCAAGGTTCCAAAGATTTCCCTTTGGATCCAGGGACGGTCACCAGGTTGAGATCTTGGAGGTCGAAACCGAGGAGGAACGGCTCCGCACACATCGACTTCAATCGCGCATCTTACAGCTGGAAAGCCACCTGAGCTGAGTGGCGCAGCCGCGAACTTCGCACCAAAACGGGTTTATTCAAACACAACCAGATACATGTATACTATATACTATATATATATAATTATGTATAATGTGCAAATGGTAGCTGATAGTTTTTTTTTGGGGGTTCTACAAGTCATACATACATTGTCATACATGTGTAAATGGTGGCTGATGGTTTTGTTCTCCAAGTTGTCCATTTTTTGTTCTGGGTTAAAATGTGCAGGAAGGTTTTTGGTGCTCGAAGCATGCCGGAGGATTCCCATAATTACTTTTGTTCTTTTGATGCATATTTCAATGGATTGGTTTAAGGGAAAATCTACAGGAAACCATAGATTTTCCCATTAAATATGGGGCTTTCCTGTAAATTGTCCCTTAAACCAATCCATTGAATATTTATGCATGATAGCTGGCCCAGTGCCATGAAACGGTGGCAGTTGAGTGGTTCAGCTGAGCAGTTTTTGTTAGTGCAAGAAGATGTTTCACGCAATGTGTCCAGATGATTTTTTCAGGGGTTGAAAAGGGTGGCATCACGTTTAAAGAGAAAAACGGGTGCAAAAAGCGCGCTGGCTGCAGGATATGATGCTCTAATGCAGGGTGGTTGCCCCGTGTTGCGTTGCTGGAATGATGGGAAGAAGTGAAGCTTCCCGTTTGATCATCGTTTTCTCTAGGCACATGATCAGCATGCTTAATACCCACCAAGGACTAATCCTCGGGCTGCAGCAACACCGCAGATGTTGTCGCCACCTTTGGTTTGACCTTATGGGCCTTAAGGTATAGCAATATCATCAACTTGGGATCCTTCAGGATATGTTTTTCCGCGGATTCCCAGTGGAATTTATTGCATGACACAGTGACCCCTCATACATACCATTTCATTAAATCATTAATTTGATATATCTATTCTGGTTGGTGGTTTGTAACATTTTTTATTTTTCCATATATTGGGAATAGTAATTAATAACTGACTCTACTGCAATATTTTTCAGAGGGGTTGAAACCACCAACCAGTTCTCATATAAACTTCATCTCTTTATCCCATCTTGAATCGCATGTTCCTGGGCTCAATGGTTCAATGCAGGACTGCGAATGGGTCACATACCCTGGCTGGCGTATGGTCACGTGGGGATCCTCAGATGGAAAGGTGTGACCTCGCCATGAGGTCACCGTAATTTGACCAGATCAATCAATCATCGATCAATGGGTTGGTTTTGGCGAACATATGCCGGAAAACCCATGGTGTTGCAGGGGTTTTAGTTTCAACTCTCCCCAAAAAACACACACAAAAAAAAAACACATGTCTGGGGACCAACCAACAATCTTCAAACAACCAAAAACCAACAAAACCATCAAAAACCATCAAACAGCAACAACAACGGTAGAAGAGCTATAAATATGCAGTTTCACGCTCGAGGCCTGAAGGAAACTTCGACTTCGAAGTGGGCAACGACGCAAAATGGGAGCAGATCCTAAAGGACTTTGGAGGGCCCAACGCATTGCAGGCGCGGGTCCACGTTGGTTTTCAGAGGTGCAAATGGGTTGAGATACCTCGTGTTTTATGTTAGAACATGTTCTAACATTTGGATCAAGGATGGATCAAGGATATGTTGAGTAGTGTTCCCTCAGGTACGGGTTCCTTTCACACAGTCGTTCAGGCTTGAATTGTTGAAACGTTTCTCACGTTTGTCCCTTGGGTGCCAAGATGGTCTTTTTATTGGGGTGCTTGGATGTTTTTGCAGGCGCTCCCTCATGTTGGATCATCTTAATGGCCTAAAGCCCATCATTCCATATCATTCCGGACCTGCTTTGGCTCAAGCCAATCTCAAGCGGCTGTGGCTCAAAGTTGTTGGATGTTTTTGGTCGCGTAAATTACATGTCATTATTCATCTACAATCAGATACCCAGATATCATTCTGCATTTCAACATTAATCTAAAACCAAAGATCGAAAAAGGCAGCCAAAATCAGATTGCTAGAAATCAAAACAAAAAACAATCTGAAATCTAAAACCAAAACTAAGATCATCTTAAGATTCAAAAAGGATACCCAAAATCGTGTTCAAACCTCCGGTGGGTCCACAGGTTGCGTCCCATTGTGGAGCCACGCAGCCGGTCATGTCCCGCCCCGATGTCGTGGCACCGGAGACCTCGCCCGTGTCGCCGGAAGTGCTGGGTCGTGGGGGAGGCGCCATCAGGATACCATGGGAATACCCCAATGGTTTAGAATGGAAAATCCCATTCAAATTGATAATTTGGGGGTAGCCTCATGTTAGGAAACCTCTTAAATTCTGTTTCTGAGTGGTGGTATGGGTTGGTTTCCCTTGAATGATGGGGATTTCTGATATTAGATCTCAAGATTTAATAGAGAATGCTAGGTAATGATATGTAATGATAGATAAATAATGATAGATCTGGAAGATGAATATTTAATGATTTGTATATACACACACATATAAATAAATAAATATATATATACAGTGCCGGACACGCGCTTTGGACCCTTGAAAATTTTCCAAAACGCTAGGGTATGGAAATAAGTAGCGCAGTTAGAACCTACAGGGTAGAATGTTTATACAACCAGTAGAGTATACCCCTTCGTTCAGATCTATTAGGGGGGTTAGATTTTATTAGGGAGAAGGGATTAGTGTACAATAAGAATGATAGTAAGAACAATAACCATGATTATGTATACGGGATTATGAGACTATGATTATTAATTACTTTGATTTTATTTTTCCAATATTGCCCTATAAATATGCATATTCCTTTTGCATATTGCATACTTGTTTCTCATTCTTATCACTATTCTTGTTATTTGTTTTCTTCTTCTTTCCCTTATTGTGTTCATTATTGTCATTATCTGCATGTCAGCGCGAGTGACTCACTACTCTTAGCTGCAGAATGGATTTTCATCATCACTATTACCACGCTAAGAACTAACTTTTAATGAATTTGAACAACAATAATGAGAATCAAAATGAGGATGAGTCAAAACTTAGGCCCCAGAAGGGACCACATATTTTAGTATAATACTACCGTAACCATCGAATCGTTGGGGTACGCAATTTTGACCTAATTATATCTATAGTTATTGTCACTATCATTATCATTATATTAAGTATTAAAGTATATTATCATTACTGTAACAATAACCGTTATTATCATTATTAATGAACTATTATGATAGTATTAAACTATTATCATTAACTATTATCATTAATGTTGATCATCATAGTTAACATTTTGATATTATTGTAACTTATAACTGTTATTATCATTATAGTAGTTTGTCAAAAAACTGTTCCTATCATTATATTAACTATAATTATTGATAATACTATAACTATGTTTATATTATATAATATACTATTATACTATTATATATCTATATTACCCCATCACTAGTTAACAATTGTTATTATTAACTATATATTACTATATATTACTATATATTACTATATATTACTATATATTACTATATATTACTATATATTACTATATATTACTATATATTACTATATATTACTATATATTACTATATATTACTATATATTACTATATGATATAACTATTCTTAACTATTGATCATCATAGTTCGTTAAGCCCCAGGCCCCAACGGCGTCTCCACGGAGCAGCTCTCGGAGCTCAGCGAAGACGCGGAGGCGGCGGAAAGCACCGCGACGTCGAGCAGCTTCCACTGGGAGGCGCCCGCCCCAGGGGATGCCAGGGGAAGAGCTGGGGTGGAGGGGTTCTACAAAAAATATGGATATGTACAACATTACATGGCATTATATATGTATATATGTATGGTAAGGTAAGGTAAGGTAAGGTAATGTATCGTAATGTAATGTAATGTATTTGATGTAGACCACAATTTTATATCACATGTTTGAAGAACAACGTGCGTCATTTGTGATTGTGAGTGATGTTATTCGCAGAAACCAGAAGTTGATATGGAAACCTGCATTGAAAAACTGGGATAGAAACCAATGGCGCTTGAGTCAAAACTGACAAAACATAAAACAACAATGTGCGTGAAGGTTTAAAGCATGTTCAAATCGGTAGTCCCAAAAAATGACTCTGTTCAACCTAGGCCGGACGTAGGCCTGCACATTGTGATAAGGAAATCGCTCATGATCGAAAGACATTCAAATAATTTTTCAGAGACTCCTCGAAGACAAAAAACAACTGTTCTGCCAGCCACAATCTCACAAAGGAGTTTCACATAGTTTCACACATATTTTGCCCAAATTACCCAACCAAACCACGAAAAAAAGGTCCCCAAACCGACTCTTCGACCCTTCTATATTTCCCCCACCTTTTACATCCACTAAAAACATATCCATGAAAGGTTCGAAGAGTGGATATATTGAAGCTGTGGGAAATATAGTGGAGATAGTTCATGATATTTCACTATTTATAGTTGGAAAAATGGTGGATGTATAAAGTGGGTATATTTCATTCCAGCATTTTTCCAACTGCCCCAGACCTGCCAGGAGGTGCGACGCCAGGAACTGCGGGACCAGGGCTTCAGCCCAGCCGAGATCGATGCCATTTTTGTGCGGCAGCATCGACAGGAAGTCATGGCCGAAACGCGGCGGAAAGCGGAAAGCCATGGATCCCTTGGGGATGTGGTTGCCATAAGCAATCAACCGTGGTTACAGCTGTTGGCGCCAAACCCCACGTTCGCCCACACCCAAGTTGAACATACCCAAACGATTATCATATACTGTGCTTGTCATCAAAGGATGAATGAAAATACTGGCTATAAGCAGCGATTTTGACTTTAGGTTTTTAGGATTTAGGGCGACGCTCATCCTTATAATTAAATCACATTGACGCAATACGGTTTAATTTAGGCTTTTGGGTTTTTAGGGTTTTATTCCCCACCTGCCAGGTGAGGGTTGTTAGATTTTATGTCAGTTGCTTCCTCCTCGTCCTCCTCCTCCTCGTCCTCGTCCTCCTCCTCCTCGTCCTCCTCCTTCTCGTCCTCCTTCTCGTCCTCCTTCTCCTCCTCCTCCTCTCCTCTCTTCTCCTCTCCTCTCCTCGTCTCCTCTCCTCCTGCTCCCTGCCGGACCTCAACCACGACCATCCACGCTCAGTGTGCCCTGCCGGACCTCAACCACGACCATCCCCGCCCAGTGTTCCCTGCCGGACCTCAACCGCGAGTATCCCCGCCCAGTGTTCCCTGCCGGACCTCAACCACGACCATCCACGCCCAGTGTTCCCTGCCGGACCTCAACCGCGAGTATCCACGCCAAGTGTTCCCTGCCGGACCTCATGAGATATGCCAGATAGAATGCCAGAAGATATGCCAGATGGAATGTCAGATAGAATGCCAGAAGATATGCCAGATAAAATGCCATGAGATATGCCAGATAGAATGCCAGAAGGTATGCCAGATAAAATGTCAGATAGAATGACACAAGATATGCCAGATAGAATCCCAGAAGATTTGCCAGATAATATGCCAGAAGATATGCCAGATAGAATGCCAGAAGATATGCCAGAACATATGCCAGAAGATATGCCAGATAGAATCCCAGAAGATTTGCCAGATAATATGCCAGAAGATATGCCAGAAGATATGCCCAGAAGATATACCAGAAGATATGCCAGATAGAATGCCAGAAGATATGTCAGAATATATGCCAGAAGATATGCCAGATAGAATGCCAGAAGATATGTCAGATAGAATGCCAGAAGATATGCCAGATAGAATGCCAGAAGATTTGCCAGAAGATATGTCAGATAGAATGCCAGAAGATTTGCCAGTAAGAAAATGTAAAAATGTCACGGTGGGGATCACACGAAGTAAAGTAATTTTTTTGTTGTTTTTTTTTGGTGTTTTAGGCTTTGGAAAGTTAAAAAAACGCGAGCCGTGCGCAGGGATTTGAGCATGTCAAATTGTCAAAGGATATGCGGAATCTGATGCGGGCAAACGAACTTGTTAAACCACTAAACATCATTAAGCATCAGCAATCCAGTTTTAAGAGATTTACACAGCTGTTGTTGGAATTTGGCGTTTGTGATTCCCGGATATTCTCGATGTGGTTACCATCCACTTGACCGTCGGTGGACCACCGGATGATCACCATGTGGGTCCAGGCTGTCCAGGCGTGACGAACGGTCATGCCTGCTGGTAGTGAATCAAACACGGCAATGAACACTTCCCCATTTTATATAATATATATATATTGATGTTTTTTCCCAGCAAAAAACTACATAGTACATAACTTATTTTCTAACATTATAAAGTGTTCGATTGTTGTTCCATGACGTAAATCCATGACACACTTCGATTGCAAGTTCTTTCATCACGCTGATCAAAGTTGAACCCAAGCGCCAAGATCAGACCACCTATCCTATGCATCACTGAGGAAGTTTGTCGACACTGGTTTTTGATCTTTGGAATTAGTAGCTTCATACTAGGCATGCTGACTGTAGCTGCTCGTCAGCACTTTCAAGTTGTTCCTTCAGTTTTGTTTACGCGTTTGTTTTTTAATTGTTCTGCCCATCCTAACGTGAGCAGATCAGCTTTGATTTCATTTCCGGATTTCATCTCACTTGTCATAGTTTTTGGGTGTTCATTTTTATTCATTTTCCTGTTGGTCAGTTTGCTTCCTATACATGGTTCCTCCTGAAACAAAACAATGCCGCTGGCTGTACGCGCCCAGGTGATGTTAGTTTGGCTCTGCTTCGTTTGGTCCAAGGCCTACCTTCGAGGCTTCGAGGACTGTGACGTGGCCTTAACGGTCTGGGGCTACGTGCTCTACACCGCGATGCTGCTGAACTTTGCCAAGTCCACCAGCTGCGGACAACGCGCGGTGGGAGCGCTCTGTGTGCCTTGGGTTGTTTGGGATTTGGATCATTTGGATCAAAAAAATGGGATGAACGGATGAACATCATTGAATCCAATGAACATAATGTCTCGTTCTGGGTTTAGAATCCTTAGATGTCTCATGATGTCTCGTTCTTTTTTTTGGGGAATGCCTTCACCTAAAAAGATTACAGAAGATTGCCCTGCCAACCTCACTGGTCACTCCAGCGGTTCATGGCTAGTTTTGGTGCAGGGTGATGTATTCACATTCTGCTCAGCAGGGGAAAGGCAACACTTGATGTTTGGGGGCTTTAACCTGAGCGAATGGTTGGGATTCAGGAGGTCTTAGTCGTTGGGATGCAAATGTCGGACTTTCATGAAGAGAAACAGCACGAACCAGAACCAGCCCTTCAGAGTTTTGCCCATGCATCCTATCACTCAATTCAATTTCTGATGATGTCAATGATGTCACATGGCTGGTAAAAATCGGTTTTCATCTACATACCTTGGGCGGTTCATTGCCACAAGTGGTTGCCAAATAGTTTTTTCTGGTGCCCCTTCTGGCTCCCCCTCCCTAATCCCTTTCCCCCTTCAGTTCCCTAGGTTTGGGAACCGGACCCCAATTTTCCGAACCGCTCCCCGTTGCGGGTGAAGATTCTCAATCTGCTGCTGCCCATATTCATGTTCAGCTGGAATGTCATCGGCATTCACTGGGCTCGGCTTAGCCGCGCGCCCAGCGTTCAGATGCTGGTATGTCAGGAAGAAGGGCAGGCAGTCATTGATGCCATCATGGCATTTGCCATCGTGAACATTGCACTCACTGTGCCTGGGAGAAGAATACATCAAAGAATCGTGGGAGAGTTTTGCGTTTTTCTTTGACTCTTGTATCGTTTCTATCCTTCATGTCATGACTTAAGTCTGCCTCTATTTTGGGTGTTCAACTCTGGTTTGGACTTCAACCCTCCAGAAACTTATCCCCTCAACCGACCAAACACAACTTCAATCAATTTTAGTTCTTCTGAAGTCTATCTTATCCCATTTTGACAAATTTCCCAGAATCTTACACCATCTTACACCAAAGATCGGATCACCCGCTCAGCTCCTCAACCGAAATCAACCTTCCCGGGTTTTCATGTTCTGCCATCATCCACCAAAATCTGCCATCTGAGAATCCAAGAACTCGTCAATTTCAACAAAAAAAATCCGAGGCCTATGATATGGGCCTTATGTCCATCCCTATTTCCAAACGGATGAATTCCTACAGACAATATTAGACAACCAAACAAAAAACAAACAAACTTCGCAGGTCCCCGATTGCCCCCGAAAAATAATATGAAAGAAATATCAACCAAATGTCCGAGGTCTTCATGTTCATCCCTTTTTGCATGTTTCTTCCCCAAAATCTCTCAGACATAATCCCCGCATATCCCAGCATATCCCAGCATATCCCAACATATCCCATCATATCCCAACATATCCCAACACAAAAATCCATCTCAACCAAATTGTCCAGCTAAAAAAAAACTATCCCAACCTGAAACAACCAAATTTATCCCAGGTCTTCATGTTCATCCCCAAAATCATCCCAACAAAAATCCAAAATTCAACCGAAAGTTCAAACTCAGGTCTTCATGTTCCCCCCAAAACCTGCATGTCAAAAAATCATCCAAAAAACAACATCCATTTTTGTCCATGACGCTCCACCAGCAGGTCTTCATGTTCGTGAACATCATCGGCCTGGCCTATTTTTTCCGCATGTTGCTGCGCATGGGTCTGGTTCAGTCCGCGAAGGCGGCGCCGGAGGGTTCCCTCGAAGCCAGCACTGAGCCGCGCAGCGCGGCAGAGGCGGAGCAGGCGGAGTGTCAGCAGTGCCCCATCTGCTTGGAGGACTTTGCTGAGAATGATGCAGAAACTTGGCAAAGATGGATGGAGAGATTGGTTGTTGTTGCGTTTTTTTTGGGGGGTTGTGAATTTAAGAACGATTCGGTAAACATGGGTGAAGAATGGGTGTGAAAAATGGAGGTCTTGTACGTTTACCAATCCAAAATGTGATTTTAGACTGTTTTTGTTGATTGGGGATATCAATGAGGAGCTAGATGTTTATGTCTAGGAAGAGGGTAGGTGAGGAGGGGGGTTACAGTATCAACCAAAACTCGGGTTTTCACAGAATTGAATATGTCGTGCGTATCATTACCTCACCACCTAAAAATCCTAAAATTGGGCTGCCAGGTCATCCAGTTGTCAACCCCCTGGCAGATGAGGTACTTACCCTTTGGTAAACTAACAGTTTGCTATGGAACATCACCATTGTTATAGTTGTAATATATATATATATAATTATATATATATAATAGGAAAATCAGCAATTTTCAGGAGTACGGCCAGCTTAAATTACCAGAACCTACCATTTCTATCCATTTCTTGTATCTTAGGTTTTGATACAGGTGCATCATCATCATCATCATCATCATCGTCATCGTCATCGTCATCATCATCCTCCTCCTCCTCCTTCTCCTCCTCATCCTCATCGACACCGTCATCCTCATCATTGTTTTCGGCTTTCACAGCGTCAAAACATGAACCCTGGCCATTGCTGGGGGTGGGGTGATTGGTAGTTTCCCAACTACTAACAACTTGTATGTCACCTCTTTCTTACTGTAGTTGTTGAAGGTTGCCCATGATGCCTCTCCTTCGTTTTCTCCCCACTTCAACCATTTTCAACCAGTCGGCAGCGCCGCAGCCTCTCAGGAAATTCTGAGGACACTGAAGTGTCAGCACTACTTCCATCGCGCGTGCCTTAAGGATTGGCTGCAGGTAAATCGTGATTGCCCCCTCTGTCGGGGGGATTTGGCTAAGCCACCTCCCACTGGTCCCACCGAGACAGAGGCAGAGGTGGATGAGCCACCTGTGCTTCCGGTGTAGCTTTGGGACGGTTGGAATGCCAAAAATTGACCCTCCCATTATCCAACATTCTCCAAGAGATGGGAGCGGAACCGGCGGACCTTGGAGGAATTCCAGCTGATTTTCGGAGCCTCCAGTCAAACACATAGATAATTTTTGCAGTGGAAGGATTGGTATCCCTCCTATCAGGGCAATCCAGCCGTATCCAACCGACGTTCCCATCAGCAGACAGCTCTGACGTGAACCCCAATGCTTCAGGTTTCTCAAAGAAAACAAACCTTAGATATCCTCAGATACAGGTCGTGTGGTTGGTTGATTTTGGTTTTACTGTACCACCCTACTGAAGACAGATGCTTCATTGTGTGGTTCCCAGGGCCATTTGGCCCAAAAAGCTTCGTTTGCAAAGGCTCCAGCAAAGCTGGAGTGGTGCCAACATTTGCAGAAAAATGGCAGGGGGGATAGACAAGGGACTTCAGTACAATTTGGCCCCTATCACTTGAAAAATGGGGAGAGAATGGGTGAATAGCCAGACTGGGTCCATCTTGGACATGGTACTCATAAGCACCTCCTCGTTACCTCACTTTACGGGCAGTTCCAATTGATCTAAATCGTTTTTGATTTTGTTCAAAATGATTTGCCGGATGACCTGCCAGTCGACTGTGTACTGTATCTCATCCCTGTTGTGGATTTCTGTTGGCCAAAGGTATACTGCAGATACCATCAGATACCCCCAAGGGATATCTTGGCTGGTTGGTTGTTTCTTAAACGCTGTGATTCCGGCACCTGGACCATAACAATGTTGGTTATGGTTTGCTTGCTTTCCATGAATATCTAATGACCACCCTCCAACAGCCAAACGCTCTAATCGCTTTTTGCAGCTCTGTGTTGATTCAGAATCCGGGTTCCTCGACTCGACAGCTCAACTGGCCATTTTCGTTTATGGTTTGCACTCCGCATGCTGTTCTTGCTTGCATGGTATTTTTGTCAATGCTTGGTTGCGTATCCCAATAGATCCCAGACATCTGATCCCCATGAGGCACATGTGAAAAGATCCAAGAATAGTCATCAATCAATGAATTTATTCATAGTCAAATCAATGAAAAAAACGGAGAAAAAAAGTGTTTGTGCATGTGTATAACTTGTATTTTAGGATCATTAGGAAACCCCTACCTTTGGTCAGATCCATGGTGGCCAGTAAATGTGATATGTGATAGAATTCAATCTCATTGGGCGTATGCACCTATATAAATCTACACTAATATCACGTCTCATCATATGGTATCTTTCCCTCATAAGCTCAGGAGTCTGGGTTAGACTGCGCAATAGTTTTTGTTCCATGTTAGAATGAGATACCCTCTGGTTATTTAACATAGCCATGGTATAGATGGCCCATAGAAATAGATGGTTTAACTGGTTTTACCTATTAAAACTGGTGATTTTCCATGGCTATGTGAGTCATAACCAGATGGTATCATGAGCATATCAAATGCCCAGGCTTCCCTTGTCACATTGTCATTCCCATCCTCCCAGGAATGGCAAAGGCTCTTGGCCTTGGCCAAGCCCTTGGGAGAAGTCTCCAAGGCAGCGGGACCGGGACCCAGGGGGATTTACCGTGGGGAAATCAACCATTGCTGGGGATACCACGAGGATATCATTGGATTTGTAACTAAGCAAAGCAATTTGATATTATATATATATACATAATAATATGATAATAATAATATATAATAATATGATAATATGTTATTTTTGTTGTGATAGATTCCGGTTTTTCTCACCAGTGGGGAGTTACCTGCAGCTATGTTTATGAGGAGCATGAAATGATCGAATTTGGGGGTGCCCTATCTTGAGACAAACCCATTGATGAAAATGGGGAGACAAACCGCCAGCGATGTCAGGGCGTCCCGGCGGCCGCGTTGCGCGGGGATTTGGGTGCAGTACTGGAGCTCAGGATGACCTTGGCGTTTCATAGGGATGATAGGATGATAGTGGGAGAATGACTCAGAATGACTTAAAGCAGTTGGATTTCGGGGTGTCCCATGGTGTGCCTTATTCATGAATTTTCCATAAATCAGACAGAACTATTTATATAACTTAACTATGGCCAGATAGAGGCCATTTCTGAATGCCAGATTGATCTTCAATGTGCCAAGGATTGTTAAGTGTGGATGTTGAACTGGGCTGGAGGATGAGAGGATCAACGTTGTTTGGCTGCCCGGGATTCGGGAAGCGGATCGGTGGACCACCTTCAAAAAGATCACCTCACCCGGCCCAGGTGCAGACGTGGCGTGCTGAGGGGGTGTCCCGGGAACCTGGGCCTAAAATGGAGGTTTCCCAAGTCATGGGGGTACCCCAATAGCTGGGATGGTTTATAATTAATGGACAATCCTACTATAAATGGATGAGAACTGGGGGTACCCCCATGACTTAGGATACCCCAAAATGGCTATGTGCAATGAAAAGAATGCCCTTTTTGTCCCAGTGATTGAGAGACATCAAGTGATTTGACCACTGCAATGAAAAAATGCTGGGACTGCGTCCATAGAAGCAATTATGAGTCGGTAGTATTAGTATTATAGCTCAGCTCACCGACAAACACACATTGCAGCGGTTTTGCAGTATTTTTATACTAGGACTTGTGGATGCGAAGTGCTGTTTCCTGCAATTGTTTGGCTGAGTTCCTTAATTAATTCCAGCGTTTCATTGCCTACCTTACATGAAAGGATACTGCTTTGGCGCTGCGAGTGGCTATGCATGTGGCAGCCGTGGCTGGCACCAGTGAAGAAATAACGATTCAGGTGCTCTGCCTCAACGGTGAAGGATGCGCCGTCACTCTGAGTGGTTCCACTCTGGGTCATGAAGTGCGGCGGATGGTGTTGCAGCGACTTCCTTCAAAGAAGGGAAGAAAATCCGTGATCCATTACAAGAATTCACCACTGGTGCTCGACCAATCATTGCAAGAGCAAGGTATTGTAGGTAAGACCGCGGCGCTCGCCTGCACGTTTGTTCCTACTGATTTGCCTGCTGCAGTTTCCTATATCTCAGGTTTCGACGTTCTTCAGCAAGAAGGTGCACTGGAGGGACTGACAACGATAGTGATAGAATGCGCCACATCCGGCATCTATTTGCAACATCTTCCCAACAGTCTCAAGACCATTGTTTTGGACATGACTTTCAACAAGACTTTGGAGCGAGTGAACCTGCCCAGCGGTCTTCAAAGCTTAACATTTGGCCATCAATTTAATCAGTCCCTGGATGGAGTGAGCTTGCCAAGCGGTCTTCAAAGCTTGACATTTGGATATGAATTTAATCAGTCCCTGGATGGAGTGAGCTTGCCTTCAGGTCTTCAAAACTTGACATTTGGGTATCAATTTAATCACTCCCTGGATCGAGTGAGCTTGTCTTCAGGTCTTCAAAATTTGACACTTGGCTATCAATTTAATCAGTCCCTGGATGGAGTGAACTTCCCAAGCGGTCTTCAAAATTTGACATTTGGCCATCAATTTAATCAGTCCCTGGATGGAGTGAGCTTGCCAAGCTGTCTTCAAAAATTAACATTTGGCAATGCATTCAACAAGACCCTAAACGGAGTGAGCTTCCCCAGCTGTCTTAAGAGCTTGACATTCGGGCGTAAATTCAATGAGCCCTTGGAGCTAGTGAGCTTGCCAAGCGGTCTTCAAAGCTTGTCATTTGGCCGTGACTTTAACCAGACACTGGAGGGGGTGAGCTTGCCAAGCGGTCTTCAAAGCTTGACATTGGGGCGTAAATTGAATCAGTCCCTGGATCGAGTGAGCTTGCACAGGCCTGGTCGGAGCGTGACTCTGGGCAATCATGTCAACCAGTCGAAGGGAGTGAGCGTGCCAAGCGGTCTTCAAAGCTTGACATTTGGGTATGAATTTAATCAGTCCCTGGATGGAGTGAGCTTCCCAAGCGGTCTTCAAAGTTTGACATTTGGGAATGAATTTAATCAGTCCCTGGATGGAGTGAACTTCCCAAGCGGTCTTCAAAGTTTGACATTCGGATATGAATTTAATCAGTCCCTGCATCGAGTGAGCTTGCCCAGCGCTCTTCAAAATTTGACATTTGGCAATCAATTTAATCAGTCCCTGGATGGAGTGAGCCTGCCTTCAGGTCTTCAAAACTTGACATTTGGCCATCAATTTAATCAGTCCCTGGATGGAGTGAGCTTCCCTTGCGCTCTTCAAAGCTTGACATTTGGGTATCAATGTAACCAGTCCCTGGATCGAGTGAGCTTGCCTTCACGTCTTCAAAACTTGACATTTGGCCATCAATTTGATCAGTCCCTGGATGGAGTGAGCTTGCCAAGCGGTCTTCAAAGCTTGACATTTGGCCATCAATTTAATCAGTCCCTGGATGGAGTGAACTTCCCAAGCGGTCTTCAAAACTTGACATTTGGCAATCAATTTAATCAGTCCCTGGATGGAGTGAGCTTGCCTTCAGGTCTTCAAAGCCTGACATTTGGCTATCAATTTAATCAGTCCCTGGATGGAGTGAGCTTGCCAAGCGGTCTGCAAAACTTGACATTTGGGTATCACTTTAATCACTCCCTGGATGGAGTGAACTTGCCAAGCGGTCTTCAAAGCTTGACATGCGGTTTGATTTTCAACCATCCCCTGGTTGGAGTGAGTTTGCCAAGCTGTCTTCGGAGCTTGAAATTGGGCTTGCTCTTGGTTAGCATCTCGTGATTTCCCGCACTGCGTTCGTTGCAACGTTGCCGAAAGTTGCTGATGGTCATGGCAAAGCTGGGATGGGATCAATCCTGAATCCACCAATTGATTTTCTCTATATGTATATGGCATTTTTATGAGGGGGCCATTCTGGTTGGAATCTTCAAGCTCTCAGCGTTTGCTGAAAGTTGCCAGGTGTCGGTGACATGCCCGTTGTTTCCATGGCTATTTTGCGGCAAAATGTTTTTTCTCCCCAAAGGGCTCGGTTTGTTTGATGCTTTTTTTTTTGTGGGTCCCTTCACTGGTCCCCCATGTTATGAGCCATCTATTCCCATGCAGCACTTTAAGATACTTTAAGTACCAGCACTGCTTCTGCTGTTGAGACCTGCGATGTGGGCGCCAAGGTTGCAAAGATACTTTTCGCGGCTTCCACCTTTGCTGCTCAACGGCTTGAAGTTTCAGGTCAGCATCGCAGATCTGACATGACTCACTAACTATACCCACGTGTATAAGATAGAACGTTGCTAGATGTTGCTAGGTTGCATAGTACATCTTATGATTCTGAATGGTGCAGAGCTGGGTCATAATTATCGCCATAATCCGCCATTAGTAATTCAAGATTCCTGAGGGTGGATTGAGATTAGCAGCTCCGCCCCTTGGAAACCATGGGCATTTCCATTAGGAATAGGGATGTCCAAATCATTTTTGTTGAGGAATTGACTGAACACATGGCAGAAAATGCCGCATTCAGGTGCCGGAGAGAGGAGGTTGATGTTACCTCGAGTCTCATTGATTCGAAAGATATTAGTTCCATGTTCAATCATTTTCAGGCATTTTTCCCGAGAGCGTATGAGCGAAGGGTTCTTCTAATAGCGGGGGTCTGTTATACATCTTCACATCTTCTCATCTTCACATCTACACATATCATCTTCACATCTTCACATCTTCACATCTACATATCATCTTCACACCTTCACATCTTCACATCTAAATATCATCTTCACATCTTCTCATCTTCACATCTACACATATCATCTTCACATCTACAGCTACACATATTATCCTCTCTCTCTCTCTCTCCTTCTTTTCCTTTTCTCTCTTAAGACCGCGGGCGGTGCACCACGAAATGGCCACCCTTTCGCACGAAATGAGGTTCGATCGTCAAAAATTGAATTGCGATTTAACATCCTCGGCAGCAACCCTTTAGCACGAAATGAGGTTCGATCGTCAAAAACTGGGGTAAAATTGCGCTTTGGGCGCTTCCGCGGCAACTGTTTCATTCGAAATGAGGTTCGATCGTCAAAAACTGATGGTTCTTTTGCGAGTTTGCAACCCTTTCGCACGAAATGAGGTTCGAGTGTCAAAAAAACTGATGGTTTTTTGCGAGTTTGGCTGGTCCGGCGGCAACCCTTTCGCACGAAATGAGGTTCGAGTGTCAAAAACTGGGGTAAAATTGCAAAAAGCATCTGTGTGTAAAGGGATCTGTGTGTAGAGACATCTGTGTGTGTGTGTGTAAAAGCGTCAGTGTGTAAAAGTGTCTGTGTGGAGACGAGCCTGTGTGTAAAAGAGCCTGTGTGTAAAAACGTTTGTGTGTAAAAGCGTTTGTGTGTAAGAGTGTCTGTGAGTATAGGAGCCTGTGTGTAAAAGCGCCTGTGTGTAAAAGCGTCTGTGTGTAAAGGGGCTTGTGTGTAAAGGCATCTGTATGTAAAAGCATCTGTGTGTAATGGATTCTCTGTGTAAAAGCGTTTGTGTCTAGCGGAATTGTTGGGAGAAATCAATGAGGTATGTATTTTTGACGCTGTGAACAGGTTGCCTTCATTGACGAGAATTCAGCAAAAATTCTTTTGGAAGAACCTTGCAAGACTTACCTTGATCATTAGCAACGAAATTGTGCAAGAACGCCGGACTGCTGAACAAACCCCTAACATGTGGCTGAACCTGACTCGAAGTGCTCAGTGCAGGTCTTTGTTGGATGCCGCCCACCGATATTTCAGAACACGTTTACGCAGACAAATTCGACGTACTGCCATCCTGGTTCCTAGCAGTGAGAGTGATGACGTAGTTTTCGTTTCACACAATGCTTCTTCATAATGCACTTTTGCTTTAGTGTCCGTTCTTTTGATTTTCCTCCTCCGTTTTACCGCGTGTTATATTTCTGTATTTAGAATTCTGCTGGTCCACTCTTGCACGAGGGGTGTTTTCCATTTCAGCAGTGCTTTTATGTTTTGTGAGCCCGAAATTCAAACCAAATCACGCGCCGCAGCACTCAAGTGGGTGCGCATGGCGCAAGCACCTTGAAAGTTGAAAGTTGAAAGTCTAAAAGCGTTTGTGTTTAAAAGGGTCTGTTTGTAAAAGCGCCTGTCTGTAAAAGCGTCTGTGTATAAAGGGGCCTGTGTCACTGTGTGTAAAATTGTGTAAACATCTGTTTGTAGAAGCATTTGCGTGTAAAAATGTCTGTGTGTAAAAGCGTTTGTGTGTAAAAGTGCCTGTGAGTAAAGGAGCCTCTGTGTAAAAGCGTCTGTGTGTAAAAGCGTCTGTGTATGATTGTGTATGTCTGTGCGTAAAAGCGTCTGTGTGTAAAGGAATTGTGTGTAAAGGCATCTGTGTGTAGAAGCGTTTGTGTGCAAAAGTGTCTGTGAGTAAAGGAGCCTGTGTGTAAAAGCGTTTGTGTATGTCTGTGCGTAAAAGCGTCTGTATGTAAAAGCGCCTGTGTGTAAAAGGTCTGTGTGTAAAAGCGTCTGTGTGGAAAAGTGTTTGTGTGTAAAAGCGTCACTATGTCTGTTTGTAAAACCGTCCGTGTGAAAATGTACGCGTAGAAACGTGTGTGTGTGTGTAGAAGGTGCCTGTGTGTAAAGGCGTCCGTGTATGTAAAGGCGTCTGTGTGTAAAATCGTTTCTGCGTAAGAGCGGCTGTGTGTAAAAGCGTCTGTGTTACATCTTCACATCTTACATCTTCTCCACCTTTTCTTTCCGTCCCTCACTCTCTTCCTACTACCCCGTTTCCTTCATGCAGCCTAGGTCTTGCAGCACATGCAGCCTAGGTCTTGCAGCACTTTTTATCATCCTGCTGTCGTTCTGTATCAGTACAAATGTTTCAATGCCTCTCTTCAGCTTTCACCTTAGCATCGCTATATCCCGCTATCAGTGTCTTTTCTTTTTCTTACACCACATACTTCCTACATACTCATTACATTGTGTTTTTACTTACACCTGAGTAACTTGCTCCTCTACGCTCTCGGGCCATCCGTCGTCTAGTTTGACTTTGTGTTGTTTCCCCTTATAGCCATAGACTGCTTTTCACGGAACCACATCAACTTGGTTGGAAGATTCACTCTTGAAACCCGGAAAGTCATTGAGTTTGATGATCACCCAGAGTTGCAGGCGCCGTTCAACGACCTCTTAGAAGAAGCAGGTCATCCCGGTCATGTGACATGGAATACGCCCTACCATTGCCCTACAATCTGCTAGGTCACTAATCATTTCCTAATTGGGATATTGGGCTGACGGCCGTAGGGCTTCTGACCCAGTGACTGTCCGGCGGACGCCAAAGTGGCAGGTGTGAAGGATCGATTTCTGAAGAAATGGCTGGACTACCTGTGCTTCGTGCTGCAGGCACGGGATGGATCAACATGGTCAGACTGGATGGTGGAATCTCAAGAAAAAACCCACCAAGGCCACGAAGGCCGACTAATTTTGGTTGAGTTTGGGAAATCACAATGATTTTTATCGATTTTGTACATAGATATGGTATTGATTTCACAAATTAAAGGGCCGCATAACCCCACAAGTCAACTTCTTCCAATAATGAGCAACAAATGTTGTAGCGGGACGGGGGAGGAAGGAAAGACAAAGGAGGTGGAGGAGGATCGAGAAGTAAAAAAAAATGTGTGTGTGTGTGACAAAGTTGTATGTGAAAGATGGTGTGTGACAAAGTAGTGTGTGAAACATGGTGTGGCCAAAGATGGTGTGTGACAAAGTGGTGTGTGAAAGATGGTGTGGTGAAAGAGCGTGTGTCAAAGTGGTGTGTGAGAGATGGTGAGGTGAAAGATGGTGTGTGAAAGATGGTGTGTGACAAAGTGGTGTGTGAAAGATGGTGTGTGGAAGATGGTGTGTGCAAGATGGTGTGTGACAAAGTGATGTGTGAAAGATGGTGTGCGACAAAGTTGTGTGTGAAAGATGGTGTGCGAAACATGGTGTGACAAAGATGGTGTCTGTGAAGGATGGTGTGTGAAAGAGGGTGTGTCAAAGATGGTGTGTGAAAGATGGTGTGTGAAAGAGGGTGTGTGAAAGATGGTCTGTGACAAAGTTGTCTGTGACAAAGTTGTGTGTTAAAGATGGTGTGCGGCAAAGTTGTGTGTGAAAGATGGTTTGTCAAAGATGGTGTCTGTGAAGGATGGTGTGTGAAAGAGGGTGTGTCAAAGATGTTGTGTGAAAGATGGTGTGTGAAAGAGGGTGTGTCAAAGATGGTGTGTGAAAGATGGTGTGTGACAAAGTTGTGTGTCAAAGATGGTGTGTGACAAAGTTGTGTCTGAAAGATTGTGTGTGGTAGATGGTGTTTGACAAAGTGGTGTGTGAAAGATGGTGTGTGACAAAGTGGTGTGTGAAAGATGGTGTGTGTGAACGATGGTGTGTGACAAAGTGGTGTGAAAGATGGTGTGTGACAAAGTGGTGTGTGAAAGATGGTGTGTGACAAAGTGGCCTGAAAGATGGCGTATCAAAGATGATGGGTGACAAAGTGGTGTGTGAAAGATGGTGTGTCAAAGATGATGTGCAACAAAGTTGTGTGTGAAAGATGGTGTGTGAAAGATGGTGTGTGAAAGAGGGTGTGTCAAAGATGGTGTGTTTGAAAGATGGTGTGTGTGAAAGAGGGTGTGTCAAAGATGGTGTGTGAAAGATGGTGTGTGACAAAGTGGTGTGACAAAGTTGTGTGTGAAAGATGGTGTGTGATAGATGGTGTGTGACAAAGTGTTGTGTGAAAGATGGTGTGTGACAAAGTGGTGTGTGAAAGATGGTGTGTGAACGATGGTATGTGGCAAAGTTGTGTGTGAAAGATGGTGTGCGACAAAGTTGTGTGTGAAAGATGGTGTGTGAAAGATGGTGTGTGAAAGAGGATCTGATAGATGGTGTGTGACAAAGCGGTCTGTGACAAAGTTGTCTGTGACAAAGTTGTGTGTTAAAGATGGTGTGCGGCAAAGTTGTGTGTGAAAGATGGTGTGTCAAAGATGGTGTGTGAAAGATGGTGTGTGACAAAGTGGTGTGACAAAGTTGTGTGTGAAAGATGTTGTGTGTGAACGATGGTGTGTGACAAAGTGGTGTGTCAAAGATGGTGTATGAAAGATGGTGTGTCAAAGATGGTGTGTGAAAGATGGTGTGTGAAAGAGGGTGTGTCAAAGATGGTGTGTGACAGATGGTGTGTGACAAAGTCGTGTGTGTGACAAAGTGGTGTGTCAAAGATGGTGTGTCAAAGATGGTGTGTGAAAGATGGTGTGTGAAAGAGGGTGTGGCAAAGATGGTGTGAAAGATGGTGTGTGACAAAGTGTTGTGAAAGATGGTGTGTGACAAAGTGGTGTGTGAAAGATGGTGTGTGACAAAGTGGTCTGAAAGATGGTGTGTCAAAGATGGTGGGTGACAAAGTGGTGTGTGAAAGATGGTGTGTCTAAGATGGTGTGCGGCAAAGTTGTGTGTGAAAGATGGTGTGTGAAAGATGGTGTGGTAAAAGATGGTGTGTGAAAGAGGGTGTGTCAAAGGTGGTGTGTGAAAGATGGTGTGTGTCAAAGATGGTGTGTGAAAGATGGTGTGTGACAAAGTGGTGTGACAAAGTTGTGTGTCAAAGATGGTGGGTGGCAGATGGTGTGTGACAAAGTGGTGTGTGGCCACGCCTGCCACGCAAAGTGAAGGTAGATTCTAGGTAGAGATCACCAAGTGCCACGCCTGCCACGCAAATGGAACGTCAATGTCACCAAGTGCCACGCCTGCCACGCAAATGGAACGTCAATGTCACCAAGTGCCACGCCTGCCACGCAAAGTGGCGCGGCGCTCCGGGCGATTAAAGCGCGCCCAAGCGCGCCACCAGAGCCAGCCCAGTGCCATAAGTGCCACGCCTGCCACGCAAAGTGAAGGTGTGTGTCGCCAAGTGCCACGCTTGCCACGCGCGCCACCAGAGCCAGCCCAGTGCCATAGGTACCACGCCTGCCACGCAAACTGAACGAAGGTGGATGTCGCAAAGATAGTGTGTGAATGTGAAACATGGTGTGTGAAACATGGTGTGTGTCAAAGAGGGTGTGTGACAAAGTTGTGTGTGAAAGATGGTGTATGACAAAGATAGTGTGAATGTGAAAGATGGTTTGTGTCAAAGTTGTGGGTGACAAAGATGGTGTGAATGTGAGAGATGGTGTGTGACAAAGTTGTGGGTGACAAAGTTGTGTGTCAAAGATGGTGTGTGAAAGCGGGCGCGGCGGATGAGGAGGAAGGAGGCGGCGGAGGCGGAGGCGGGATACAGAATCAAAAACAAGAACCCCGCACAAAGATGTGGGCAATAATAACTATCCTTTAAAGAAATTTCTAAGACCTGCAGACAGCGAGATCAAAAAACTTGCTTAGTGGTCTCAATTCTGTTTTCCCTGGTCAATGATGATTCGGAAAAATCACGAATACGGATGGATATTAGGGATGATTTGGGTTTGAAGAATAAGGTGCCCGTAAATGTATGTAAATGTCCTCTGTTTGCCCATCATGTTTTCCACCAAACTTGCCACACAAATCCGGGTGCATATCCCTTTTCGAGACTTAAACCCACAACCCACATGTTTTGCCTTGGATGGCACTTGGATATCCATGTGGGCCCCGTCCCCGTCGTGAGGCGCTGCCTGCTGCGGGCCATCCCTCAGCACCAGTGGCCTACATGGTGTCGGACATGTACAGCTCTGGGGCCGTGCTGGACTATCCCAAGGGCGGTATGGGAGTGCAGGGCTGAGACCTTGGGAATCCGAGGGCATGGCAAAGAGAACAATTCATGCCTGGGGGTTTAGGTTGAAATAGACACGAATTTATGATAAATTTGGGATTTGGGTCTATATATATATATATATTTATTTATATATTTATATATTTATATTTATATTTATATATAGATAGATAGAGAGAGAGAGAGGGGTTTATTGGTACTGAAAGTTCCTTTTTTTTCTTTCTACGCGTAGCCCCCGCCAAAAAAAAACATACATTTTGTTTATCATTGTTTATGATTCTTGATGCTTTATCAATGATTCTTGTCACATGCTATCATCTAAAATTCCATGGGCATTTCTATTGCTGTTTCCATGTTTTATTAACGAATGCTCGATGGTTATATCATATCTGGAAATATTTCCATATCTATTGTTATATCATCTATTTTATATTGAATTGCTACATATATTGCTATAGAATTGAACTATATTCCATCAATTGCTATATATTGTTATTCCATCAATATTGTTATTTCCATCTATTGAATTGCTATACGTATATATATATATATTGCTATATTCAAACTGGCCATAGCTGGTTCTTCTTCCCTTGGTGCCCAGGCGTTGATTGATGCCCTGGTCCAGGGCCTTGAGAAGCACCAGGGCCAGCTGCGTGGCTCGGCGGTCGAAGTCCATGGGAAGAGATGGGAAAAGATGGGAAAACTTGAGGTAGAACAGTGTGGAACATTTTTTTTTTGATATTTTTGGGAAGAACTCTTGGAGACTACGGGAAATGTATGGACGCAATTTTTTGGTTTTCATATTGAGTATTCATTGTTGTTTTTTAGTAAAATTACATATTGAACGCTTGTGGTTTCCATGGGGTTTTGTCCATCAAAAAATACATTGCGGATACCATTTCTCATTGACAAACTGAAACATGTCGGATATTGAACATTGAAAAAACAATGAACACGTGGTTTCCCGTGGATGCCATGGATATGTTCCAGTAGATCATGGTCACTTGAAACAGTGACGGTTCCAAAAAGGGCCTCATTTCACCGCAGAGCAGTTTCCAAGGCTACAACGCGCACGTGGACCAGATCCTGGTGGAGGATGGTCAGGCTCCGTCGAGAAAACTGAGGAACCATGGCAGACCTTGGCACACTGTGTATACAAAAAATGTAGACCCTACTTGGAGTATACTGCAACCCATATTATGTAATAACATGTAATTTGGTTGGAAACTAGGGATTCTTCCGCACATGTAACTGGGGTATGGCCATTATATACCCGCTTTCACTTCCTAGGATGCACACAAGAACCAATTCGGCATTTCAGATTTTTGTACTAGTGGCCACTAGTGGGTGGTCTTGGCAACCATGTTTCTAGTTGGGAGAAGCCATTGATTGCACCCGCACAAAGATCTGGCAATCCAAGATGGCGGAAAGCTGATTCCCAGAGGGTTTTTTTGGAGAAAAGAATCCCCATGGTTGATTGGGAAACCGCATGAAAGCACTCAAATCCCATTCATGTGGGTAAAACAATCATAAACCACCCCCCAGTTATTACAGTTTTTATAGGTGGTATGTTTACCCTTCCCAATGGGTGGTTTATGATTGTTTTACCCACATTAAAAACCATTAGGATCCCATGAGCCTCCCCACTTGTCCTCCCATTTTTCATGCGTTCAAGGCCTGCGGTGTGTCCGTGAAGGGCCGGCAGATCCGTGCGCGCGAGGCGCGAGCTGGGCTGTGGTGGCCTTTTTTTAAGGGCTTGCTTGGCCGGTTGATGGATAGTCTCGCTTTGCCCCCCTAAAAAATGACGGTATTCTAGCAACATATGTACGGTATCATAAAATAGACATGTAAAACAACAATTGGAATTACACATGATTTAAGTGATGATGACACCCAACGGAAGGATAGGATTGGGATATCATTGGGGATGTAACTAGCCAAAATAGAGATAGAGTTAGCAACAAGGATTATCATTTCAATCCCACATGTTATCATAAAATGGGCATATGACCAACCCAAATTGCGGTTTTAACTAGCCAAAATAGGTGATAATTACTCTACAATTAATGGGGTGCTGGTGCCCTAGATGCCCGAGTATCAACCAGAAAAGGGGCTTAAAGTTTACGGCCTCCCAATTGGTTGGCTTTTCAAATAGCTGGTTGCTTAAGGATCTTTCTCCCCCAAAGATGGTATCATCAATAGCTGGTTGCTTTGTGCCCGTGATGAATTGTCCGGTGAGCCCCAAGTTGGGCTCGTACCAGGCATGGATATGCATGGATGGTTTGGCTGGGTTTGACCACCAAAAAATGGCATAGACTCTGATCAGAACCATGGCATCATGGGAATTTCCTTGGGATTTCCACCTCCAAACTGGGATGGGTTTCAGGTTCAACGTCCATGGGATTCCGCTCCAGGCCGTGGTGAGCAACGCCAGCGTTTGGGATACCGAGCACCTGCTGCCGGAGAGGGCTTGGGAGGCGAAAGCCCAACATCTCTGGGGTCATCATCCAAGATATCCTCTGGTAAACTAACATAACATAACTATGGAAAGATCCACCCATGCTATTAATAGGTAAATCCACTATTTCTATGGCCATTTTCAAGTTCGCAAACTGTAAACGTTTACCAGAGGGATCCAGAGGGTATCCAGTTGCAACAGCCATTCCCATGGCTGGACCATCACATCCACCTGGATCATCCTAGATCCTGATGGCAGCTGTGGTCGTTCCTCCAGGAGGGAAGCAACTGGAAGAGCAAGCCGCCGGAGATGGGTTCCCCAGACGTGGTGAGCTTTACTACCCTCCAGTAATCATGGCTAGCCGGAAAATCCCCAAGTTATCTTCCATGAAAATATCCATTGATAGGGAAATATAGGGAATGTTCAATTGCCATGATTAGCGGAGGGTATACTCTTTACCCTTTATGGTCGTGTTTTAAGCAGACCTGCCATCGTAATCACAATTGTGCCCTTGTTTTTCAGGGTGAACCTGGGTTTGGCAAGTTGTTCAGTTGAATTTGAGCCTCAGAATGTAACAAACCCAAGAACATATTCTGCGAATCGGAAAAAATATGCATGAAAGGAACACTAATTATGCTGTGTTGCCTCTTTTTGGGTGTATTCTTTTTCCTGCCCCTTGAAAAACCCCTTTCGGATCTTTGCGAGGTGCGGCAGTTTCATGCACCTCCACTTGGGCCTGAAGGCGGAGGCGCCCTTGGGCATACTGACGATAGTAAACTAATGTCAAACGATTGATGGATATGAATGGATATAACGGGGATTTAACCAACTATCATGGGAGATATCGTGGGATACAATGGATGTGTTTTTTGCCCATGTTGATTTGGTTAGTGGCTTCATTAATACGTATGTTCACTACTTTTCATGCCCATGGATGATGATCCCAATTGAACCTGTGTCCCCCATGGGCTGAGCATGGGAGCGGCTGAGGCTTTTTCGGCTGTAAGTTTTAAGATTTGTCACGCCCCTGTTTGAAATGTTTGGGGCACTTTCCAATACTGGAACATGACAGTGGAAAGTATGTTACTCACGAAGATTGTGCTTTTAATTGGTAATTAAAGTCATCTATAAGTTGGGGGTGTTTCTGTTGTCATTGCCAGGTCAGACTAATTAATGTCAGCCCCAAATCAAAAACAATGACTAGTAAATTAGGCATGCAACCCCAAAAGTGATGATAGCTCACCTTTTTTTATAAAGGAGACCCCCACTTAAATAGCGACGGAGTTTATCAATGCTAAACCATCACCATCACCAACCAGGCCCACGATGAAATGGTGATTTCAGCAGGGATATGGCCTTCCTAATCGCTTGACATCTGACCATTCATCCAATTGCCCTCCAGTCAACTAACAGGTACTGTACTGTATAATTGATATAACACACACAAACACACACACATATATATATACAGTATACAGAGAGAGAGAGAGAGAGAGAGATTGATTCGCAAACTCCACCATGAATGCCGTTTCCGAACGGAAACAACCATAGATTTCCACAGCCAGCCACAGGGGAGGGAGTGTTGTGCCGTTGGAAGAGGCCTTGCCGTCCGAGATGCCGTTGCACTACAGCGTCATCAGGGACTGGGAGGAGTGGCTCTGCAATAAAACTATAATGATAATCGTGGACAATGCCCTCTGGTAATTTAACATAGCTATTGAACATGGCCATTCTGTAATTAGTTGGTTTACCTACCCATTTACAATGGAGATTTTCTATAGCTATGTGAGTTTACCAGAGGGTAAAGATCATCTTCAAGACTACATTTATATACATGTATACTGATGATATGACATATATATATAATTAATATCTAAAATGTGCGCGTGGATGTCACACCTGCCATAAGATCTTTTAAATAAATCGCCTAGTTGGAAAACTGATCATCCCAGGAGCCCATCGACGCCACGGGCAATGTGGTGATCATCAGCGTGCCCAGCGTGGTGAACCCTGCCCTGGCACCGGAGGGGCGGCACTGTTTGGGGGCCAAGCTGTGGTGGATGGATGGTAGCCGCCATAAGGTCGCAAAATCCTATGCATATTATAAACAGGCCCTGGTCTAAACGGTCCCAAACATGTGCAAATCCCCTACTAAGCCATGATTTATAGTTGGGGAATTTGGCGGGCAGTTTTAGATAACAATTTTGAGGAATGGAGTTTCATTCCAGCAAAAATGGAAGTTGTTTGAAGGACTATCTAATCTAATAGGTTGGCCACGTCAGGCCGGCAGATTTCATTGAACTGGTGAGGTGGCAGGCCCTTGCGTGGCAATTGGATGTTTGATGATCAGTTCAGTTCGCTCATTCTTGCGCCTCGCTTCTACCAAGAACCTTTGTGCTGTGTGGGTACCACCTCTAGATGTGAAAGCAAGATCCCAAAAACGCACCGACATAAATTGTATTTGGAACCCGGGGATTAGCGTGGATTGACTTTAATTATTCAAGATGATCCAATAGCACTCAGTGGAATAAACCTCGGAATCCGTTTGTGTGGAGCTTCCACTGTACTTCTCATACTGGCAATACCATGCAACATGAGCCTCGAAAGTGAATCCCAAGTGTACATAGAGTACCAAATAGCAGTGCTATGGCAGCCTCATGATTGAGGCCTGCATGCCTATCTCGCAGCCACAGAACCCTTTGAGCAGCCTGGCACATATTTGATCATATTTGGCATTTCCCGAACATTGGGTGCCAAAAAATATACCACACAATGGATGGCATGGTGTACAATTTCTTCTATCAAAGCAAGGCATGCAATTTTGGAACACGTTATGATCAGCTTTCAGGAGGGCCTACTCATCCCAGGAACGGGATTGTTGGATTGTAACCGATAACTTGTTGTGGGATATGGTTGTGAAATTGAATAGTTGTTGAAACTGGTTGGTGGTTTGGAACATGTTTTCCATGTATTGGGAATAATCATCCCAACTGGCTAATATTTTTCAGAGGGGTTTAAACCACCAACCAGATACTGTAATTGTTGAAACCTGTTTGCCAAAGCCAACTTAAGACCGTTTACTGTGCAAGTTGCTTGGCCCCCTTTAAAATAGAAACTGCTACTGCCCTTTGGCAATTTATCAGCGCTGTGGACAATGGCCACTTATTATATATATAATAGGATATAATAGGTAGACTAATAGGTAGATTATCGAACTAAATGGGTCATCTGTACCATCAGATTATTGCAGGGTGTTGTCATTTGTTCATGATTATCTCATCATTATCGTTATCCCATCATCATTCCATCATGATTAGTCATTATCCATCATTATCCTATTACTAATTTTACCAGATGGTATATCCCATTATATCCCAACGTATCCCATCATATTTGATTATATGTCCATCCTTTCCCATTCAAGGGAAAAATTGCAGGAAACCCCTAGATTTGGTGGAAACCTGTAGATTTTCCTTCAAATCATCCAGTGAACCAGAGGGTCAACTGTTACCAGGGGCCGCGTACTTGGTTTTTTGAGGCTCTGGAAAGGCATGGACCGTCGGAGCCCGGAGCGTGGAAGCCCGGCGCTGGTCACTGCAGGGCCGGAGGTATCTCGGTTCAGCATCCAAAAATGGTAGGTTCGGTTTAATAGTCAGATTTTTCATGAATGAAAATGAAATCAAAACTATCAATGTTCATTTAGGTATCAAGAATGCGGACCTAAGCACTAAAGTCAGGGTTTTAACCAACAGAAATGTTGGCTTAAGCTTCAAGCATCGAAACCCCAAAGTGATCGCAGCCCAGTCAGGTGCTACTTGATGGCCAATGACTTTCAAGCCCCACATCACCACATCCTAGAGTCTGCCACAGCAGTGGCTTTATCCCACAGTCACATTATTCACATTACATAAAGTAGCACCTATATAATGTTATCTAATGTTAGTAAAGTAACTTCATAAACAATCATAAACCACCCACATGAATTGATGGTTGGAATCCCACCCATCAATTCATGGAACTTTTGGGGATGAAGGGTTCTTTTTTCTTTTTCCCCCTGGTTGATCCCAAACCGGCCCATCTATTGTTCCTAGAGGGACAATATTGGTCCTTAAATTCCCATTGATTAACATTATTAACTTATTAACCATAGTTTATGAACATTCTTTATATAGTTCTCTCCCTGAGCCAACCACCAGTCGCGAACCACGAGTCGAAAAAACGAGGTACGCCAAGCTCAAGCGCCAGCGCGCGCAGCCGCTGTTTGAGGCGGTGGAACGTGCGGTGTCAGGCTCTCAGCGAAGGGATGGGGGCCCCCAACGAAAACCATAGGCAAACAATAGGAAAATTGTGATTAAACCAACAAAAATTGGGATTTAATGGGATTTATGTATATCTGACTTATGATAGCTAAGTTGGTGAACATATCTTCAATAACTATGGTTTATGATACCTATAAAGTATCTATAACTATCGTTTTCATGGTGTTTATTAACCAGCTTCTCATTGATTTTCCCATTCAAACATCTTACTTACAATCACCATTTTCAATAGGTAGGGATCATATCCCCACTACAGGGACGGCAGTAGAAACTATGTGTATGTTTTTTTTGGTTGGACCACCCCCCGCCAAAAAAAAGAACAACTATATATTCAATATGTTTATACGTACAATATGGATACCCAAATCAATGGGGTTATCATTTAAAAATCTATGGGAAACCATGGTGTTTACATGTTTTACCATCAATTTATCGGGATTTAACATAATTCAAATCATGTGTCAAAACCTATGATTTTCTCCCAGTTGGTGAGGGATGGACATCCAGAAGGACAAGCTAGAAACTATATGTGAAAGTGAAAACCAGGGTGTCAACGTTCTGGCCCATAACTGTCTACAACATTATAACCATATCCCAGTGATCAACAGTAGATGGTTACCAAATTATAGCCTATTTTTTGTCACCGAGATATGTCTTGAAATCAAAGCCTGTTGCTGAAACCAGGCCTCTAAGTGAAGTCAATGTCATTGGGCCAGGTTCCAGCCCACCACGGTCGCGTGACTATTCAGGTTTTTGGGTCCTCGTGGATCCTGAATTTGTGAGGCCTAAGATGCCTTCTCAATCCATTCTGTAAGACATTAGTCACTAAAAATGGCATTTGGAATGCCTGGGATGAATCAGTCCATGTGAAGATGGGAATGTTCAACGACCACACACCCTATATACATCTATATACACCATGCATGGACGTGGGCTTTTGTCAGGCCTGGTGCCTGCGAAAACATCGTTGGGAACTGAGTTACGTACCATGGGGAGCTGGGGATCGGTTTTTTGCAGTGCCGAAGCTGTGGATTCTGAGCTTTTGTTTTCTTCTTTTTTTTTGGAAATGCGTTGGGTGAACGAATGATAGTGGTGAATGATAATCATGGATACTGAATGGCTCTTTGGTGGTCAAACATGGCTGGCTGGAAAATCTCTTTTGAATGAATGTTTATAGCTGTGAAAATCATCGGGCGGATTTTTCAGCCAGCCATTTTTGATTACAGTCAGGGAAGATTTTGATACTCTGGTGAGGAGAAAAACATGGCAAATGTGAATGGTTCTTTGGATTTCTTTGGAATATGACAATTCGGTTGGCTCCTGCCATGAGTGCTAGGCTGGTAGGCATTGCAGTCCTATTTCCAAAACAACACTGAGGTTGTCATGGTTCTGAGATTTGGCCTATTTAGCAGTCAAAGCTTGTTTCACTCAATATAGTCTATCTATGATTGAAAAGATCTACCCCGATCGAGGGGCAGCGGCATAAGTTTGCATCCATCCCCTAACTATGGATGATTGATGATGATTGAAATTGTTGTGTTATCCCGCCATATCCATCTGTATCCAGGCAGTAATAGACTTTAAGATAGATTCACCCATTTATATAATCTCATGATTTCCCATGTATATTTGTTTACCACATTGATTGGCAGCTGCCTTGATACCTTATTGATGTTGTTGCAATTTGTGAAATTGACACATTAACATATTCAAAAGGTGTTGCAATGTAAGCTCATGTTCATTGGTTTCAAACCACAGACAGCCTTGTTGAAACCCTGCAGGATGCTCTGCGGGACTTTCCACTCCTGCATGAAAGATGGCAATACCATCCACCCTGTCCTGGTGCCACCAAGACAGCTACAGCAACATCTGCATTTGGCACCTTTTGCCAGGCCTTGCGTTGTTGGCACCCTGGTGGCCCTGCTGGATGCTGCTCTTGCCCAGAACCCGTTCACTCTGCATCTGTGTGGGGGTGGGCAAAACGCCCCTGCCAAAGGCCAAAGATTTCTTTGAGAACAGGCACCTGGGCAAGCATGTAAGATGTGAGGCTAGTTTGTGTGTTGTGTTTTGTTGTTTCTGCTTGTTTTTCCAAGTATGCGCTCAGAGCAACTAAAGATCTCACAAGCAATGAAAGATGTGCAGGCCAGCTCGCTTCCACCTGATGTGAAAGCTGACTACCTGGATCATGCGGCTATTGATTTGGGATGGCAGCACATCGATTCTGGCAAACCAGTTGTGGCTTGGCCATTGGGCACCCTTGGCACTGAAGAGCCACTGACCTGGGTGAAGCTTGGCAAGGCAGATTGCTACAGTGCATTTGTCAAGCTTGGGAGAGGCATGGGTGGGTCATCAAGGCCAAGCAGGATCATGGCCCACCAGAAGGCATGTCCATCGCACAAGCAATGGTGCATGGGTACGTTTTCTGAAGGCCCAAGGCATGCCCCCACTCACTGTGAACAAAAGTACCTTGGAGCAATGTTTTCAAGCTATACCTTTTGTGTTGGTGCCTGTTTGCTAATTGTTATCCGGATCCAAACCAACATTTTGGTTTTTGTTTGCTAGCATTTGAGGTATGGAGTAGCTCAACAGGCAGCAAGGCAAGCTTGAGTCAATGCTGGTCACCATGAAGGGTTTGGCACAGAAGAGGATGGGTGGCTTGAGGATTGAATTCAGAACACTGCAAGGGGATGCCACATGGCTCAATCTGATGGATGCATTGCAGCTTGGCTGCAATTGGTTTTATTTGTTGTTCCCTGAATTTTTATTTTTGTAGATGATTGAGATTTGTTACAAGCATTCCAGGCAAGACAATGTAGAAGCCATGCTCCAGCACAGCAAAGGGTTAGAGTTATGTTCATCTCAGCCAGCCAGGGACTGGAAATCGTGTGCTTTTTACTTTTTCATTTTTTATTTTGATCATCATTTTTTGGATTGAAAATTATCATTCCCTTTTTATCCCGGTTGAGTTTTTTCATTGTTTGTTCATTCCTGTTTTTCCTCCCTTTGGCATTTTCATTTTTCTTCCCTTTGCTTCGAAAATGGTCCTTGGTCCTTGGGAATTGCCACCAGGGCTTTTTCTCGAACCCTTTTCGTTTCTTTTCATTCTGTTTCCTTTCTGTATTGCTTGGGTTATTTTTCCTTTGCCTTGAAAATTGTCCTTGGAAATTATCAAAAGGAGCTTTTTCTCGAACCCTTTTCGTGTTTTTTTCGTTTTTTGTATCCTTTTGGCTATGTTTCCCTCCTTTGCCTTCAAAATTGACCTTGGAAATTATCAAAAGAAGCTTTTCCTCGAACCCTTTTCGTTTTTTTCCGTGTTTTTTTCATTTTTGTTTTCGTTTTTTTTATCCGCTTTTTTTTCGTGTTGTTTCCTTTCCTTTTTGCATTTTCGTTTTTTTCGTGTTTTTTCCTTTCATGTTTTATTTTCATTTTTTTTGTTTTTTTTTTTCCGTTTTGGCTATTTGTCCTCCTTTGCCATCAAAATTGACATTGGAAATTGTCAAAAGGAGCTTTTTCTGGAACCTTTTCCGTTTTTTTTTCGTGTTTTTTTTGTTTTGGCTATTTTTCCTCCTTTGCCTTCAAAATTGACCTTGGAAATTATCAAAAGGAGCTGTTTTTCGAACCCTTTTTGTTTTTTTTTTCGTTTTTGTATCCTTTTGGCTATGCGTCCTTCCTTTACCTTGAAATTTATCAAAAGGAGCTTTTTCTCGAACCCTTTTCGTTTTTTTTTTTTTTTTTTTTTTTTTTTCGTTTTGGCTATTTTTCATCCTTTGCCTTCAAAATTGACCTTGGAAATTGTCAAAAGGAGCTTTTTCTCGAACCCTTTTCGTGTTTTTTTCGTTGTTTTTTTGTTTTTCGTTTTGGCTATTTTTCTTCCTTTGCCTTCAAGATTGACCGTGGAAATTATCAAAAGGCGCTTTTTCTCGAACCCTTTTTTTTCCACCCGTTTTTATCCGTTTTTTCCGTTTTTTCATTTGTGTTTTCGTTTGTTTTTTCCTTTTTTTTTTCGTTTCCTTTTTCATTTTCGTTTTGTTCTTCGTATTTTTCCACTTCGTTTGTTATTTTCATTTTTTGCGTGTTTGTTTTCATTATCGTTTTTGTTTTCATTTTTGCGGGTGTGTTAAGGTATATGTTTGTTTTCTTCTTTCCTTTTTTGCAGTCGCTTCTTTCTTAGTTTTCATTTAATTTCTCATTTGGTGTATATATATATACATATATATAATATATTATCTTTTCGGTTTTTGTTTTTCTTCGATTCATTTTCGATGCTGAATAACAAGTACATGATGGCAAAATGCAAAAAAGGAACGAGTATGAACATGATCGAAGGAAGTTTAGAAGTGAAACTTCCGACAATATGGACAGTTGAAAAGCAGAGGTGAAAAGAGTCAGAAGAGAAAAGATCAGAAGAAAGAAGATGCAGGTGCGCGAAAAGGTATAGGAAAGTCGCGATTCACTGTGTTTTTCCAATGATTTGTGGCTCCGGAGGGTCGAAAAGTAGGCTCGCTAAAGCGGCGGGTGCGGAGCCAGCTGGCCAGATGAGACATGCAAAAGTGCACGCCGTTGTGGCGCGAAGCACATTTCCAAGTCAAAATGGACAAAACACTAGAGGATCGGACCACTTTTGGAAGTTGAGATGTCGAAAAAGTGCACGCCGTTGTGGCGCGAAGCACATTTTGAAGTCAAAATGTACAAAACACACCATGGTCGGACCACTTGGAAGTTGCGATGTCGAAAAAGTGCACGCCGTTGTGGCGCGAAGCACATTTTGAAGTCAAAATGTACAAAACACACCAGTGTCGGACCACTTTTGGAAGTTGAGATGTTGGAAAAGTGCACGCCGTTGTGGCGCGAAGCACATTTCCAAGTCAAAATGTTAAAAACACTAGGGGTTCGGACCACTTTTGGAGGTTCAGATGTCGAAAAAGTGTCGAAAAAGTGCACGCCGTTGTGGCACGAAGCACATTTCGAAGTCAAAAGTGTAAAAAACTGAGGGTTTTGAGCCTTTTTTGACGTGAAGATGTCGAAAAAGTAGACACTGCTTAACTTAACTAACTTGACTCACTTAACTACCCTAACTTCGACGACAACAGCAACAGCAACAGCAACAGCAACAACAACAACAACAACAACGACAACGACAACGACAACAACAACAACAACCACAACAACTACAACTACAACAACTACAACTACAACTACAACTACACAACAACTACAACTCCAACTAGAACTACAACTACAACAACTACAACAACAACAGCAACAACAACAACAACTACTACTACTATTACTACTACAACTACAACTACAACTACACAACAACTACAACTAGAACTACAACTACAACAACTACAGCAACAACAACAACTACTACTACTACTACTACTACTGCTACTACTACTACTACTACAACACTACACAACGACTACAACCACACAACAACTACAGCTACAACAACAACAACAACTACAATTACAACTACAACTACAACAACTACAGTTGCAGTGCATCACACTACATCCAGCAGTTGTGGGTGAGGTGACCACTGCAACCATTGCAACCATTCCAGAAACACAACTCCAACCACCTTTCGGTCAATCAGTGGATTCGCTCTGCCATCCGTGATTCACAACAACCAACGTCTCCTATAGGTTTCCTATTCTGAAACTTCCGCCACCGCCTTGTGCGGTACTACTGGTAATTAATTGATATTAATTGATATTAACTGCACATGAGGGAAACACGATAAAAAATGATAATGACACTTTCACATGATTGGAAACTGAAAAAATGAAAATGACAATTTCACATGATCGGAGAATGATATGAAACTGGAAAAACATGAAAAACAAAACGGAAAAATGAAAAAAAAAATCCTCGGTCCGGACTCAGTCTGTGGCTGTAAGATTCTCATAAGGTTAGAGCTGGGCTCCTCTGCAATTCTTGATTATGTTGAGGAAGGCATCCAGGCTGCCATTGATGCTGGTGTCTTCGCTTGCCCTGCCACCAGCTTGCAGCAGCAAGTGCCAAGTTGGAAAAACATCTCTTACCAAAGGGTGTTGCACAGATTTGGCCTGGCAAACAGGTTTGCACACTGGCATTGCTACACCCTTGACAGAGATGATGGATCATGGGCACCACCCAAGAGGCCTGTGCAGCCACAAGAAGTTTTGCTGAATGCCAGCACGCCTTTGCCAGAAAGCATACCCATCATCAGGGCCCAATGGACCGCAGAGTCCATAAGAAACCTTGGGAAAGTGCATCGCAGCAGCATTGACTGGGACTGCAGCTGGTGACCCAGCTGCAGCTGGCTTGCTGAAGGATGCTTGCTTTTATAAAATGTGGAGAAGGGCACTTGGTAGGTACTCTGGTGAGCATTGCCCTTTGACAGCCACTGGCATAGGTAATGCTGGTGGTGTTTTGCCACCCCTTGGCACAGATTTAGCAGCTGCCACCCTTAACTTAGTTGCAGGTGGGAGACAATACAATGTCAACAGGCACCCAGAGGAGTAAAACATTGCTTGCCTGCTTCATGTTTGAACAACACAGATGGTAAGTTTAACAACTTCAGCAAATATGTTCTTTTGAGTAGTGCCACAACCTGCTACCCAAGGTGCTTGAACACTTTGTCCAGGCTTGGCCCTGGGCAGCCTGACATGGGATGACTTTGTGCAGCCTCTTGCATGTTGCTTTTTACAATGGAACCGTTCTATCAATAACATGTCACAACCTTTTCGCAAAACACCAAGTGGTATTGTCCTGGCACTTAACTTGACAGGGGAACCCCAGCCACCCACAAACTGAACAGCTATGCTTGTGAAGCAAAGCCCCTACACCCAATAACTTCACCACCAACCCTGAATCTTTTACTGACCCTAGCCAACCAGCCAACCAAACCATTCCCTCCTGCCCCCCTGCTGCCAAGGTCTTGCAGGTCTTGGGCCAGGCTTGGCCCTGGGCAGCCTGGCATGGGATGATCTTTGCGCAGCCTCTCGAGGCATGTGGCTTTTTACAATGGAACTGACCTATCAATAAAATGCTGTAACCCTCTTGCAAAACACCAAGTGGTACTCGTAGTGTCCTGTCACTTAACTTCAAAGGAGAACCCAAGCCACCCACAAACTGAACAGCTATGCTTGTGAAGCAAAGCCCCTAAAACCCCATAACTTC